ATGCTTTCCTCACTGATCCTTTGCCCTTCCTACGCCAGCTGCCAGAGTATGAGCGAGGATATCGTGGATGCGTGAGATAGAAACGGGCGCCGTCATCGTAACGCCTAGTTCAGGATGAGCTTAGAAAGGACGTAGGGTAGTGGGGGAAGCGGAAAGGTGCAACAGGATGCTACATAACCTTTGTACGAGAATATTCGGCCGGCGCATGAAGAAGGGGCTTGTGAAATTAAGGACAGTGGTGGAAGGTGATGTCGAAGGTTCGTAAATTTCAACTCCGTAAGAAACAACTGACTATCGTGAAATAGGAATAATGGAGTGGCAAAGCGGGGAGAATAGCTGCGCGGCAAGTCACGTTTGCCCCGGATGTTGAAGCGCCACTAGGTTTCGATTCAACAAGTGACTTCGACTGCAAACTCACACACACCCTAACACCATCTTCTGGCGCACACAAAACTTGCATCTGGCTCGTGCCTATCTTGTCCCGGCATGGCAGTCTCTCGAGGCCCCAAGAAGGCTGCGCGGTGCTCACGCAAGCCGCGCACAAAAAAGTCTGATCCGGACAAAACCTACAAAGGTCGAATATCAAAAAAGACTCCTCCGGGTGGCAGCGCAATCCAAGCGGTTTCTCGATCCAATCCTGCGCGGGCATGCCGACACGGATTCGTGAAGTTCAAGGACCTGCTTGCAGAGCTCCGAGAGCAAGTTTACAGCCATGTGTTGAAGCCCCATGGCGGCAACATGGTTAGGGCCGCCAAGGCCGAGCCAGCTGATACCAACGGACCGTTCGCGCTGCTTCTTACAGACCGTCAATTGCATGAGGAAGCATCCACGGTGCTCGCTCGCTACACCGTGGCCGTGATTGATATGGTGGTTGATCGAGACAGGATGACATGGTTTCGGAAGCACGACGTTTGCCAGAGCAATCCAGTCAGGCTTGATAGAGTCAGGGCCCCGGGATATAAGAGGACAGAGAAGCAAATCACGGCAAACAAGGAGAAGGTAACAATATTTCGTCGAGTCCACTTCTCCGTCGGCTGGGCGTACCACGACACTGAACACCTCCGGTTGCATGACCCGCTTTACCTAAATGAACTCAAAGCCTACGTCAACATATGGGTCGCCAACGCTAGCGACGATAGGAGGCGGTCAGGGACTTTGGAACTCGGGGCCGTGCTTCATTTCTTGCTCAGAGGCCAACCAGAATCGAAGACATCGTTCTTCACGAAGCGACGAGAGGCTGCTAAGCAGTTGCTATAGGGCATTCTGGAAATCATGGGCAGCGACGAAAACTGTGCATGGACTGTGACACATTGGCCGCCGAGTAGTAGCTATCATGGACAAGCTTACAACTAACTGAACGCGAAGTGTACCCAGTATGGCTTCTACTGCCGGGCGTACACTACCGAAGAGCGCGCGAAGTTTTTGAAAGAGTGCTGACAAAAGGTGCAGCCAGAGTGAATCTCACGTGTTGCAAACATGCTCTTCTGTGGACAGGACCAGAAAAAGGGCTCAGTCCATCAGATTGTGGCCTCGAAAAATGGCGCTGGCTGCCGGCAAGCTGGACGTCAACCACCCACAACTCGACTCAGCAGCCAACAACTCCGATATCGCCATCCTAAACGAGCTCAAGGAGATCCAACATCGGAAGTGGAAGATCAAGGAACGAAAAGACAATCAACGACACACTCCTCTCCGAACTCCTTGTCCCTGTTTGTGTGTAGGTCCTCTACCCCTGTCCTTCTTGGTTTCCTGGCACCTTTACCCTTCCCTTCTTTGCTGACCTCCTCTCTTCGTCTTGCTCATTATACGGATGTTTGCCAAGTTACCCAAGCCACAGCTTTTCTCTCATTCGGCGGTAAAGCGCCTACCGAGTGGCATTTACTGCTCAACGCCGCCATCATGTCTATCGTCGTAGTCTCGTTCCCGCGAGAGCCTCGAGAGAGATGGATGACCCCGAAAGTATCATGTAGGGCGGCAACTCCCCGGCGTCCCGCACGGCGAATTTCTGTCAAGTCACCGTAGATAGTTCATACACTGTAAAAATAATCACCCCTCCCAAATTCAAAATTCAAGTCTTGCGGTTCCTCGAATGTGATCAAGTCTCTTGCTGAAACAGGATGCTATCCTAAGTGACTTGTAGCAGTATCAACAACGTGACAAACTGCGTCAACATGCTGCAGTCTTAGAGGAGCCTGTTTCTTTTCTCCTAAAATGCTGACTAGTTCCATGACTTTCTCTCCTGGCCAAGTGATAAGACTGCTGCACGCCGTGGATATTAAAACTGAATAAGCCTAACAAATGACTCATCGTGCCAATTGCCCTTCTCCCTTTCATGCTCCAGCCGCCTGTGGCTCTGGATTCACACCTGTATCTATGCCTTGAGCGCCGAATTTATGCTCCCATCATGCGTTCCTCTTCCGCTTGTATACGCTTCCACGTTCCAACGATTGACGAATTCCGTTTTGATCTGGGTGCGACGACAGCCAAGTTGCGTCGGCATGTGCGGAAAACGGCCTGGATGGCCGCGGAAATGTTTGCTGAACGGCCAGCAAGGAGTCAACTATCGGCGAAGTGGCGTCTCTGGTGTGAGCGAAAAGTGCATGCGCGAACAGGCCATGTGGCCTCTGAAAATGGCGTACTGCCGTCGGGTAGTCGTGATTGGCAGCTCGGCGACAGTGGAGAGGCACTTGCGGCTGGTAGGAGAGTAGTGGAACGAGGCTGAAGAGCCAATTGATGCGAAGTAAGGGCAGCGGGTGAGAGATACGCTGCCGTGGGCTGGGGGCTTTGGGGAGCCTAAGACGGAATGATGGGGAGGGATGGTGTCCTAGAACTCGAGGATTATGAACCTAGAAAGTCAGGCTCGGACGCCTCGAAAAGAGCGGAATAGGAGACGCGTTGGATTGTGCTACTCATGACTGCAATGTTAAAAGGCAGCGTGCAATTGTGTCAAGGTCATGTGGCTCCAGAAAGCGCATTGCGTAAAACCACTTTTGGAGGGCTTCTTGCTGGGCCGCCTCGATCAGTGATAGCTTGCAGCTTGCACCCAGCTTGTATGCCATCCATAACCAAGTAGAGAACAGCCACAATCACTAGTCCCCTTGAGAGATGGCCATATACGATGCCTACATAGGTTAGGACAGCCTATTGCTTCACTGTCTTGCCTCCACGAGTATGCCTGCCTTACAGCTCCTAGCTCCACCAGATCAGACACCACAAGCCTGAGCTGTGAGGCACATACGCTGGGCAACCCTCGGAGCCGAGACACGCCCGCCTAGGCAACAGCTAGGAGGCAGCTTCACTCCTGACCTTCCACGACCTTCCACGGGCTACCAGCTAGCGCCTTGGCTCCAAGACAGGTCACATACCCAGCGGGGAGAGGAGAGGCACGATTACATTGTTTCAGGAGGGCCCGATTAAAAACTCTAGCGTTGATGAATAACCAACCTAAGCGAGCCCGTCCGCCAGGTATAAGATCTCGGTCACCCTCGGGCTCCTTTCAAGAACTTCACCCTGGGTTGGGTAAATCGTTGGGGTGGCCAAGCTCATGAATCTGGTCCACCTGGTGGACCCTCCTGCATTGCACAACGCGGCGAGGGGCTACTATGAGTCCGCTTCGGGGGGCTCACCGGCATAATTTTTGCTTGCAGTCTCGCTCATCATTGAGCAAATCTTTTCATTGATTGTCTCGCCTTGTGCGAGAGATTGAAGAAGAGATCTGGTGGTGTTGTGAAGCACAAGCTGCTGTGAAAGACTCTATGTGAGACAACGCTGTGGAGTCGGTCTGGTACATGAAGGGCCATGGGGGTCTCTCATAGTTGTTGGATACTCTGAAGCTGCGTTACCATCGCTGTGGTTGTGTTTGTTGTGGTGTCTTGGGCGGGGTCACAAAGTCTTCATGACGTGCCTTCTCCCAGATTGATGATGTACTATATTCAGCAAGCCCTGCATTGTACTGATTTGAATGAGTCTAGAAGGTACACTTTTGATTTAATCAACCCAGACGCCTCCGGCCTCCATCGTATCGTCCTACTCGACCCTCCTCCTCCGCACAACGTTCGATGTAAAGAATATGATCAAATCTCTCGACGCGAGCTCTAGCTGGAACGGCGGCGGCGATACGTGAAGGCTATAGAACTTTGGCATCTACAACTTATTATATTATCAAACAAGCTCGACGAAGTAAGTACTCAGCAAGGCACGTTCAAAAACACGAATCATTGCAAAGAATGTTTAATCTAAGATTAAGACAGGTGCTCTGTTATGAAGAGAACCCTCGCAAGCTATCCCAGTCCTAGTCTTTGTGTTGTATAGCCCTGTCGAATAACCCTAAAGAGAGCCCGGGTATCCTTACTCCATATTCATGACTTAGCTCTGCGACAGCAGCAGGCTAAACAAGAGGGGGAATGGAAGGGAAACCGCTACACCGCATAGAGCGTCCCCTAATAGGAGGGCCGGAAATAGCAGAACCAGAAATAACAGACTCAGATAGACCTCAAGGAAGGAGCCAAACCGCAACAGCCAACGCAGAAATGTCAATCTGAACCTCGAGACACTACATTACGTCGTATCGTGTCTCACGGTTCTTGAAAATGATCCCGAGCTCCTCGCAAGCCACCTTTAAGGTGTTCATGTTCTTCGGGGCGTGCTGCCCACCCATAACAACAACTGTCCACTGTGTGGCCTCATCCTTGTGCATCAGCTTCAGGATGTCCACAATCTTGTCGTAGAGGGCCTCCTCCTCCCCGTCCTTGGGACTTGGCTTAGGGGCTCGGTATAACGGTGGAGTGACGATGTCTTGGAGGTCCACAGTCGCGTAGCGCTTTGCGCCTTTCCAGTACAGAGCCGACGCAGCAACGAAGATCTCAATGTGGCGCTTCAGGTGCGCTAGCTGACGCTCGGTGTTATCGTGAGGATCCATTCCTTCGTCCCATACGTCAGGGGTGATATAGACTCTGACAAAGTTCTCGAGAGCGTTATGCTGGGCGGCATGGAATGCCACGCCGGAATCGTGATTGGGGTAACAATCTCCCAAGCGGACCTCCACTTTGGCTTCCGCGTCTGACGAAGTTCCGAGAACGCCCATTGCTTCTTCATGGATCTGTTTGTTGACGTAGAGGAAGCTCAGAGGAGGCGCCTTCTGGTCACCCCAGTCTCGACCGCTGTACGCCCTGATCGTGCCTCCTTCCGCAATGCCGTTGTCTTTGTCGGCGGAGGTCTGGCTCGCCGGTCGAATCAGAACATGCTTGTAGATCATGTTTCTAAGCTCTCCTGGAAGGCTGAAGAAGCCTGAACCCTCGGTGGCTGTAGAGTGACCGACCTCGCTGGACGATTCGCAGATGCTCTGGGCACAGATTTGGTGGACATTGCTGGCTTCGAGAGAAAGAGAGCCTTCCTTCTTGGGGGTAGTTTGGTCCATCTTGGGAGTTGAAGCTGTAGTAAAGGATAGTGTTATGGTTGGTTGTAGGAAGAAATGGTAAGTATGGTAGGTGTGGTGCTGGGAGAGGATGTGGTGTATTTTTCTGGTTGGGGAACGATGAGGTCTCTTTTATAAGCTCTATCCTGGCAGAAAACGTGAATCACTCGAGCACCGGAGATGGCACCGGTCCCTTTCACTGACAATGGTCCGACTACACAGGACGCCCCGACTCCGCGACTATTCACTGGAGAACTTGCATTCTCCGATCTAGAACACAACTTCCCTAAGCTGCCGTAAGTATATACGCGATTTGGGCTAATATAGAGGCGGCAGTTGATCCATGAACGATGCTTCAAGGAGCGCTGGGCGCGGCCTCGGATTGTACGAAGGTCCAAATGTCCGAAGCCTGGGGTCTTTCACTACTGGGAACATAGTGAAACGAAAGCCGCGCACCCTCTGAAGAGGGGTTGATTGCTTGTAATATAGCTTAGAAGTGCTTGCTACGTCCTTTCACCCCGGTGTGCCTTAAAGCTTGTCTTGTAGCTTATTCCATCTGATTGTATAGGCTGTGGAATTCTAGCAAACATTCGTGCATTATGCTGCAAGTATATAGAGTCTTGGATAGGGTATTTGAATTGGATAGGGTATTTGAATTGGATAGGGTATTTGAATTGGCTCGTGCACATATACACGTGATATGACGGAGAATGCCGTGTGTATACAAAAATCGCATAGAATCAGCATTATATTACATTCAGTTCATGCGTGAGGCTGTATATCGACAGAGAATGTATATTATCAATTCCCCCCAATAGCGTTGAGGTTCCACAAGTGCATAGAATACAAGAGAATGCCCCCCCACCCGTTTTTTGTATACACACGGCATTCTCCGTCATATCACGTGTATATGTGCACGAGCCAATTCAAATACCCTATCCAAGACTCTAATGTTACTTACTTTCCGGTCCCGCCAATTTTAGGTTGGGCGTGCTTTTTTATCCAACACATTAATATCACGACCTCGAAGGACTCCTACTCAAATAAGCACATTTACTACCACTCACTATAGGGAAACAATATCAACTTAATCTATACCCGCCATAAATTACCCTGAGGTCTCTACCCTAGCCTAGGTTCTGCTTCTATGGAGTGTCTTATGCTCCGTGCCATAAAGAAGCCAAAAGATACGAGGGCCTAGTTCAATTTCACTATACCACTGCTCCCCACGAAGCCGTCGAAATGGACCCATGAATCCGTTTCCCGCCCGGAGACCTCCTAAACGGACTCTTCCTATCGGCGTACGTCAAACGTGAAGCCGTACCCTTCGCATTTCGCCTTAAAAGCAGCCACACTGTTCTGCAGTTCCGCAGTCTGATCCACAAGGTTGCCCAAGAGACCCACTGCAACTGTCCACTCAGTGATGGTGTCCTTCTTCATCCTCAGAATCTCCTCCATCCGGTCCTCAGCGTCCGTCTTCAGCTGCGCGTCGTCGATATTAAGGCCACTGCTCTCAAAGATGGTTTCATGAAACAGGTCGTTAAAGTCGACCGTCGCCCAGCGCGTCTTATCATCCCACTTCTTGCTAGCCGATCCAGACACGAAGCTCTGCACATGGCGCCTCAATGCGGCCAGAGCCGAGCGTAGGGTCTCACCCCTGGTGGCGCTCTCGTAGAATTCCACCACGTCCATAATCTGGATGTTGACGCGGACAGCGTTGACGAGCGCATTCGTAGTTGTTTCGCAATACTCTCCGGGAAAGTAGGAAGGCCGGGTGTCCTACGCACTCATGTTCACCGGAGCTGTTCGTCCGAGCGCTGCCGACGCCTCTTCGTGGATCTGTTTGTTGACTTGCAGAAGAGACAAGCCGGAGATGTCGTCCAGCACCATGGTTGGTTTGATTGGTTGGCGGCTGGACCCGGGAAGTGCGTGCTCGTATACCATATCGCGGATCTCGCGAGGGAGTTGAAGGAAAGGGTGGAAGGTCGGCAAGGGGACTGCGTTGGCCCGTTGGAGACTGGCAATTTTAGCGGATGCTCGAGTCGGACGAGCATTTGCCTTTTGCTGGTGCTTCGCTACCCGTCCAGAATAGGCTTTGTCGAGGGTCGAAGCCTTCTTCTTGTTGGCTGCAGCTCGAGGCATCGTAGTTGTGCTGAGCTTGCTGGAGACGTTGACTGGCGTTGAGCAGTCTCGTTGGAGCGAGACAGTGCTTGCAGGATGCCTGGGGTGGTGGGTGGAAGTGGGCTTCAGAACCGCTGTGGTGTGGATGCAGCTAGAGAAAGCACGGGACGCATCTAAAGACCTGCCGCGCCCTTCGAACATGTGAATCACTGAAGGCATCACCGGCCTGCAAGCTAGACATTGTAAAAATTCAGTGCGAGGCTCGCGTCCTAGTCGGTGGAACCGGACCCGATTCCGGTGAATCACGTGACCAGCAGGTGCTGCGAGTATATAAACACTGCTTGTCCCTCTCAGGAACATCACCAACTCGCGTAACACTTATACACACCCACATCACCCTTATCGCTACTCTTCTTAGCACATATAAGTTCGCGTTCATATTAAGATATCTCAGACCTTTTCTACAATCCTCCATCGAGTCGAGATATCAGAATGGCGAGATCTGCAGAAAACAAACCGAGGCCAAAGCCAAAGTCTTCCCTCAACCTCGACGGGGCCTACACAGGCCGAGTCATCAAGCCAGCAAAGGCTTCAAGCCACGGTAACGTTCGAGCTTCGAACGCGCGCCATCGCATCCAGCCACACCGGCGAACCAAGCCGCTAACGACATTCTCTCTCTTCAAGAGTTTGCCGGCGGAGATTCGTGACATGGTCTACCGAGAGATACTACCAGTCATGAAGAACGGAGAGATTGAGCCTCGCTACGTAGGCGGGCAAAACGGATATGGTAGAGTCATGCCTGGTCTGGAGATCTTGCGGACCGACAAGCAGATTTATCATGAGGCAATGGGGACGCTCTGCCGCGCAACAACAGGCATACTCGAAGTCAATTCTGATGCAGACGAGCAAAGCCGTCAAAATAAGCCAGCCTGGGACTCATACTACGCAACAGAGCGAAACATCCTAATGAACTTTCCGCGAGTCCTTATCGACGCCGGCGTCGAATATGTCAACAGCGACGTTATCAGCCGTCGGAAGGGTGCAATGCTCATGCTAAAGTTAGTCAAAGTCTACCTAGAGACCTTACCGGACATTGACGAAACTCAAAACAAGACTCTCGTATTGGACACGCTACTGGAGCTGTTGAAATTGATGGCTAAGAGCACCAGCATCCAGTGGACGGTTGAACATTGGGATGTTGGTGTGACTCGGTCCTCCTGGGAAATTTCAACATCTTCAAAACGGCATGTGAGGAACACGGTTTCACTTGCACGAGCCGCGGGTAGGACTCGATGCTGGAATAGTGCGAAGATTGCGACGCGATCACCCACAGGAATCAATTGAAGGCGATTAAAGTTTTTAGCTGGACAAATGGCAACTAGCTTTCGCACTTTTGGATTACGAAATTTTGGAGTACGAAGCACATAACAAAATTAAGGATCTGGGAATAAACAAGAGTGGAATGGACGCCAAAGGCCTATGCTATCTTGAATACGAAAAATGATAAGTCCAGGGGAGGACCGAGAGCATGATCCTGCCCCCCAAACCCTAGACTTGATTTGGAGCCTATAGCTCATTAAATTACACAGTACCCAAACGGGTGAGTTCATGGGCGTCTCCGGAGTACAAACGCCCAAAGTGCCAGTCTCGAATTAGAACCTGTAGCTCTTGACATTTCAGAAACTTGAAAAGAATTAGTGCAGAGGTATCTCGAGAGTACACACGCGCTCCTAGGATTATATTGCTTTAGGGCGAATTTATGTCCTCTAGATATTGCATTAGTGACCGTTAAAAGGACTAACCGGGGTCCATCAGGTACAGCTTGGCCTCCTCCCTACGACTGTCCTCCCGTAGCGCCAACAAAGTCTTGATCATCGCCTATGTCTCCCAATCCTAATAATAGCGTACCTCCTTCTCGCCTCTACGTACCCATATCCGTTCTTCTCGCAAGTCTCCTTGATCAGCTCCGCGAAGGAACCTAGTTGGCGGCCCGTAACCGGCACCTTGACGGTCCAGCGGATGGTGGTATGCCCCTTCATGACCTGGAAGCACCGCTTCCATTCGGCGTTTACATTCTCATGTACAAGCAAAGTGCCGCCCAATTTGAACAAGTCCTCGAGTCTCGACCAGATCCACTCATGCAGATCCAGCGTCACCTCACGCTGCGGGCTGTCGTAGGCAGTTGCAGAAACGGCAACAATACCGCGGATCGTCTCTTCCAATCCCCGTATGCCGCCCTTCCTAGGCGCTGTAGCCGGACGACTGAGGGAGATGTTGATGTTGGTGAAGTTCTCGACGGCCTCATTGACCATAGCCCGCTGCCCCCTATTCGGCCGCGCCACAGCGTGCCTCTCGAGACATATATGGCAAGTTGCCCTCCGTGCCAAAATGGCGGCGGCTCCGTCGTGAATTTGACGGTTGGCGGCCAGGAGGGCGAAGCGCTCCGGTTCTCCAGACTCAACCACCTCGTGCGCAGTCGCAGGTTTGAACGTCACGTCGGGTTCCAGCACGAGTTCGTAGATGGCGTTGCGGAGTTCTCCCGGTAGCTCGAGGAACTTGGTGAACTTCCCGGTTGGGGCCCGGGTACGGAGTCGCTCGGTGGCCGCCGTTTTGCGTGCTTTGTTTGCTGCTTTTGCTTTCCGGGTTTTCTCAGCGCGGGCCTTACTAATAGTTCTATCGCGCTTGCGCTTCGTCTGGGACGGCATCTTTAAGTTGGCGGAGGAGCGATTTGTCCTGTGTTTGAAGGAAAAAGGGCGTAGACTGTTGGCAGAGGTGGGAGGTAGCGATGGAAATGTGTGAGGGAGCTAGCGGGCAGGGTGAAGGTAAACGACGACTCGGTTAGGTTAGGGGGCTATATATGGCTCAATATGGAGTTCCTACGAGTGAGGGCTGGTTATATACACATGTCGCACCATTTAATAGTGAATTACCAACTCCCAAACCACCTTGCGGCAAAATAAATGACGATGCTCAGCCAGGTGCGCAGATTTTCGGCATTACTCGATGTGGACCCAGTACTGAGCCGTAAATCTAGATGTATAGATATAACACTAATCGAGTCCAGCGCTTGACCGTCTATTACCGCCGTCGGGAGTGGCCCAGCTACAATCGCTTGCGTGTTGCAAAGACCGTTCAATACAGACTCAATATGCTTTCCACTTTGTCTAGCATCGTCAGAGTTTTCATGTAGATGGTGCATCCCTTTGTCATATGTCTTGAAAGCATTGTATTACACGCGACTGTTCCTGACTATACTCGGCACACCTACGAACTAACATCAGCATAATCCCTTATATTTCCAATGCATTGTTCGTTAACAACGCACTCTTCAAGCTATATAGAAACACATTGCGGCTTGCAAAGCGACCACCTCATCACACCTCGAGAAAACCTGAAGACTCATGAAGCAACCCAAGAATCTCCCGCCAACACACAAACAACATCATACCGAGCACCTTCCGCGTCCTTAAGCAAACTTCATCGAAAATGCGTTTTGGTCACCTCTTTACCTTCGCTCTAGTCTTGCTCTGCACCGTTAGAGAGCAAGTATCCCCAGCCGAGAAGACGCCCTATCGGCCATTTCAACCCGTGATCCCACCGACACGACGCGCGATCTCTTCAAACGGCCTGATTCCATGGGATTCAACTCGGATGTCGCCAGCTTCGAAGAAAGGTTCGAGATGCCTGACTTCTTTAAAAAGCTCGGTTAGGATATGAAATCACTCACCACCGATGGCCTCGTTCTCGAAGAAACCGTCGAGATGTCCGACGTCATTGAAAAGCTTGGTTGGGATGTCGATTCACTCACTGCCGATGGGCTGAGCTTCGGGGAAACCTTAGAGATGTTTCCAGCAGCGATGAAGGTTCTTCAAGCCGATAGTCTCGGAACCTTTCTCGGTGTAGATAGGCTGCCTATCAGGGCGCTCGCTGAACTCGAAGTCCTTGACGATATTATGGGCGAGCATCGACGTGCGGTCGAACGCATTCTGAGCCCGCTGAAGCCATCAAGAAAGAGCTCTGATAACCTGAACGATTATGCCTCTTTCCTTCATGTCCTGTGCAAACGTCATGATCGGGTTACTTACCCAACGCATAGGTAACTTCTCCATGAACCAGTACCTTACTGCGTAAGATCTTTCTCCATGAATGAAACTCTTCATCACTAACTGTCCTTAATCCCCCTTTGACCCGTGAAAAGAACACTTGCAACTAGAATCATGCTTCTGCTCTGCTCCACAACAAGAATCCTCCCGTGCTTTGCCTTCTATGTAATTACGCAAGTTCAAATTAAGTCTTTATACTGAAATCCCACATCTTAGCCGTCATGATAGTTCGCTACCTACGATATACTTATCCCGCCAATCATCCCTTCGTCCGTTGAGACACCGTGCACTGTTCCTACCTACCATCCCCTCACTCCCCCTTCCACACCTCCCCCACAAACCCCTCCACATCCCCCCAAACCACCCCCGGCCTCTCCAACGCCGCGAAATGCCCGCCTCTGTCATGCGCCCGCCACCACACCACCCTGCCCGTGCTTTCCACCCACGCCCTCGGCACGGGCGCCACCTCCTTCGGAAACCAGCTAAACCCCACCGGCTTCGCGATGAACCACGCCGGATCCCCCGCGATCCCGGGCTCCCTGTACGTGAAGATGCTGCGCGGAAACGTGTCGGTGAGGTAGTACAGCGATACCGCTTCGAGGATTGTGGGGAGAGATGGGGGGGTGTCGGACCAGGCGAGGAATTTCTCGCCGATCCACGCGAGGAGGGCGAGGGGGGAGGACGAGAGGCACAAGCCAATGGTGGCGGGGCGGGTGGCGTGCTCTTGCATGTACGCCGAGCCGGAGGATTGGAATTGGGCCAGGCGGGCTAGACCGGCTTGCTCTTCTGGCGAGGGGGTGGAGCTGGTGGGGTGGGAGGGGGGTGGAGGGATCATGCAGAAGTTTAGGTGGGCCGCTTTTGTAATGGAGGTAGTTAGCTTTGGTGCTCGGCTTGGAGTTTGAGAGAGATGTATGGAATACAGTTGGGAGAACGCTCGGGAAGACGAATGTCTTAAGACTGGTGTTACACACGTGGGAGCCGGCGGGTGGAAACGCGTACCTTTTACCTCCGGATACTTCACAGCCGAGATGCGGGCGACTCGACTCCCAATATCTCCGCCTTGCACCATATACGCCTCTAAACCCAACAGCTTCACCCCCGCATTCACAATCCTCGCCACGTCCTCCGCCCCAAACCCCCGATCCGCCGGCGGCGCATCCGAGAACACAAACCCCGGCAAACTCGGCACGATAACATGATACGGCAGCGTCTCCTCCGAATACTGCCCCCTCACAACCTCCAGCATAGGTAAGAACTCGAGAAAGCTCCCCGGCCACCCATGCAGAAACACAATCGGGATCGCATTGGCTCGCTTCGAGAATAGAGCCACGAAGTGGAGATTGAATACACCGTCCGCGTTCCCGCTCTTTTCATCCGGGACAGGAGCGGTGAAGTGCGGGAAGGTATTGATGTATTTCTCGCTTTCCCGCCAGTCGAATTTCTCCCACTCGGATTTCGCGTCCATCAGCCAGTCGCGGGAGATACCGAAGCGGCCGTCGGCTTGCTGGTTCTCGTAGGTTGGGATGCCGATTTTGGATAGTTTGACAAGCTGGTGGAGTTCTGAGACGCGGGCTTCAGCAATGTTGACTACGAAAGGTTTGAGAGAGGGGGAGGCTCCGGTGGGTGGGATTGCGAAGGAGGACATTGTAAGGGAGGTATGTATTCGAGGATGGGGATGATGATTTGGTGGATAGTTGAGGCTTTATAGGTGGTTCGTTTGTAGGTAGGTACATATAGGGCGCACGCACGGCACAGGGTTGGGTTCGGTGCTTATAAATCATGATTACAATCACGTGACGGACAAAAAATATATAAATAGATACGGAGTTTTGACAATAACTAGAATCTTGAGGTGGAATCCTGGCTCGTGGTGGGGATGGGATAGACAGTAGATTTAAGAGCCACTTTGAATAAAACCTTGTCTAGTGTATGGGCTTTGATCGATGAAGGACTAATTTTCTTGAATGAGAAATGGACAGTAAGTATAGACTAAAGGTACCTTACCTACCTGAGCAACCACAAAATGGTAGTGGTCAAGGGACGGCGAAGATAGTCGTCTATTGCCGTAATTTCAAATTCGGACCATCGACTAATCACTCTACTCACGTTTTACCCACTATCTGGACGTAGAACCTACCCCAGGGATCCCCGGACGCGTCTTCATTCCATTCACACGCTTCGAATGCCATGATACAGAGTAGTTGATAAACGCCGTAGCGGATGCTACTAACGCCATGTGCTCCATATCCCCACTGGTATCAATCTAAGCCATTCTTGTGTCTGCCTGGTATTGCCTCATCTGCATCCCCAAGGCTAATCGCCAGCAAACACCATTCTCGCCTCGTTCATGATGTCACAACCGCTTGACATGACCATGTCTTCATATCGTCCGCTTCTCCAAAACGGCTCTTTGGGCTCCAATGGAGGCATCGTTTAGGTCGTGGCGGCACCAGCAGCGCCCTCGGCCGGGAAATCGTTCGGCCAGCACTTCTCCTTGGTCCACTCGCCGGAGTGGGTCGAGGCGTGATCTTCGAGCTGCACGCGCATAGTGCTGACGATTTCCTTGCGGCAGTTTTGGCACTGAAACAATTTGTGGTCAGCAGAGCCCAATCTGCAGCCTGCTCTCATGATCTTGGGGAAAAAAGGGAGACGAATTTTGGGCAGAATTTATATAGCCAGGGCTGTAAAGAGGACGTACGATGCTCGTGGGCTTCGGGGCCTTGACAGGTGTGCCGTTGGGACGGACAGCGGCGCGGGTGCCTGCTGCGTCGCCCTTCTTGTGCTCGCGGGTGCGCTGGAGTGTATTAGTGAGATGCAGAGGGAATGGGTCATGGCAACGTACGCGGTCTTTCTTTGAGATAGGCATGGTTGCGGGTTGTGGGTGTTGTTTGGGTGAAGTTGCGGTTGTAGGTGGGATGGCGAGCAACGAGGTGAGGTTGAAGTTGGGCTGGATTTTCACGAGCCTTGGCGCCCGCATAATGCGAGTTATGCCCGCGCACAGTTCATAGCGCTAGAACGTCAACACCACACCTCCTATCACAAAGAGACAAGATGCATCATTTGCCTTGCACTGGAGACTGAAGGCCTATTGGTACAGGCCTTTCCAAGCTCTTCCCCTCCTCATCGGTGCTTCTATTCCTTTTCTCGTCAGTCGATGCAATTGGCCCCCAAATCTCCTCTCCGATGTCGTGAGCTATTCGGCAGAGTCCTCCCGTGATCATACGCTGCCATCTCAGCTAGCTTGGGTGGCCGAGATTATCCACCGTCATCTTTCTGCAAGGACCAGCCGGATGCCCTGAAGAACCAGGCAGCCTCTCTGTCGACCGCGTCGTTGCCTTCAGCTCCTGCACATCCTCGTGCATCGCCACATTCAACACGCCTGTATCAACCCTCCCAAACTATCCCTTCGACTCAAATGCTTCATATCTTCCCAGGAATTGTCAATTCAATCGCGTGTTTCATGAATTGGCGTTGAGTCCGCACAACGCTCCCCCCAGTCATTGTTTTCTGTTCTCTTCTAGCCACAATGCCGTTCTCCCTTGACGGCTCTCTTCCCGAGGAGCTTATCGACCGCATAATCCAATTCGTGTCTTCCGACCCGGATATGAGAAGGTCGAACTCAGACTCACCTAATTATTCGGCCCTTGCCCCACTTTGCTTGACCAACAAAAAGATCAATAGAATCGCAATGCCGCATCTCTACTCCGCTATTTTCTTCAAAGACGACTGCTATGGCTCAGGAGTGAAATACCTTCTCCCGTTCACATTTCTCATGTGGCAGTCTCCGTCTCATGCAGCGCTCGTCCGGTCATTCTCGAGTCGGGGTTCATGGGGTGAGGGAGGTATCACTCCTACAGCGGTTCTAGATCCCAACGACTTCGACTACGTACATGGTAGACTCGATTGGCCAAAACACGATGATCTCGACAGCATACTGAAAGCTAGAGTCGACGAATATGCAAAGGGCGACGAAGAAGCCAACACTTGGTTCGAAGACGTCAAGACTGCGGAGGACGAGGATGCTGTACTAGCACTACTTCTTCCCGCCCTTCCTAAGCTCCGCAAGTTGGACTTGATCCCAGATGCCTTCCTGCACGATACCTACGTCCTCCGCCCATTCCAACGTCTCGATTCGCGCAAAATGCCATTAACAGCCGGCCAGGATGACAGCTCCACCCCCTTCGGCTCCCTCACCGACGTCCTCATAGCCGGCGAAGTTGACAAATACCGCACCAACCCGGCCATCTTTTTCGGCGCTCTCGCCCTCCCTGCCCTCCGCCGCCTCTACACCTACCGCACTGGCGTGGAAGGCCAAGACGAAGTGAACAGAATCCTCGCAGCCATTCCACCCGAATCGTCACCCGTCGAGTACATCGAGCTCCGCGCTAGCAAAATTTACTCTCCCAATCTCGAAAAGGTCCTCAAAATCGCCACACCCGGCGTCCTGAAAACCTTCATGTACGAAATTGGCTGCTCCTGGCCCTGGACCCCAGTCAAGCAAGAAGAGATCCTCTCAGCCTTAGGCCCGCACGCGCCCCACCTCGAAGCTCTTGCCCTGACCCACGAACACTACTACCCCTACCAAGACGAGCTAGACGAAACCCCCTGCGCGCTGCAGTTCACGCACTTCCCCGCGCTCAAAAAGCTCAAACTCGCGCCCGTCTTCGTCTGGGGCCACGACGGCCTATTCTCACCGCCGCAGGGGGATTCCGCCCCCGCTGAGCAGACAAAGACGCAGACCCGCGCCATCGCCGACTACCGCTCGAAGCTGTGGCGCGCTCTAGCCCCTTCCCTCGAGGACCTGTGCGTCACCTGTGTGCGGGACCTCGGCGTGCCAGGCCACGACAGCCGGATTACGCCATTCCTGACGCATCACCTCTTCCCCGCGCTCGAGGAGGTGCTGCTCATGAAGGCGAGACACTTCCCCAACCTTACAAAGCTGAAGCTCGAAGGCCCGCTGGCCAATCTAGAAAATTGGAGTATTGATATCGTGGGGTTTATGCGCATAGCGTATGAGTATGGGGTCACAGTGACGCTGGTGAACATGGTGGGGGATTCTCCGTATAAGGGGGAGTCGCGGGAGGTACCGTGGGGATGGGACGAGGATGTGAGATGGAAAAAGTGTGTCCTTAATCAGGGGCATCCGAAGAGGGCTTTCATTTATGAGAAAGGGGAACATGAGTTAGAGAAGAGGTTGAAGGATTTGGTGGCGCCGTATTGGGTGGAGGAGAAAGAGAAGGAAGAGAAAGCGGATGAGAGGGAGAGTGAGGGGACTGCTGAGTTTACTGACGGCGAAGAGACGAACTCAGAGGAGAGTGAGGGGGATGAATGAGGGGAGTGATGAAGCTATGGGCGAGGAGAAGGAGAGTGATGATGAATAGTGATAGTCGCGATAAGAGGGCTTGTTGCTGGAGATGCTTGTATATCTGCTCCGGTATCCGCAGTTTCTGGTATCAAAACTGCTGCGCAGAAGAACGAAATATTCTCTTCACACCACTATGCCACAATTTTGCAGACTCTTCTTACTACTGCTCAGTCAATGGCTCGCCCCATGGCCATTCACCTCTTATCTTTGGGTCCGTGCTGCAAGCGTTTGTATTACTCCATCCCCTACCAATCAACACCAAGCTCGAAACGCTTCCTCGCGAATCACCTACACCCACCTCTAAAGACCACACCACCCATCTCGCAAGATAGACTCCGAAATAGCTGCCATGACCACCACGACGGCAACTCCCAGCCCGGAGTACGCCCTTATACGCAAAGAAACGCACGCCAACGCCGAGACGTCGGCTACCTTCCCCCTCTTCAAGTCCCTCCCCCCGGAGCTCCGCAACATGGTCTACGCCTCCCTCTTCTCAGACCATCCCACCATCAAGCCCTCCCAACGCCACGACACCCCAATTCCCATCCCAATCCTCCTAGCCGACAAACAACTCCACGACGAAGCCCACACCGTCCTTGCCTCGACCGCCGTCGTCGCCATCACGATATCCTTCTTTAAGAGCTGGCCGCCTACCGCGACCGAGCGCAACGCGCTCCTCCGCTTCCAGCGCGTCCGGTTCGACAATGCGGGCTTCGGCCCGCGCGACCTCGCCAAGTATCGTCTGCAAGCGTCCAGCACGAGCTACCAGCTCGCGCAGATGCTCCAGGCACTGAACGCCCGGCTGGTAACATTCGTCTCCGGATCAGCGGGGTTGGCGAGAGATGTGAAGCGGTACGCGGAGGTTGATGTGCGGAATTTGTTCTGGGTGCTGGAGCTTGGGATTGCGTATAGTGAGGGGATGGAGGGGAGGATTGTGGAGAGGGAGAGGGGGAGTATGGAGAGGGGGATTGGGAAGTTGCGAGAGCGTGTGGTGGAGGAGTGGGTTGGCTGTTTGTGGACGATGAGGGGGGATGAGCATACGGAGTGGACTGTTGTGAAAGATGCGGGGATGGATGCGAGGAAGTGGTAGGGGGTGGAGGGGTGGGAGAGGGTGGAGGAGATGTGGGGTGAAGGCTGTTCAGGCGATGGGTTGGGCGGGTAGGGCGAACGGGTTGATGGGGGTTGGGGCATGCTAAGGAGGAAGCGGAGGCTGAGTCTCCCGGCGCCTGTTTGGCATATTATCCTCGTCTAGTAGGAGGGCCGTGCGCGTATGCTGATTCGTGGATACATTCACCCCCTCGACGCAAGCGACCTCAATACCCCGCCGCTTCCTCCTCCACAATCCTTCGCCTCTCCACCCGATCCCCAGCGCTCCACCACGGCCCAATCTCCTCTATCTACCGCGTCTTGAGACAGCTTGATAGCCCAAACCGTGTGCTTATTCGACCGCATCAGCTCCAGGCATGCCGCCATCTGCTCCACAGCCTGCACAGTCTCCCGGGCCAGTCCGGTCACAGGCCCCCTGACCTCCGACCAAAAGAAGTCCCGAAAGCAAACCGACGCAGCCCGCTTCTCGTGCTCCTCCATCGCCTCCGAGCCAGCCACGAACGTCTCCAGCTTCGACTTCAGCTCCGCGAGGTCTTCAAGCCGCTTCCCTGGACTGAATTCCCAGCCCATCTGGAAAGGGAAGCTGAGCAGGGTGCAGGCGCAAGTGCCGTGGCGACCGAAGTCCATGTGTTCGAACACCACGTTGCGGAAGTTGCGGAGGGCGTTGTTTTTTGTCTCGTTGAATTCTTCCTTGAGAGTAGAGGGGGTAGTCGGTTCGCAGTGCGGCGCAGCCTTCGGGTGGACATGGGCGGTGGATTGCTTTTTCAGAACATCCGAAGCCTCGTGATGGAGTTGTTTGGACACGAAGAGGATGTTACGCGCGTGGGTGGAGTTGTAGTTGTCTTTTCCAATCCAGGCATCGCGGAGAGGCTCGAGGGCATAGCTGTAGACCTTGTTGCGGATTTCGGCTGGGAGGTCCAGGAAGTTGGTACCGGTCATTTTGAGGTTGATTGAGGAAGAGGGGTATTTGTTATGGGTTGTACGGTGAGTGCGTTGTGAGGTTATGGTGTGTAAGCGGTGTGGTGGTGTTTAAGCAGAGGTAGTGGAAGCTGATGCGAGACATTCAGTGGGAAAAATTTATAGGGGCCTTGGTAACGCGAATCGACCCCAAGCAGTGAATCGAGGGCGCGGTGGGTAGCGCGGCGTCCGTGTCATTTTACCTGCCTTTTTCCCTTTAATTCACGTCGACACCTTACAGTAATCGCTCACAATGGTTTCCCAGGGAGACGAAGAGCGCCTTATACAGACTTATATCACTCCTTTCCCATAACACCCTCCTGTGCTCCCACCATACCACCACACGAGATCGGATCCACTTGTTCAAACAGCACAACAACCCTCAGTGCTTTGGATTCACCTGCGGCAAGCATTCTGGGAGGGTATAAATTTCTTCTCGCGCAGCAGTTGCAATTGTCTACAACATCACACTCATCCACCACCACTCACCAGGACCCGCCGACGGTCCACTTCGATTGGAACATCCACCACATCTTTTCGCCAGAATACATTAACGATGGCTCCCAGGAAGGGCCGCAAAGACGCCTTCAAGAACGCAGTCTCCGGTGGCAAGGCAGCTTACGGACGTGTATTGAAGATAGAGCGTATCACCCGGAGCCAGGCTCGCGCTCAACAGGAGCAAGCTCAGAAGCTACAACAAGCGCTTCAGCAGGAACAAGCCCTCTTACAGCAACGAGGCCTTCTCCAGCAGCAAGGATTTTTCCAGGATCAGGCTTTCCTCCAGCAACAAGGTCGTCAACATGAAGAAGCCCTTCAACGACATTTGGCGGCAGAAGCTGCTCGGTCGCGAACCACCTTCTTCGACCTACCGCGAGAGCTCCGCGACATGGTCTACGACGAGATCTTGGAAGACTTCAAGCACGTCAAGCCGTGGTCCTCTCGGTGGGACCGGAAGAAGGTGATGCCGCCCTTTCTGGGCGTCAACAAGCAGCTCCACGACGAGACTAGGGAAGCTCCGAAGTGGCAGACCATTAGCTGCCAGTGGGAGATTGAGCGGGAGATCCAGCCTGCCCCTGAACCTCAAGAGGAGGACACCGCCATGGAGAGCGAAGAGGAACTCGACTATGAGGAGCGACCACGCCCTCACCAAGACGGTCTCCGCCTGCCGTGCTACAACGTCATGGACCATCAGCTCACTGCTACGGAGCGCCATGCCCTCACACACCTCGCCCATATGCGAGTTCTCCTTGAACCACAGGGTGGCAATGCGGAGGCTCGCTCAAAGTTTTTCCAGAGCCTGAAGACTTCCGTGGAAGTCTGGACTGACGCCTCCACCCAACCTCAGTGGGCCGACCGAACCCGTGATTTCAATGTCGTCATGAATGACTGTTTGATCTTCATTAACCAAACCCGTAGGATGCAATTGTGGGCTCGGCCCCGCGTCGACCGCACTGTTCGTGCAGAGGAGGACTTGGAGAAGCTTCGTGGTATCATCGAGATGATGAAAGCGGATAAGCGGACGCGGTGGGTGATTGCAGTTGAGGATGTTGATCACGAGTGGCATCTGCTAGATGAGTGGGAGGCCTTCAAGGCAGCCTCCGTGAGCACGGAGAACTTCGATTTGAGGATTGGCGACGAGGCGTGCCAGGAGTGTGAGAAGGAGGAGGCGGAGGACTGGTACACGGAGAGCGTTATGAAGCAGGTGCGGCAGATTCGTCGCCTTACCCAGGACGAGGAAGATGACGAGAGCGACGGGGAAGATGATGAGAGCGAAGAGGAAGAGGTCGGTGACGAAGATGAAGATGATGCCGGCTTCAAGGACGATGGGGGCGAAAAGAAGGAGGGCGGGGCCGATGCCGAAGATGAAGAGATGCCTGACTCTGAAGAGGAGTAGGAGAAGCAATGTGACTGACCTCGGGGCGGTATATCTCGAGTATTCTGCAGCGATGAGTGCTGTATTAGCCTTTCATGGGCATTTATTTAGGGGCACGTGCTGATTTTAGACCAGGTGTTTAGGTACTTGTTTCCTTTCCTTTGACGAACTTCGGTACGGCTAGAATGTCTTTGCGGTCAGAGTAGAAGCGTGTTTTTTGTAATAGTAATGATACCCCGAAATAGGCGCTGTTTGTCTACGTGATGGCTCATTCAAGAGCGCTGTAAGGGGTAACCCAGCTGGTAGGCAGTTGGCCGGTCAATTGGGAGCCTGACGCACAGTACTTTAAATCTTTGTATAAGTAGCTGGATTTATCGAAGCTCATGGAGATGTCTTGCTCGTTAAACGCTGCTGCGAGGAGTCGCTTAGCCGTCGATTAGCTAGTAAGTCAAAAGGGAGCCTGACTTATTAAGGGGACTAGTAATCTCACACCCCCCTTTTCGCTATTCGCACACCCCCCCTTCTTGGCGCTTCACCACCTTCTAATTGGCTTGGAGCAGCGCGGAGCTTCCTCCGGGCATTCACATTTACGTATCTCTGCACGTGATGCTATACGCGAGGCCGTATGTAAGCTTGTACATGAGGCTATACGTAAGGCTATACAAATCGGTATAGCTATACAGCCTCTCCGTTTTGCAGCTTATCCTTTCTGTTTCCTTTAGCTGTAAGTAATGCCGTACGTGATGCCGTACGTAAGGCCGTAAGTGATGCTGCACGTGATGCCGTATGTGATGCCGTACGTATAGCTAAACGAAACTATCAAAACATCGCCTTGTAGAAGCTCCTTTCTATTAAGCCTGGCTCGCCTGCATTGCCGCCTGCATTGCTACCTATATCGCCACCTGCATTGCCACCTGCATCGCCGCTTGCGCTCGCTCATTCACTTCTAAGAGGAGCACGAGAGGAAACTCCGAAGAGTCGGCCAGGCCGCTCCAGCCAATTAGGAGATCAGACGAGAGGGGGGGTGTGCAAATAGCGAAAGGGGGTGTGTAGTTAGTGGCCCCCTATCAAAAAGGACGAGCCTGGTTATAACCCCCCCTTTTGCTAGATATAACCCCCCTTTTTGCTGCGTATCACCCCCCCCCTACATTTAGCCTAGATCCGGCCCGTAACAACGTTGTTCCACCAATCAGATTCACTTATCCCGATGTGGAATATACATCAACTACGCACTTACAATACACAACACCACGTCCTCTACATCACCAGCCTCTCCACTATACCCCTCCGCCCCCCCTGGAGCCGCCACGCGTCCGTAGAGGAAGAGGACCAGGCACGTGGAGGAACATCGCATCTCCGGCGAGCTCGTAAGACTACTACTCGTGCACAACAAGGGCAGAGTGTTGTAGGTGGACAGGAGCCAACTCAATCGATGCAGATTGCGACACAGGCCAGCCAAATTACTATGACAGGCATCTCTACAGGCACACCGGCGGTCGAGCGGGCCATTGTAGTGTGCAACAATCCTATACAGTTGACAAATACAGCACCGGACCTCTCCGCTGGACAAGCAGGCACACTCACAGCGACTCAGGGCTCTATTTCCTTAGTCCCTGACAGTCAACCAGGCCTTGAGGATGGTCCTCTGTCTACTCCTGAGGAGGAGGCTCTTCGTAGTGAAGGAAAGTGGGGTGGAAGACCTTGGTATAATGGTGTAACTATACGGTGTTCCTTTTAATCAGCAATTGAGAGGAGGCCATCTAGGAGCCTTCCGCTTCTAGACTAGCTAGAGTAGACAGAGTGAATACATCCTTTCCGATCCGATTTGTATAGCCTTGCCAATTTATGTAGCCTTGCTGATTTGTATATACATTACTTCCAATTCGTGTATACATCCTTTCCGATTTGCACAAGAGGTAAGCGAGTGAATCTGATTGGTGGAACAACGTTGTTACGGGCCGGATCTAGGCTAAATGTAGGGGGGGGGTGATACGCAGCAAAAAGGGGGGTTATATCTAGCAAAAGGGGGGGTTATAACCAGGCTCGTCCATCAAAAACCCTCTTTAGTCGAAAAATACTTGCTAGCTAGGGACTTTTCACTGCGGTAGGAGCTAGCAAAATGCAGCCCAAGTGGTTCAACGAGTTCGAATGTCAAGCTCGTGACTTGAGTCTGTGTTTTGAGAGAGGCTCAGAATTTCAACCGTATTTGTGGGTACTACGATAAAGGAAAGACAGAAGCTCGCTTCCTGCTTGAATAGATCTAGAAGATATATTCAGTTTGACCATACTAGTTGCTTGCTAGAGCTCTACAAACTCGTTCTCTTCGGCGAGTTTGAAGAGACACCACATGACTGGGCCTACAAACAATGGCCTATGCGATGTTGAGATCCTCTTCCAACTCCATGTCGTCCTCATCCATATCGGACAGCTCGGACTCTGCGTCGGACTCGTCACCAACATCCTGCATCTCCGCGTCCTCTCTCACATCGGGGCCTTCGTCTTCCTGCTCGTCAAGAACCTCGGTACGGGATCCACCACCAGCCTGTAACCACTCATCCATGTCGTCCGCGTCGTCATCATCCGCAAAGTACCAATGATACTTCGTAGCGAGCGCCAACGTCGAGAACTCCTCATTCCAGGACTTAGGTAATGCCACCTCCCACGCCATCTCCTTGTGCGCAAGAACCTCCTTCAACAGCGTGGCCAATCTGGCCAACAGTTCTCGCATTGTCTTCGTTCCCGTGAACTTGTCCTTGAACGGGCATAGGTTGATCCTCCCGCCCTGCCGCTTCCCATTCCACCGTGGATGTGCTGGCGTCTCCAGGAACATCCGCAACGCCTTCTCAAGCAACCGCACGCTGGTGGACACGCAGTGGGCGTAACCGATGTCGAATTTGAGGAGCCGCATTTTCTTGATAGCATTGACCTCCGTGGCCTGGAGGCCGAACTCGCCGATATCGCCCTTGATTGTGGGCAATGTGTGGCGGGCAATGGTGGCCGTGGCTTCCTCGTTGATTTGCTTGTCGACGAGTAGGAGAGGCGGGCACGGCAGGGGGGCCTCGATGCCCATTTCGAGGTCGACGGGGTCTGCGGCGTAGATGGTGCCGACGAAGGCTTCTAGGACGAGATCGTAGACATCGTCGCGCACGTTACGGGGGAGGCTCTTGAAGGGAAAGGGTGCCATTGTTGCCTGAGTTGCCGAATGCTTTGAGTCTTGGTAGAGCAGCTAGTGTGTGTTGGAATCTGGATTGAGAGCTGAGTAGGAAGATTGATTGAAGTAGTGTTTGGTTGGTTTAGCTGTGGGTGTAGCGGTTAGTGGTGTTGAAGTGGTGGTAGATCGTTTAGGTGGTGTGTGGAGCGATTGGTGAAGTTGAAGCTGAGCAGTAGGACTGGTAGATATATATATGGAGCTTATAATGCGGCGCTAAGCAGTTACAATTCTATACAATGTAGGCAGCTGTGAATGCTAAAGAGGTTAATGCATATTAAATGAATCGTGAACGCAGAGTGAGCGCATAGTGAATGCGTCCCGTGAGATCCAGCAAGTAGGAATTCAGTGCGTGAACGAGATCTTCCTGCCTAATTTAGTTATGAGTTAGATATTGATGATGAGATAGCCTACATATAGAAAGGAAAAGGGAGGTATACGAGCTATAAAACTCCTGGTTGCTAGTCGGGAGGGCTCCTGGCAATATCTATGCATGTTGAGTATTAACCCAGCATTGCACCACGGACGAGGGAAATAAAACAGGTCGCGGGTTGCTTTTTGAGCATGTTTTCTATGACTCTACAAACTAATTGCGTTAGGCAAGTTAAAAGAAAACCCAAAGAGCATATGTGCAGACACTCATTGCCTACCCGAGTATTCTACCTAGGTATTAATCAAACACTGCACGGCGAGGAAACGCCCTGACCACCAAAAGCTGGACCAATGAAGCAATGCCTGAAATGCTCACCTGTATGTGCTACTTCGACCTGAATGTTAGTTTCAGCCTCTGGCTTGGATTCGTAGATATATCCAGATCTACAGGCTCCACCTCTACCTCCGCGTTTGCATCCATAGTAATAGTAGACCTGTACGGCTTCACGAACTAGAGTCTTGTAGGAGCTCGTAATCCCATAGTTACGGAGGAACTCTCCGCGTCGCGTCACTCTCCTTTTCATCACGTGTATAAACACACTCATTTACCTCAATACAAGAATATATTCAATACAAGAATATGTTCAATTCAATCTATCTGGTAAACTCTTAACGCCTCCGCCAGCAACCAAAACCCATCCAGATCGCAGGCTCCTAGACAGCTAAGTCTACCAAGCTACTCCTTCACGGATTCCCGAACCGTCCATGGCCATCCCCCTTGATGAACGGCTTCATGACCTCCACCAATTCCCCCTTCTCCCTCGGCGTGCTATTCCTCTCCAACCACTGACCCGGGCCCTCGATCTCCCACTTCACCCCCTTATACCGCGTGAGCTCCTTCACCAACCTAATCAACTTCCGAACCTTTTCCACATGATGCGGCTCGATGCGCCCCATAATCGGCCACATATTGATCACAACCGCCCTCACCCTCCCCTCCCACCGCGGATGCGCCGACGCCTCCAAAAGTAACCGCAACGCCTTCTCAAGCAGCTCCACCATCTTCCCAAGGCGGCCGAAGATCGCCGAGCCGATATGGATATAAAGCTTCTCGAACATAACGAGCGCGTTCACTTCCGTGCCGAAGAGCTCGCAAGTTCTGAAATCGCCGGTGATTCTGCAGCGGGAGTGGCGGGAGATGGCGGCCGTGGTCTCCTCGCTGGTTTGCTTGTCGACTAGGAGAATGGGCGGGCAGAATAAGGGGATCTCGCCTGCTCGCGCTGTTAAGGTGGTCGCGACGGTGATGATGTCGCTGTGGTGATCTGGTGATAGGAAGGTCGAGTCTAAGGCGTAGATCTCGGCGGTGAAGTCGCAGAGGATGTGGTCGTAGATGAGGTCCCGCAGCTCGCGGGGGAGGTTCTTGAGTGGGAAGGCGCCTTTGGGGGTGGGGAGTTGAGCTGGGGTACGACGCTTCGCGAGGTTCGAGATGGTGGGTTTGGTCGAGGCGGTGTTGGGGGTCGTGGAGGATGTGGAGATGCAACCATTTGCTACGGTCTTCAATGCATCCTTGGATTCGGCAGCGAGGTTCTTGGTTGGGGCTATTGTTGAAGAGGTCCTCGACTTTGTTGACTCTCGGTGAAATAATTGGCGTGTGATGGCTAGGCTTGATGGAGAGAGTTGTTGAAGTGAGCCCAGTGGTTGCTTAATTGCTCTAGCCCTTGGTGGAGCAATTGGTGGTGTTGGGATCTGGTGGTGCTGGAAATTTGGTGGTGAGATGAGTGTATGGAGATGTTGAAGTCCAGGCGTGGGAGCAAGTACTTATACTTTTACAGGACGTAGGCAACTGTCGAAGGGCTGACCCCTAATCTCTAGGTAAAGAAGTGGATGAAAAGTGAATGTGACCCGTGAGCGCTAACAAGTAGGCATTCAGTGCGAAATCATGAAACTCTTGCTTATTCAGTTCACCTCTTCCTTCGACACCTCCCTCGAGATTAGGAAAAAAATCTCAGCCAACCACTACCACGACCATTCCACGCTCGCACAGCCCGAACAGGGCCTCATCAGCGCCCAAATCTTCCATCTCGACAAGCAGACGCACGAGGAAGCCACCTCGCAATTCTCTCGCATGGCCACCTCCGTTGTCAAGGGGGCTATGGAAACCCAGGTCCTCTCCGACCGCGCCGACATCCCTGCCTGGCGCGGTCACCCCGTCCTCCGCGCCATGGAGCTCACCATGCTCCGCTACGGCGGCAACATCCGCCTGGAACTTTTTCTGCCGTTGCGTGCGCTACGATCTGGAGTTGCTCGAAAGGACGACAGGCGCGGTGGTCGAGGCGTCGAAGTCGGTGCGGTGGAAGGGCCGGACTCGGACCGTCACGATCGATTTGAAGAGCACCAGTTTTGCGTACGATTTCCTTGTCCTGAGAGACTTCTTCGTGAAGGATTGGAAGCGGCGGGTGTGGGCGTTGGGGAATAATTAGGCTACGATGTGGAGGATTGAGCCGGGGCGGGAGGATCCGTTCTAGGAGTATTTCAGGGGGTAAGATGAGGTTATGGAGGAGTTCCGAGTGTCTGCTACGCGGGTTGGTTGGGTTACGTGAACGTGTTGTGTGGGCCTTCCTGTAAGCTTGGGCGTGTCAATCGAGCATTGGTCGAATAAAGCAGATGGCACCCACGTAGATGACTATGAGACAATCTCCTTACAATGGTCCCAAAGTTGTCGTTGATAAAGGTGTGAGAATATACTTCGAGGATAATCAGTCATGTTGAGGAAGTAGACGCACGTCCTCGAAGGGTGTAGTTGAAATAAAGAGCTAGCGCTAACGAGGTAAGCGAATCCTAGGGCCTTTATTGGCGGAGCTAGCAACGAGGTAACTCGTTGATCTGAATCAAGAACGTTGAGCTTGAGGACTTTCTTATAGGCGTATGCCCTTGCTGCTGAAATGATAACTAGGCCCCGTCTCATGCGGGTTTGACTGATACTAATACAGCGTACAGCCTGCTTGTTCCTCTTGCGCCATGGCGTGTCTCTTAGCTTAGCTTGTAGCTTGTTGCGATTTGCTCCATACAATTGCATAAGAGTTTGAATTTGAGAATCTGTTGAGGGTAGCTATTACCATCCAGGATTTCTGATTCTATCATTGATACCGCGAGAGGACTTTGTCGCGTAAATATCAGGTACTGTTGGTGAGGTCAATCAGCGAAACAATTAGAGTAGAAAGTAGTGCCCCTCCCTGTGCGCCTCCAGCCAGTGTTTGAAGTGGTCATGTAGACCTAAGACTTGGTGTAAATCAATTGATCAAAAGCAGATTCCGGCTCATAGCACCACTCCCTCTTCCAGAGCCAAAAGTCCCCCATGCACAGATTCGGGCGTGGATGGCCCCACGTGCCTACAATCCCAAACGGCGTGACCCAACCCCCCCACTGAAACGGCTGCGCGGGCACAGACTTGTACGGCTCCGTGGACGGAGCCTGGTAACTTTTCGTCATCTGGAGCATCGCACGCCCAGCTGTATGTCCTTCCGAGGGAGCGTACTGGGGTTTGAAGTGTTGGGTGAGAGTGCCCAGCAGCTCAAACCTCCCATAAGTGTCGTATCCCGACGTGCTCCGCAGAAGAGTGTCTCCGTCGTGGTTTCTGTGCTCTTCGAAATAGATGGATTGCATTGGTATATCGATTTTGTAATCATTGATGTTCCAGCTGTGGTATCCTACCCATTCGCCGGAGCACATAAACCCTGATGTCAGCATGGCGCCGGCGTCGAAGTGCGGGAATGGGCCGTCGGTAGTTTGGCGGTCTTGCAATACTCGAGGTATGCTTTTGAAGAACGACTGGAAAGGTATCTTTGATGGTAGCGGCAGCTTGACCGGGTACATGGACTCCCTTTTGGGCTTGGTCTTAGGTTTCGCCTTGGGCGCTAACCGTGCGATGACACGGACCATTATGACCGGGGAGAGTCCGTAAGAGTAATGGTTCATTGTATCGACTATCGCATGGCCAGACCCAAAGTCGCCGCGTACAGCCACATCGGTAAACTCCTTCATGGCTCGCACGACGGCTTCCTCGTGGCACGTCATCTGGCCAAGGTTTTCTGCACCTAGCGGTACTAATTGCTCTAACAATGCAGCAAGGAAGGAAAAAGCGAGATCATCGTATCTCGTTTGATAAATACCGGCAAGGTACACTGCTATGAAATTCCAAATCACACTGGGATCCGCGTGAAGTGCAGACGGATGGTGGAGGGCGATGAGTTGAGGCAGCCAGCGGCAGATTTCTCTGTCCTCGTCCGTAACGTGATCATAATTAGGGTCGTTATTTGGTTTAGTCGGTTTGGTAAGCCAGCCATGGGCCTTTTCAACCGCGAGCGCAACCTCTTTGGTCTCAAGTAACGATTTTCCTCGGAAGAAAGCGTCAGAATCCCACTTCCGGGTAAAATGGTCTAGATAGGATTTCTGCGAGATACGATGGTGGAGCTCCCCACTATAGGACGAATCGAAATGCAGCGTTTGCGCGATGTGCTTGAATACGTGGCGGTCGTTGCAGACCTCGCGCAATTTGTGATTGACGCAAATCAGGTTCAGGGCCGAAGAACATGGCAGCAATCCGGCGACCCGTTGAATCAATTCCACGGGGAGGGTATCTAGTGTTCGGTTTTGGCCTCTCATTGTCGTGTTGATGTGTGCAAAGCGTTGCGTGAGTGGTGAAGGCGGGAGTCTGACCGCCCTGCTGCCTGGTGCCTAGCGCATTATCTAATCTGATCGATCTAGATCACGTGCATTATCTGAAATTATATCGAACCCAGATGTTGCGCAGGGTCAGAAGTTTGAGCGCACGGATATACCACTGCTTGGACTACGATCTTGCTCGCTCCATACGGTTGCGAGGAGTAGCTTCACCAGCATGTAGAATAGTCGCGGGGCGGCTTCGGAGCGTATAGTCCTTTGCGTCTTGTACAGTCACGTGCACTAGTCTATTATATCACGCTGCACGTAGATTATCGCACCCCTAAATTATAAACTAATACTATTATGCTATCTAGGTAGTATCTACGTTACTTTATACGTCTTACATATATGCCCATCAATCTTAACTACTATTTTCTTACCCTTTTTTACCTCCTTTACCTTCTTAGGCTTCTTAGGCTTCTTAGGCTTAGGTGCTCTTTTAGACTTCACTGTTCTGTTCTACGGGTGCCCTGTCTAACTTATTAGCCCATCTAATTTAAAAACCCCACCTGATTTGTGTATAGCCTAATGCGCAGTAGGACTCTCTACATGCTTTTTAAGCGGAGTAATTATCTGCAGAGGTATCTTATACCATGTAGGCGTAAGAGGGTATCCTGCCGGCTTAAGGTACTCTATTAGCCTATGGCCGACGTCAGCCGGCGGCCCACTGAACTTTTGGTGTGGTTTGGTCCTTTCAACACCGAAGAAATCTCACCAATCACAAAATATTACAGGCTGCAATTTGGAACGAATATAATAGTAACTATTTCAACATTATCTGTTAATTCTTGGCGTCTCTTAAAGGCCTTATCTAGTCGCAGAAGAGATTTAGCCCCTAAGACTAGGTGAGATTCACAATACAATATAATTACACGTACTTATTGCTCCAACTTTCTACCTAACAACTATCTACCTAGCAACTATAAAGGGCTAAATAGTATAGAGAATCTTAAAATTGTACTTTATATTTCGTTGTTGTTAAGATTGCTGGGGTGCTAAAACATCCAAATCGCACCAAAAGTTCTGTAGGCCGCAGGTTGATGTGGGCCGTAGGCTCATAGACTACGTTAAGAGGAGAGGACTTAATAATAATAGCATTACTTTTACAACTACTATGGGCAGCAGGAGGTGTATTATACAAAGGGGCCTAAGCCTAAGAAGGCTAAGGAGGCGTAGTGATTAAGGTTAATGGGCGTATATATAAGGCGTCCGAACTCTCTTAGATTATGGTAGTCTTTAAATTTAAGGTTGTAATAAAATATACCAGGCGTGCTATAATAATCGCATGCACGTGACTATACAAGACCCACTGTACGCTGGCTACTGTACGAGAGGACTGTACGATCCGGAGCCTGCCCGGAATAGTCGGCCTGTCAAAATGCAACCTACTTGTCGCTGCATCGACCTTCACGTCGCATCTGGAATTTCCAAAGCCCCTAGGCACCCCAAGCAGTGGCAACAACAGTGCCCAAACGTATGTCCTAGTACCGTATGTATATGGCCACTCATCCAAGCCCTTGATCCCAATCAATAAGCAACCAATTCCCAATCCCCTCATACTGCGTCATCAAATCCGCTGTCGGCTGCATCAGCGCCGTCTCATACCCCAGCCCCGCCATGCCGCCCCCAAACGCATGCCCTAACTCATCTCTCCGCCCGCCATAGCCATAAACCCCATCCCTGCCCCCATTCGTACACTCGCTCTCCTCCCGCTCATCGTTCAGCTCGCCATCAGCGCCATCCACGCCCAGCCCTTCAAGCATCGTGACAGGCGTCCGTAGCCCCTGCAGGATCCCGGCGGTCTCGATCTCGCGGGACGGGTGGATGCGCTGGATGCCGTCGCGGTGGCCTTCGTGGATGGCGACCCACATGCGGCAGAGCTCGGGGCCGAAGTCTTCGAAGAATTGGAGGCGTTCGGGGGTGAGGTTGTGGTGGGGGAAGTGCGGGAGGGCGGTTGGGCGCATGACGATCTTGTCCCTCACGTCGGTCCTGAAAGCGTTAGGTATTAGCATTTTTCCACGGCGGAAAGAAACGGGAAGGAAGCTTACAAATGCCTTAAACTCCCCACGGCACTCGGCCACCTCTTCGCTAACTCGTCTAGCGCACGGAACATGACATCTAGGTCTTTCGCGGCCGCGTCCCAAAGACCGGTGTATCGGTAACATGATAGCTGTGCCATGCCTGCTACAAGGAGGTAGAATGTGAAGATCGGGCCTAGGTAGCGCAGTTCGTCGCGCGCAAGAAAGTCTTCAAAGATGCCGGCGAGGAAGGACGAGGCGAGGAGGGATGCGGTTGAGGGCGGGCCCCGGGAATCGCGGGAGCGGTTGATTATTATTAGGACCGTAAAGTACTGATTGCTGAGCGTTAGTTGTATTCGAAATTTGGGTGTGAGAAGGGGAGTTTTACTTGGACATGCAGTTGTCGTGATTCAAAGTTGTATTGTTTTAGAAGCCTGCCATGCTCTGGTCGGCAGAGATGGAGGGAATCGGGGAGAGTTTTCAGCCAGCGATAGAGGTGGTTTTCGATCTGGCTTCTTTGGTCTTGGAAGCCGGATTTTGTAAGGAAACTTTGAGTTAGGTCACCTTGATATGAATTAGCTAGGAGCTCGGAGCTCAAAGTCAGTCCCACAGCTTACCTAGAATAGATGATATCGTAACGTAAGAAGAGAATAGATTTGCTCTAGCAGTATCGCCCTCGAAATCATGCGCCGTAGGTGGTGATACATCTGTCAGCTTCAAATCGATGGCTCGAGGTCGACCATGTCCAGCATTGATCAAGCAATCTCGCACCTTTAGCAAAGTTAGCTACTACCGTTTCTCTTAATAGATTGGAAATAATACTTACAACCAAGGACCACCAAATTCTACGCCTCAACCCCGCATCCGCCTTTTTTACCGGCTCCCTGTGTAGCCCAACCTGATACGCCAGACCGACCGCAATACGCAGCCAAAACCCACTCGTATCAAGCGACACTCTCTCCGGCCCCTCTGGATTCCACCAATGCAGCAAACACGCCGCCGCGATGGTGACAATCGGGTCTTCTTCCGCTCCCATCCAAAATAGCACCCTCGCTTTTTTGTAGAAATCTTCAGGCGAGTACCCTGGAGAGACGGAGGACACGCGACTGCCGGCCAGCAGCATCGCGTGCAGCAGTAACAGCGATACATTGTTCGAAGGCTGATCTTCGACCCAATGCCGCTCTACCACCGGCGTCCAGGGGTAGCACCGCGTCCAGAACGCGTCGAGTAGCGACTCGCGGATTGCTCGTGGTGGTAGTTCAGAGACGCGCTGCACGCGCATGATCTCGAGGTCTGTTTCTGAGAGTCTATGTGGAGCTCGATCTGGCACTGTGCCTTCATCGTTCACTGGGACATCATTGCGGATGTATTCCAGACGGCCCAGATAGCTGGCGTTTACAGGTGTATTGCCGCTGCCGTAGTTGTGGAGGGACGGATCGATGTTATGCTCAGATGCGAGACCAGTGCTGGGGGTGGTGTAGCTATCCTGCCGTATGTCGTCTCGAGCCTGGCTTCGCCCTTCGCGGAAGCCGTTCTCATGGATGGAGACGCCATTGCCATTTGTCGTGTGGGCGTCTTCTTCGTGGATGCGCTGGTCCTCTGCGGCCTGCTTCGCACGCGTCGTCCGCGATGTGGTGGCTGGTGGAGAGGTGCTGATGGTGTAGCGTTTCCGTTTCCGCTCTCTGGGCACGCATTCGTAGTCATCGCGCACGCAATTGGTGCACGAGTTGCCCTCGACGATGTCGATGTCGCAGCGGACCTTTTTCTTGTGGCAGATGACGCATGCTTTTACCGTGCGGCGCGTTCGCTGCTCCATTCCCGATCCCCACCTAGTGTGGACACTCCAACTCTTTTAAAGGCACTTGTCGAGTCTAAAACAAGAAAAGTTGAGGATGAGATGATCGGGTGAGGGGGTAGAAAACGCGCGGAGTGGCATTGACAGAACACGCGGCGGAGAGGAGCAAAACGACACGAAAGCATGCGAGACGCGCGCATCTGCGTATTTGGTACTTATGTATGTCTATTCAGGCTCATCTGCTCGCATGGCGCCGATCTAGATTCCCCGCGTGGAGAAGGACGGAAGACAGGGGTAGCGGCGAGGCACATGGAGAAGGGACGTTCCGCCCGGATCGCGGATCTGGGGAAGGGTCCGAGCATGTCTGCGCACATCTCAGCACGCCCTTCCGCCTGCGCTGATTGGATGAGTCCTAGAATCCGGGGAATCCGGGGCGTGAAGAAGGCGACGTCCTTTCTTGTTGCAAGAGCGGAAGAGCGTTCCAGCATATATGTAGGCCCCGGTGCCTTTCGGCTTCGAGCGGTCAATTTCGACTCTAACGTTCCACTAATCTGTGCGAATGCATCTCTCCGTGGCACATGCTCGGGACTGATACCGTGTCCACGGCTCTTTAAAGGCCTCAAACCCCAGATTGTAGCATATCTGGCTCCCGTAGCTCTCCTTTCAGTGATAAGCTTAGATTCAGGGTGCTATTTGACATCCGTGCCTTACGGAGAAATCCTAAACGGCGAGCACCGGTCCAGCATGAAGTTAGCTGCATGTTCGCGCGGACATCCTGTTAGGGTGGATAAATAGACATGCACCATGTTGAATGTATGCAGAGTTGCGTCTAATAGAGGGTTCACGCGTTAATATCTTATTTATCCTAGCACGGAGTTTTTCCGAGCATAAAGTTTATCCGAACAGCCCGGCAGCAGCCACTATTAACAAGCAACACGGGTGTGTAGGCCTGCCATGCGGGATAAGACTGCGTTTTAGGTAAACTTTCTCAGGGTGGAGTTATCAGATTGTTGTTATTTTAATAGTGTTGCTGCTTCTTGACGGGGAACTCTAGCGAAATCTCTAAGGAGGTGTATATCTTCTGCAGTACTACGTAGTAACGTTAAGCTAACGCTATATCCTCGCTCATAGGCGTTTGTTGGATTGAAAAGAGTGCTAGCACCAAGCTTGGGACGAGCATCACGTGGACTTGGTGCAAACCCGGTGCTTGCGGTTTGAGGTTTCTCCGTAAGATATTCTACTGGACCCAGATAGCTAACCGGCAAGCACAAACGTCAAAAGCTGTAACTTATTGACGTTCGGTCGTGATCACCAAGTTTAAACACGTGACTTAGATGATCTACCTCCTATGGCCCACAAAGAAACTCGATCACTCCCGGTCGAACTTATCAGACGCGTCGCTGGATTCTTGCCATGCACATCAGCCCTCAACTTGCTGCTCGTTAGCCGGAGACTACGCGACGCTTACAACGACAGACTAGTCTTCAAACACATCGCCCAAACCTCACATCTGGACCGGATTGACCAGAGATGGAAGTCTAGTGCGCTTTTCGACGAGAAGTCGTTGCTGGAGACAGAAGAAGCAGCGCTCGCAGTTGAAAAGCTGACAAGTTGGTGCACGGAGCCAACATTTCCCAAAGCGGCGGAGGATTTCGATAGTCTGTTCGCTGCATATGACGCCTATTCTTCAGAGCGAAAAAGGGTTCGGAGTTAGCTTCCTCAACTGAGTGTGCTCCATCATCCGTGTGCCCTCCATGCGAACGCACCTTTATTATAGAGCCACATTTATCTAAGGTTGCGCGGCGGTCGACCGATAAAGGGTTTCAAATCTGTGTCCTTCTCCTACATTATCATTGGAACTGTCGACGACCCTATCTCGCGAGCGTCTCTATTCCTGGTTATGGCGGCAGCTCAATTTCAGCGTAGAAATGATCATTAAAGCACTCATAGCCACCCCTTTAGCCAACTTCAATCTCACATACGGCGGCATTAGCATCCATCACTTCCTCCTATCCGCCCAATACTACTATCCTGTAGCTATAATCTTGCGATAGGTCCTACACAGCATGCCCGGAGGGCCAGTCAAGGTAGAAATTATAGAAAATGAACACCTTCAATTCCCCCGACCTTCTAAGATACCCTTCACGTCGTTTATGGAAGTGCCTCCCTTCCACAAAGACTGCGAAGATGAAACGAATCAACATTCATTCCCTTACTTCGACAAATCCGTTTCCATGACACTCATGTGCTCCGGTGAATGGACAGGGCTGTACACTGACGAGGGTTACGGCTCTCACGCAGTCCACTTTACTCGTCAAACAATCTCACTCCGTTTTCATACACGCGAAGGAGGCGGAGATGTCATTCTTGAAAGATCCGGAGCCAGCGATGGCCAGGGGCAATTCACTCTGCGTGGCGCCCTTGGCGGGCAGCGGCACGGACGCCGCATTATCGAGCTAACGAAAACCTCTACACCCGCACAGGACTTGTCAAGTGAATACTCGCAGTACTCCTAGCGACATGATCTTTCCAGGATGGCCGCTTCAAATCGGGCACTCGCAATTCATACCTGCCGTTACCAACGCCACACGGACTCATAGGATCATAAAACTTTTAGCATGATTATCATTCTTCGACACTTTAGACCGGAACCTGGCATTTTCACCGTCTCACTACGTCCCCCTACAACGTTGCTCCAAAGCCTGTGCATTGAAGGCTTCGCACGCTGGTCACGTGATGTGAAACTGGTGGACCATATCGCGTGCAGCTTTTGAACTCACAGATCAAGTCTTCTCCCCTGGAAAAGGCGAAGCCCTCACTGCAACCGCATACGTAATCTAAGTTATTAGTCTCACGGATTATTCAACGCTTCGGTCAACTTCACGATCACCATTCCAGCTATGTACTACAAAGCCATCAGGTGACGTATAAGACGCATTACAAAATGAGAAATCCCTAAGTAAATCGTTGCTTATACTCTTCTTGGCTACTTCTGGTGGTTTGACAATGGGTTCAATCTGTATACTAAGTCCGCTGATTCCAAACCAAAGACTGGGCGGTCGACCACTCCCCAAAGTCGATATTAATATAAAACCCACCCCGACTCTACGAAAACCTTTTTATTCCACCCTTAACGTCCCAAACCCGCCCACCAAAGCCCCCAAAAACAGCATCATGTCAACCCCACCCGCCCCGGCCATCGTCCTCTCACACCCTACAAAACTTCCTGCACCAGTCGTTCAAGCCCGGCAACTCCGAGGGCTGGAAGCACACTAAAGACTCGTACTACCTGCCGAAGGAGGGGGAGGTGTTTGAGGAGGTGTGTTGGGGCGCGCGGATTTTCGAGGGTGTGGAGCCGGATGCGGGGAATGGGGATGGGGGGGGTTGGTAAGCATTGGAGTAGTAGGCCAGCGAGCTGCGAAGGGGGAACGAGGGAGGGTCAGAGGCTTTGGGAGCTAATATGAAGGGCGTAGTTCTTTCAATGACACGGATTTGGATTTCTAGCTCCGGTAGTGGGAGATTACGAGGTTGGTGATTGGGGGGATGATGACGAATGCATGTGTAGAGGCGACGGCGCGGTATGCGGATGATTTGTGAGTATAGGTATTTCCTTTCCGGCGTCTGGATGAAAGTTTTGCCAGACTAGGGGTTTTTCTTGATAGGGGATACGATGTCAGTCTACTGTAAGATGTTTACGACGTTCTGCTGCCCATGTATTGACGGCTGCTCATCCGGGGGATAGTACCGATGCCGCTGCGGCGTTTACCACAGAGCAGAAGGACGCGGCGACGAATCTAACCTGGCCCGTCTTTTCGCAGGTGACGACGGTTGATGAATGGGCTGCTAGTCTAGGAGAGACGTAGGCGTAATGGAGTCTCCGGAGGGTATTCAGGATCTATCAGTTGCTCAACCACGCTTCTCGTAGAGCCAAGCAACCTTTTACCAACCAAACACTAGCCGCAAGTCTTCACAGCTAAACGCAGCAGATGAGTGCTGCCATCACGTGCCCATTTTCCAAGCCCATCAGCATCTTCAAGCCCCTGCCTAACCCCCCTATTCTTTATATCTTCGCCTTCGCCACCGTCCCCACCGCCCTCCCATGCACATAACTAATCCGCCTCAACGCCTCCCCCGCCTCCCCCCACAACTCCCCCCTCAACCGCGCATACACCCCCATCCGCGCCCGCGGCGCCACCACCCGCCCCTTTGCCAACGCAACCTCCAACATCCCCTCCACGCCCCCCTCCGCCAGCTCATCCACAATCCCATCCGCCAGCGCCTCCTTCCCCGTCCACCTATGCGCCTCCAGCAGCATCTTGCGCGCGATCTGCGGGCGCAGTTTCAAGCGCGGCAGCGCGCCGATGCCGGGGAACCACAGCCCGAGGTTGACGGGCGGCATGGAGAGGAAGCCGCGCTGGGCGTTCATGATGCGGTAGTCGTGGGCGAGGGCGAGGGGGCAGGCACCGCCGAAGGTGTGGCCGGTTAGCAGCGCGATGGTGGGGAAGGGGTAGTCGAGGAGGGTGGCGAGGAGGGGGTAGAAGCCGTCGGTGTTGGCGTGGGGGTTTGTGTCGGACTCATCTAGATCTAGTCCCTTTTGGTGGGAAGGTTAGAGGTTGTGGATATTGAGAAGGGAAGAGGAGACGGTAGGGGGTTTCTTTTCGGGGAAGGGGTGGTTTACAGTACACCAGAATTTCGCATCGCTGCCGCGTGTTATCACGCAGCCGTCGGCGTCGGGACCGAGTTGTGCTTCTATGTCGCGCAGGGCGCGGATGATTTCTTGGGCGAAGGCGACGTTTATGCGGTTTTCGGGCGCCTTTCGAAGTGTGATTACGAAGATGGAGGAGTGGCGGTCTATTGTGAGGTTTTGGTACGACATTGTGGTATTAAATTGCTCAATGACTGGGTAGAGAGAAGTGTAACGTGGTAGGAGAGCATGTGTATGATCGAGTGGAGTCCATATGGAGCTCCAGGATGAGGTCGACCGCGACAGCTATCCCCTCGAACATCCATGCTGACCTTCCTAACACGAAACGGGTATGTCCTCGGCATCTTGACCACGGGTTGACGCGTAGAGTTGAAGTCATGTTGCGAAATCGGTGGTGGAGATAGCCGGCAAGTACCCCGCAATGTGGGGTACAATATGGGACCTTTCGAGGGCCTTTGAAATGCCGAAGAATACCGGCATGACTCGTGCCGCATTGACTTTCATTTCGTGTCACTTCGAGACGGAACCTGTGAAGGTTACCCAATGTAGAGTTGATCAGTTGGTACAGTCCTGCAGCATAAGTTTTGGCATCCTCTTACCACTGTTTGAGGTACCCCTAGTTATTGGCTTTCAGAACTCCGAACACGATGTTGATGACGATGCACTGGGTATTGGACAGCCTTTTGGCTGGCTGGATACATGCTAGCGCTGCTCCTTACCGTGGTGTTGAGTGATTAAGAGTGGAACCCGTGCAGTGGTATATCCGGGTGCCCAAACTTATAGCCTGGTATTGTAGGTGGCGGAAAACGTGTTTGGTATGCAAGTTTACCCCGGGACTGCTTGTCGTAATAAGTAATAAGATTGCCCATGTCCTAGTAGCACACCAACCCAAGATTTCTGCTCTCACGCTCCATTCTATCGGGTAGAATATTGGACTAGAAAGCGTCAGTTTGAGGTCTAGCCAGCTGAAACTTCTGTAGGCGCAAGACTGTACAGTCGAAGTTATCTTATAAAAGTGCGAATGCGGCAAGGACTCTCCTTGAACGATGGCTTCGTCTTTCTTTCCTCTTTCCGCAGTCTTAAAGATGTTCAGGGACCGTCTGATTGGCCACTGAAGACATCCCGCAGTCAGCCTTGCATAGTTCACCTGTTAATTTTGAGAGTTCTTGGAGTGACGCAGCGGGTTTGAAACCAAATGACTACTGGTCGAGGCACTGCGGCAAACCGGCGAGGGCTCTTAAGCGCAAACTTAGCTTCTCGTTCGCGCCTCTCAGATACTACAGTCCTGTGACATAATTTTGGGCGATACTTACATTTGCCTGGGGTATCCTGACAGGCTTTCGAAAGTCCAAATACGATGTATAGTCCAGCGTGTGGAAATCGGACTATCTTTTGACGACTCTAATACGTGCTAGCTGGGGTGCTCCTTACAGTGGTGTCATGCGAGCAAAAGTGGGGCCGAAGCAGTGATATTTGAAGTGTAAGACGGTGACCGCTACCATCATCAGCACAGAAATAGCACCGCTGTTTTTGTCGCTGACCGGGGAAGCGGTCTCGGCGGGATCTATGGGACCGTTCATGGCGTCTTGTAGATTAGGGATAGAGTCTCGGTGGGAGCTATTGTGGCTATGTTAGATTGCTACTTGATCCCCAGGTGAGCACGTGACTGAGCAATGAGCGAATGATACTGCCTTCAATGGCCACGGTTAGTACTTACAGTATCTAGCGTGATAAAGGAGCAAATGCAGTAGGCAGTTGCTCAGGTTGCATCACCAACGTGGGGAGGATACGTGATGGTATCATGTGGTATTGAAACTGGTCGGGAGGTTTTGGAGCCCTAGCGCCCGGTGTTCTAGAATAGAACTAATTGCGAAGTTCCAACGTCACGACCTTAACCCAGGCATCTTCATCCATCATCCTCAACTACCACCGTCAACCTATACCTTACAGAAGGTAATCGTCATCGTGATGGACTGCCGAGAACCTAGGATCACTTTGCGCGACCTCTCCTCTGGTAGTATCGTCGCAAGAGAAGGCCGAGCGCCCTATCACCAAAAACACCTCGAGCGTCGTTTTCCTCAAGATCAACCAACGGAATTGTCGGATTCCGGATCCAACTCAACTCCGGAAAGCACGCCTGCGCATTGCCCATATTGTCTAGATCTGGACTGGAAGAACGGGGAAATATTCGGTGGCCACCACTCGGACTATCTCACGAATTCAACGAGATACATCAGCTGCACGGTGCCCGACGTACGAGCAGCTGCAGACAGAGGATGCCCAGGATGTAAATTGGTTTACGATGGACTCGCCGCGTGGGATCCACTGCTCGTAGATGACGACAAATCAATATGGGGAGTCCGTTCCCCGGACTAGCCGACTAGAACCATGAGAATCGGAGTATCAGGTCCAACCTTTTATGATTTCTTCGTCGAACATGGTGTGGACTGTCATATTTTTTGTTTATCAGTCTGCAGATCGTGTGGCTGATCGGACCCCAGGTCATCCATCGCCTTGGCCAGCAATCGGAGAAGGTGACTGCGTGCCACTATCCAGAACGTCAGCAGAGAGCCTCGAACATACTCGAAATTGGATCAATCAATGTTTGTCACAGCACGAGAAGTGCAGGTTGGATGAGCCATCCTTTCTTCCTACCAGAGTACTGGATCTCGGGGCCCCACAATCAAGTTTAGATGCGCCTATCAAGCTAATTGAGCCAGAGAGTGGTACAGAGGATCCCTATGTTTGTTTAAGCCATTGTTGGGGGCATAACGGCCAGACACTCACGACCACAACTGATAATATTTTGGATCGCAAAACCAGCATTCCTCTGGACAGTCTCCCACCGCTCTTCAAAGACGTAGTGCAGATTACCAGACGACTAGGGTATCAGTACCTCTGGATTGATAGTCTATGCATTCTCCAGAATAGCGAAAAAGATTGGGAGTGGGAGGCTTGTAGAATGGCCACGGTGTACTCTAACGCGATCTTCACGATTGCGGCTCTGTCTGCTAGTTGTAGTCAAGAGTGCCTCTCTTACCATGATGAGAATGAACGACGAAAGTTGGGTTTGGATTCTTTGGAGCGTTTTGGTTACCAAGAGTCATCCATTACTGTTGCTGGTGCAGATAGCAACTCTAGCAAGGTTTACGTCCGAGCAGAAATACCACATGTCAGTGGACCTGTGTATAACCATCAAGCGGAAAATTGGCCTCTCCTAACCCGCGGGTGGGCTTATCAAGAACGTCGTCTATCCGGTCGAATACTAAAGTTTTCCAAAAGAGAACTTCTCTGGGAGTGTAGCGAGCACAAGATCTGCCAATGCACCGATTCCCAACCGCCAAGCCTTTACAAGCTATGGTACAACAAAGCCATGAAAATCAAAGGTAGTTGGCATGATTCAATCGGAATCCAATGGCGGCAAATGGTCATCGAATACACCGCCCTTGAGCTCACACAGAACTCTGATCGCCTTCCCGCCTTCCGTGGAATAGCACGGCAAATGAGCCGCTTCTTTCCGTGCGGGTATCTTGATGGAATTTGGGAAGGACCCACTCTGATTCCAGATCTAATGTGGATGCGGTCTTACAATTTTGAACCTGGTCCTCCAAGACCGACGCACCGATTTCATTGGCCTTCATGGTCCTGGGCTTCAGTCGATGGCCCAATCGACTACTATTCATTTCGGGACGATCCTGACTTCGTACAACCCATGATAGATATTATTGACTGCTGTTCAGCATATAATCCCATTGACGAGCGGTATCCCCTCTGTGGATGGATTCGCGTAGCGGCGCACATGGAAGCACGAACGTGGCGCGTCCAGATCGGAACCGGAGAATTTTGGAAAGATGCTAGACGAGGTGGACACTATCTATTCCCTCGACGACAACCCTTTGGAGCCAGGGCCGAAGACGATGTCGAATTAAATAACAGCATGGTCCATCACGACTATGACTGGAGCGCTGAGAGTATTGATCAGATTTCCGAGTCTACAGTACTGCATCTGGCGAAAATAGCTATAGTGTTCCATGATCTTCGCGAAGAAGAGCGGGAATGTGCATTGCTGTTGCGTAAGAAACCGGGCAGGGAAGATACGTATCAACGTGTTGGACTGGTTCATGTCGGTATCCGTCCCTGGAGAGGTGCCCAACCTCCACGCCTCAAATGGGAAGAACAGAAGACCGAAATAACTATACTATAGCGTTCGCTAAGCTCCAAACCATCGCTATACGTCCCCCCAACGTTATATCGCTGTCTGTATGCCATCTACAGTACCAAGACATTGTACCTTTTGACTGCTTGGAGACATTTTACTCAGAGCACCCAGTGGTGCCGAGAGATCAATAGCGAAGCTGGAGCAGTCGTATTATCGTATATCCGTGTGCCCAAACTTATAACTCAGTCGTATACAGACAAACGTAATGGACCACATCGAACTAGTCTCAAGACTTCTCTGAAACTTTGGACTAATGGCGTCAGAGCAATGCCCTACGCCCAACGAACCGTTTTCTACTAGTTTGAAACGCTGGGACTGCATACCATATAGACCGATGATTACATGCGTTCACCAAAACCGCAACCTACTTCATAAAGCCTAGATCTCTGGGAATACCACGAGCCCGGGAATAATCACAAGCCACCCAGATCCACCACCCCACGATCGGCCCGCAAATGCTAATCTAGTCGCCGTTGTCGAGTAAACAGTTCCTGGATCATGAATTACCGAAGATCGCCGGTCCCTCTGCCCCGCAATGTCATGCTAGACCCACATAACATGCCGAGGACTACGACGACATGGATCGGAAGACTCGACGCGTGAGAGCGCGACGTGTGCGAGATCGGATGAGATTTTGGAATTCTCATTATCTTCGAACTTTTTCTTATGTTTAGGAGAACTTGGGCGGAGCTTTGCGCAATTGACTGCCGCAATGCCTGACTTCACGGATGCACTTAAGCCTGCCTACGATGGTGCGGCTACGCTTGTGGAGGAGCGTAATGGGTCTAAGATAGACGTGGATGAGCTTTCGAAGCATTTACTGTCCAGAGATGGCTTCCTGGAGAGGCAAAAGAGAATCTGTGAGGTGCTGGAGAGTGAGAAACTATTCGACAAGAGCCAGCAGATGAATCTTTCGAGACCGGTGAGAAGTTATCTTCTTACACCTTAACATTGAAATCAGATATAAGAGATGGAACTTTGCATGGGTATATTAAAGCTGATAAATACGAAGGACCGGTACCATCTTGGCCTCGCAAGAGCAAAAGCAATACGCAGACTTGTCCACAAACATAACTGGGGCCATGAAGACGCTAAGATGGCAGAATATCTCACGGATGAGATGTCGCCGTTCCATTTACATTTAACCATGTTTGGTACTTGCCCGCAATCTTTTGAAGACGATCCGGAGCTAATGTCGGCCTACAGTAACGACCATCAGAGAGCAGGCGAGTGACGAGCAAAGGGCCTATTGGATGCCCAAGATCATGGGTTGGAGTATCTTAGGCTGCTACGCGCAATCTGAGCTTGGTCACGGGAGCAATGTCCGGGGGTTGGAGACCACCGCTACATGGAATCCGGAGACAAAGGAGTTTGAGATTCATAGTCCGACTCTCACAGCGTCGAAAGTACGGTAGCGCTAATCTTTATTTGATTCAAAAGCTAATACGTGGCAGTGGTGGAACGGTTCAATGGGTCGGACAGCAACACACGCTGTAATTCTCCCAACATCTCCAACCATCTGCGCCAATTCAAAGTATCTTAACAACGCATAGATAGTAGTCGCCCAAATCCTCGTCCCCTCGCCCAGCTTTCCAACCACACTCAAATCCCACGGTCCCCACCCCTTCATCGTGCAAATCCGTGATACGAAAACCCACCTACCTCTTCCCGGCATCGTCGTTGGCGACATCGGCCCCAAGTACGGCTACGCCTCCATGGACAACGGCTACATGCTCTTCGACCACTTCCACGTCCCCAAAACCGCAATGCTAAGCCGCTACGCCACTCTAGACGACACCACCGGCACCTTCACGAAACGCGGCCACCCCGGCCTCGTGTACGGCTCTCTTACCTTCGTCCGCGCGAACATCATCATGAACGCGCGGCTCGTACTCGCCCGCGCCGTTACAGTGGCGGTGAGGTATTCGTGCGTGCGGCGGCAGTTTCGAGATCGCGATGAAAAGGGCGAGGGGCCGGAGATGAAGGTGTTGGATTATCCGACCGTGCAAGTTCGGATTCTACCGCTGCTAGCGACGACCTTTGCGCTGCATTACACGGGGGAGATGATGTTTGAGCTGTATGGGAGTACGAGGGAGAGTATTGAGAAGGGTGATTTCAGTACGATTGCGGAGTTGCATAGTGCGAGTTCGGGGTTGAAAAGTTTGTGTACGACTTTGGCGGCGGATGGGATCGGTGAGTTTTAGGGTGTAATCATTTGTGCTAGAAGAAAAGGAAGAAGTTGATACTAATGATTGGCGGTAGAAACATGTCGGAGAGCAATGGGTGGACATGGCTTCGGAGGTGGAAGTGGACTAGTAGGCATCAATGCGGAGTGAGTTCGTTTCCTTCCCTTATATCTAATGTTCCAAAAGACCTGATCCACAAAGCTACCTCTCCAAACCAACCGTCGAAGGCGACAACTGGATGATTACGCAGCAAGTCGCCGCCTACTTGACCAAGAAAATGACAATCGCGGTCGAGAAACCAGACTCTCCTCCCGCAGATTCCGTTGATGAGCTCTTCCAAATGTATCTTCGAGAACGAGATCACCGCATACCGCAGAACGCCATTCACGGTACTCAAATCGACGATAAAGCAGTCGTCGAAATATTCCAATGGCGGGCAGCAGATCTCGTACGTTTCTTTACCCTCCTTGCCAAATCTCTAACGCTAATGCGTCTCAGACCTACCGCGCCTACCACGCCCGCGTCGTAGAGAAGAAGCCATGGAATTCTCTCCTCATTCAACTACACGAACTCAGTCGAGGTAAACTTTGCGCTTCCGTCTCTCTCATTCACAGAAGTTAACATATACAGTCTACTCCGAACAAATCCTCACCACGACCTTCCACCGCGCTCTCACTTCGTCTTCTTCATCTTCTCTTAGCTCACCTACCCCCTCCGTCCTCCGCACTTGCTTCCGCCTCTACACGCTTTACACCCTCTCCAACTCCCCCCTTCCCTTCTTGACTTCCCTCGCCATCTCCCAATCCACTTTAGATCTTCTCCCAGACACTATACTGTCACTATTGGCAGAGCTGCGACCACATGCCGTCAAGCTCGTCGATGCGTGGGCGATCCCGGGGTATCTTCTCGACAGCGCGCTAGGACGGTATGATGGGCGGGTGTACGAGGATCTGTATGACCGTGCGCATAGGAAGAATGATGCGATGAATAAGACCATTTTCAACGTGGACTGGAGGAGTGACGAGGTGGTGCTGGGCAGTGGGGACCGCGGGAGGGGTATATTGGCGAAGCTTTGAGATGCGTGTTCTTAGGAAGGTAGAACATAGAGAGAGAAGAATTGAAACCCTGATCTCAATGAGGTCAAGTGGATTTGGCTTGGCCACGAGGGTACAGCGATAAATTAGAAGCCTATGTACACGCGCTCGCTATTGCTTGAGGCACTTCCACATGTTCGCAGAAAACTAGGCGCGGTATTAGGTATCACGCCGTGGAAATTGAACTGCTTCTTGACTAAATAGCTGCTGAATAGCTAGGCTACCCTTCACAGCGGTGTTGAGTGAGCAAAGTTCGAATCAAGCAGTCATGTATCCAGACTTATGGCCCAGTATAGTGTCGGAATCACGTGACAGTATAATAGCTCAACGACTTCTCCAACCCAAAATTCGATACTCTGAAAGACTTCAGGTAGTGCTTTAGTCGGCCGCGAAAATAATATGAGCAGGAGTTGTAGAAGTCTTGACATTCCACTTTAGGGCAATTTTCGTGGCGCATACCACAAGTACCTCATTGGTTATTCAACGCAACACCCAGTCAGCCTTGCATGGCTCACCGGTCAACCTTGGAAGCTCTTCAAGTGGCGCAGCGGGGTGAAACCGCCTGATTGTCGGACAAGGCTTTGCCGCAAACCAGCGAGGACTCTTAAGAACACATTGTCGGAGGGACTTTGTCTGGAGGCTAGGAGGTACGAGAATACGCAAGCGGCAAGTCTTCTTCCCCTTGTGAGAGCTCTCGGCTCATACTCCATTTTTGCCTACATTCTACCTTTCTCACTAAATACTGCAAATAAACTAAACTAACCATTTCTATGCAGTACAGTACCAGGACGTGGATTTGAGCCTCCTTGCACCTACTTAGAGGACCCCCATAGACCTTTAAAATTCCAAAGACAATGTAAGACCCACATAGGATACCTTAGACTACCTTTTGACGAAGCTGATACAGGCTAGCTGGGGTTCTCCTTACAGTGGTCGCGAGCGAGCAAGAGTGGAGCCGGAGGAGTGATACATACACTCATTTCTCCGCCACGTGCTCATCAGGCAGCGAAACAGCATAGTCACAATCGCCAACAGCCTTATTGACCGTCTTTCGCATTCATATTTCCATCGCTCAAGCTCACCAAATCTACAACCCCTCTGAAGTGCCATGTCCCATAAAACAATCTCCTTGCGAAAGCTATGTCAAATTTCCTCGGAACGCGAAGTCGGGACAAGGCTGTGCAACCGATGTTCTCGCATACGATTGCGAATGCGGCAAGGACTTCCCGTAAACGATGATCTCATCTTTCTTGGATCTCTTCGCGGTCTTGAAGAGCGCCGAGACTGCATGCTATGCAGGCTTATTGTGCAATCGCTGCCAAGCAGAGACACCACGACAGACGGTAGCGAGACGCAGTACATCTTGAACCCAAGATACATCGGTGGGGAGTCGTTTGCCCTCATGGAGAGTAACTCAACGTCAACCGCTGTGAAGGCTTGGATCAGGATAGAATGCCCACCCGGGATTCTGGATGGCTTCTCCGGGACTGCATCGCCAATGGACACACTTAGCAGTCAATCGCTCTCAGAACTGTCAACCAAAAATCTTACTATAGACGCACGGAAGATCCGATCATGGGTAAAAGAATGCGAAACGAATCACGGCGCGAAATGCGATGGACATAAACTCAACACTTCCGCAAGGAAAACCAGCGAAATGCTCTTAATCGATGTTTTCGAGGACAAAATGGTACCTGGTGATCAAGACTCTCGATACGTCGTGCTGAGTTATGTTTGGGGTAACTAGGGTGGTTCTCGAGTATTTCTAGGATCTTTGAAGTCGTCCGACCTTTTGCGGACCAAGAGTGCGCTACGATCACCGGAAATCCGATTGCCAAACGTTTTGCGCGATGCAATGGCACTCACGCGGTCCATTGGCGAGCGCTATCTATGGTGTGATGCACTATGTATATTTCAGGAGACCAACAATCAGAAGGGAGAGCGGATTGCACAAATGGATCTCATTTACAGCCGAGCCCGTATTCACTATAGCTGTACTCTCCGGACAGCACGGCGACCAACCAATAGCGGGAGTACACCGAGGCTCACGGAAACCAATCGTGCTCATAGCGGAATTAGACCGAGGACTAAATTTCGTTTCTCGGGCTCTCATGTTAGGGTCTACTTATGAGTCCCGGGCATGGACTTTCCAGGAGAAGCTATTATCACCGCGTTGTCTCTTCATTACTGAGAAGCAGGCATATTTCCAATGTGCAGCGACGCAGTATCGGGAAGACGAAGATATATGTGATTTCCCGGAAACGAGGAAGAATCGATCACTCCTGTATTCCCCAGAAGGCATTTCGCTCCCAAGCGACCCCGACCGGAGCATTGTATTCTCAAGTTTGTATACACAAACATCAGGATTGACGTCAATGCTTGAAGCAATGATTCCATTCGACCTGTACTCTTCCTTGGTATACCATTTTACGAACAGAAAGCTTACAGAAACTCGAGACATATTGAACGCTTTCGGTGGGATCTCAAAGGTATTGGAAGTCTCGTTTGATAGCAGCTTCTGCTACGGGCTTCCCAGTATCTATCTGGACGAAGCGCTGCTATGGACACCTCAATTACGCCTTGAACGTCGTGTCGCCCCCTCCTCGTTGCCTGCTCATGATCCAATCCTGGTATTCCCAAGCTGGTCATGGGCTGGTTGGATTGGCCAGGTAAGCTACCGTTCGGCACCCGTGGATCAAAATGCGGCCCAGCACCTTTTGAAATCCAAGATTATTTTATTCCCGCCGCAAGATCACGAGCCGTTCAAACTCGTCTTTGAGGCGTACACCTTAGACTTTTCTGGCATTCTAAATTTCGAAGGCGGCCAGCTTTTCTGTAATACATTTTCAACGAAGTCACAATTAACAACGCACGATGGCAAATATCAATGCGACATCTCAGCATTCACATTCTCAGCCGATCTCGGGGTCAGTCCGGACAGGAGAAGCAGCCTGCAACACTTTTATGGAACACAGCCTCGATGCCATGTGGCGTCATTCTTGATCAAGAAGAAGACGTAGTCTCGCGTATCGCTGGACGACATTGCCTCCTCGTTCTCCTATCAAAATGCCAGCCAGTGATTGGGGTAGGATGGGAAAACTGTATGATAGTTGCGCCACGTGGTATTGAGTGGGAGCGCCTCGCTATTGCAAGAGTTGTACCTAAGTACCTGTCCGACTGGGAGACGAGCGATCGTGGAGATCTGACTAGCATGTGTTTGATTTAAAGGAAAGAGGAGAGAGTAGCATTCGCTAGAGTACACAAGGTCTGAATGTGACGGAACAAAGGCAAGGCAAGCTTCAGAGTGCTCTTTCAACTTTTCCTAAACGGAGTATAGAGAAGTCTTGATAGCCTACCGGCGTATTCCAAGCAGTTGCAAGGGGTGCCCAAACTTACGTCTTAGTATCTTACATTCCAAGCTATGGGTGGTTCAGAAGCTCCAAGGGGCCCTTGAAGACATATCACGTGACTGTACCATCACGCGGTGAAGACATGTCAACCTGGTAAGATACTTGAGCATTCATTCACACCTGAACCTGAAGACGACTTCATCACTTGCTATAATTGCTCTGCTAATAATATAGTCTTAAAAACACTCCCGGCTTTTGTAATTTACACGCCTTTGCAGGAAACCAATCTCCCACGAAGCATGCCCAGGTATTCTAATACACTCCGTCCCAAAGGAGTTTTCCAGCGACCTTTCCAGCACTCCCCATCGATCTCCTGCATGCAGTCAATAACCGAGTGAGATTGCGCTGGATCAAATCTTACATCGGGCCAAATTGACCAATCCCTACAGTACTAGGCTACAAGTTTAGGCACCCGGATATAACAGTGCTTCAGTTCGACTTTTACTCGTTCCACACCATTGGCAGGAGTGGCCTAGCTGCGGAATAACCACTAAAACAGAAGGCAGCCCAATTCGCACGGCATCAGATGTGTGAAAAGCGTCTGGAGTTCTGAAAGCCTATGGAGGCATCCCAAGCAGTGGTAAACGCGTGTGCACAGATTTATGACCTGCCACTTTACTGTGGGTTAAAGTGATCGAGAGATAGAAGACAGCGGAGTTTTTCACCGAAGGAATGGAGGTAGATATAATTTGGTGACCAGCATTTTAATTTAATAAAAGATGACAATGTATGCAAATAGCACATTACCTCAAGAGCAGGCATAGCGCTATCTAGCTGGACGTCCACCCGGATTTTCAGGCGCTAGGCTTGTTTAGGCAATAAGTTCCACTTCGAGGACTTTAATAGTATGAATCATCGATATGCTGCTCACAAGTCGACCGTCGAGTAAGAGTAGACTTGAAACTCACAAGGAGTCCATTTCACTCTATCCCTACCTTCAATGACGAGTAATGGTCAAGAACACGTCGTTTTCACGGAAACGCGCCCGCCTTGGCAACTCGTCCCACTACACCTATACATACAAGCCCTGGAATGCCACGTATCAGGACCCCACTCAATTCAAATCACATGGCTGGATCTCAAACCTAAATGGTCTTGAAAACTTATGTATGAGGGTTTAACAGCAGGGAAAGCTGCCAGCAGCGATCACAAAAGGTAAATGGTAGCCTGGTATCGCCGTAAGGCCGCCAGCACCACCTCATCCTCAACTCCAGTCAATTACCAAGAAAACATCTCATTCCCACGTAATCAAGGGTATCAATCCCTTGTACTCCTCTGCCAGAATGAAGTCTTACCGAAACCTAAGTCGCGAAAACATCTACAAAGCCAAAGTCAAGCCCAATTCATGCCTTCGAACCATTTCCCTTACTCCTTCACGCTTTTTGTTTCCCTCGCCGCTTTTCAACTAAGAACCCCCTTCTGCTCAAAATCCCTTCTCACTCAACAAACCTCTCCGCCCACATCGTCAAGCCCCCGTCCTCATTTATCAACCGGTCCATATCGTCCTTCCTTAACTGCACCAGCACCTCATACGGCGATGTCTCGTCCATTGGCCTAGGATACAACAGCACCGACCTATCCTGGTTGCTAAATGGCTTGCGCACTGTCACACGCCCACCATCTACCCCCTCCGTTCCAGCCCCAGGAATACCCCAGTCCGCGACCAGGCCCCCGAAATCAAACGACGCCCAGCTCGTGATAAACACGTCTTGGGGATAATTAAACTCGTAAAGATCGTCTGGGCACGTCGCCGATCTCAGACGCGCGAGGTGCGCCAGGCTTGCGTCGGGGCTCATCGACTCGATTTTCGCGCGGACGGCGGCGGCGGCGATGCTGATGGTGTGGTTGGAGACCCTGATTACGCGTATCATGTTAGCATTGCTCTTAGACCATTGATCGGGTTTCGTGGGGAACGGAAAAGCCTACTTCTCCCCTTCCAACAACACTCCCGCAACCAATGGCGCCGCGATAATCGTCGACGCATTCCCAATGAAGTTCTCATCCAGCGGCGGGCAGAGCCTAGAGCGCAGATTCACAGCAACAGCGCACTGGGTTATCGAGGCTGGCTCCACGCGGGGCTTGCGGGCGCGGGTGAAGTGCGTCCAGATGAGGCCCGCGAGAGTCTGGAAGATTGTGAGAGTTTCGGGGTTATCGACGTGTTGGCGAAGCTCCTCGCGAAGCTCTGCGAGCCTTGTGCGTGAGAAGGTGAAGAGCCGCGGTGTGCAGTCGGGTATGGGGTGAGAGTCGAGCGGGGAGGAGGGGGTGGGGGAGCTGACTTCGGTGCTTCCGGAGTTGACGCTGGGGACGGAGGGGGGGACTCTTTCTATGCGGGTGTCGATGGCGAGACGGCTTGCGGAGGGGTTGTCGGTGTCTGTGAAGTTGTCAGTGTGCGGGGTTGTTGTTGGAGAGGACTTTTCGATGAGGGGTGCAAACCTGGAGCATCAGATTCCTTCTCAAGCCGAATGTTTCCCGCCAGCCTGGTAGCGAACGCAGAGAAGCCGCCACCATCTATGACACCATGGTGGCTGTAGAAGCTAAGTACAAGGCCCCCATCGATGAAGAAAGCCTGCATAGCGAGCACAGGGATGGGCTGTGTCATTCCTAGACGCCCTTCAGCAACCGGCGACTCTATCCCCTTCTTACTTCGCAGTAACGCGGGCACCCAATCTTCGACGCGGATCATGCTCGGCGAGAAGCCCTGTTCCCCGAGTCTTTTATATGACAGTTGAGGGTCATCCAAGTAGCTAGCAGCAAATACTCCGGACTCCCCAACAGGGCGGACATTGTCGGAGTAGTTGAGCGAGAACGTGTTCGTGTCCTCATCGACTGGCCCAGTGGTTCCCGCCAAGTACGGCCAGTGAGTGATGGTTGCTTGTAGCCCCCTCTTCAAGGCTCCTGTGGCATTCAGCCGCTTATCGGCGTGTGGGAAAGGAAAGATCATGACAATCCGGACGTAAGACCGGAACATTGTCTGGTCGATTATCGACAGGTGGAGGTTCTTGGCCCCTGGGTCGGATGGTCCCATGGTTAGGTAGGTCGAGTGCTCGTAGCAGTAGCGTCCGCCGCTAGTTTTAGACTCCTAGTGCAAAGAGAGTTTAGATCAGGTATGTTAAATTGGACCAAGTCGAGTAGTAGTGTATTAGTAGGGGTAATGGGGCCGAATGGTGGAGGTTCGCTATATCGAGAGGTGCTACTCACTCGGTAGAGGAATCAAAGCTCGACGAGGCCAGATGTGTTCGAAAAAGAGAGGCAGTAAATCAGCGTCTGTGTTCAGAAAAAGCATGGAATGGTACCAGGCTGAGAAGTAGCTGACAAGTGAGTCCTACTTATGTCTTGTCCGCTTAATTTCCACCTCAGTGGCTCAACACCATGCACAACTGTACACGCCAACTCACTCGCACGGCAGAAACCGATATTGTGCCGTCTTGTTTCCAGCATTGGAGCTGTGCGCCGGTCCGCCGTCGTCTCTCACCTTCGAGAAGCTGTGTCATACCGCCGCCCGCCGACGATTGAATAGATTCGAAGCGAATGGAGAGCACTCGGAGACGCTCCGAGATGATGCGCCTCTACCCAGCAGTAGATGTTGATGAGGGTCGCTGGATCTTGCAGTCGCCATGGTGAAGCCGAAGATCCTGCCGCAGGGCAGCCGCTGCCCAACATCTGACACGTCGAGCAATTCTAGCAGGGTGGTGCTTGGCTTTGACAATCCTCACCGGTCAGAATCAATAAATGCTGTGTCTGCAAGCGTAGTGCAGGGCAAGAGGCGAGTCGAAGGGCACATTTAGAAAAGGCGCGTAAAATCCCAGCGCATAGGGGAGGCATCGTCGATGTAACACATTTTGACCAAAAAATACAACTTTGGCCAAGTCACCCAGCGAGCGATTGGTGACCCATACTTGGAAAGGAGGCGGTGACCTAAACTGTGACAGATATCATTTGACGGAGCGACGGGGTGGGTGGTGCTGTGGCACACCTCTGCGGGCTGGAAAAGCGTGGAGTTCTGATTGGAGGTTGAGATCCCGATTCCCGATTCCACAATTTGCATGATCTCCACTGCGGATCGGGAGCGAAGTCATGCATTCCGCCCTTCGGGGGGTACGGGATGTGGCCCGCAGAATCCTCCTGCGTTGGTGGGAAACGTGACCACGATAGTGAAAGCTACACGCGCGTAATCAGTGATAGTACAATAAAGCAAAATTAAATGACTCTTGTATCTGAAGCGGTGTCCTACACGTCCAGTCATGGGCAGAGATCATATCACGTCCCGCTGACCCACGGCATGCCGCCGAATGCTCCAATGGGCCCTTCCTCCATCCAACTCCGGGGTACAACATAATTGGGACATACGAGGTGCAGGATGACACCGAGTGTTGTAAGTAGAGATTAAAGTGGGCGTTGGGGTGTAGTAGGTACGTACTCTGAAGTGACTGAACAAAGACTGCTGGTGCACAGAATCCTTCCCCGAGCGTGTCCTTCGCTTAATGACCGGTACTTGATCCCGAGCCTAGTCGCTATCCATAGGGATGTCTACCCGCTTCCCCGAGCCGTTACTTGGGAATCAGAGACGCGGCAGCGGAACACGCTAGGCGCAGCTGAAGAAGCGGTATGCCGAGCTATGGGCCGCACGGCTTGTGTGTCCTGCAGGATGCCGGCTCGAGCAGCGCGAGCACCCATACTCGGCGTCCTGCATGTGCAAAGTGCGAATGTCCCGCTGCGGGGGAGAGCGGAAGGGGAAGAAGGCTGAAGTAACAAGGTGGCAGAAGGCGTGCCTTGTCAGCGTGCACAGCCTGTCGCCTGCATGATCCTGGCCCACCCAGATCGTTGCTCAGGAGCTCATGCGATCCAATGGGATCTTTGCTCCTCATCCCCGGCGGCAGCACGTACCTCGTTCCTCCAGCGCACTTTGTGCAGTCCTGATACAAGACCGTCATGATCAAATACTCATCTAGCGCCACAAAGTGGCGCCTGTGATGAGGAGAGGCACACGGAGAAGCTCGGTCAATATGTGCTGGCTGGTACCAGTGGGATGTTATCAGATCCGACTTGACAGCGGAAGTATTGGTACAACGGAACAACGTGACCCAGAGCGAAGATCACAGAAAGTAATTACCTTTGGGGCGAGAAAGAACGTAATTACTGGAGAGGTACATTCTTCATGTCCGCTAGCGCAATATCTCGACGACGTCCACACTTGGGATGATCACGTGACACTTATTGATGTCAGAGATGAATGACTTTGGTTGCCAAACAAGCATTTGATAGCTCTATAGGTGGATGAATGCGGTCAATATGAAACCGGTGACTTCGAGGTTCTGTTCATGGAGACAGGCTAGAGCTCACAGACATCAACCGCGTCTGGTGCAGGAAATGCGTTGGTTGAAGCCATTTCGAGCTCTCTCCGTCGAAAAGGCACGGAGATATCTATTGATTGCATGAAAATAGAGTGTCGTACTTGGGTATTGTCTTTTCATCGTGATCATGAAGTTGAGGTTGAGAAAGACTTAGGACGGCTTCAGGAATCCGCGCGATGTCTTGGTACTTGTCAGCTGATCCTCACAATCAACAGCTTTATGCAAGCTCAATTACTCTCAGACTTACCACAAGAACGAGCTTCAAGATTTCCGGAAGCGGTGTACTCTAGGACCAGGGTGAATTTGTCACGTGACATCCTCAAAGACACTGCATCTACAATTATGCCTGATCGCTGCAATATGCAAAGAAAACCATAACGAACTAGCAGACGTCTATCCAATAGAGCTGCTAAAAAGAACCATAATGAGCCAGCAAACGGTTATCCAATAGAGTTCTCAAACGGCTATCCAACAGAGTTCCCAAAGAACCAGGAAAGTCGTCATCTAAAAGTAGTCAGACATAGACCTCAAAAGACGGCCTTCCAACGTAATATGCCGAGTCTACATCACATCACAGCCTCGCCACCACATCTGTCTTCCCCTCCCACCGCTGCACATCCCCACAACTCCCCCAATCCCCCGGAAAGAATCTCGGCCCCAACACGTTCTTCTGCACCTTCCCGGTAACCGTCTTGGGCAGCTCGCCCTCCACAATCCGCAGAAGCGTCGGCATCTTGTACCCACTCAGCCTGTGCCTCAACTCTCTTCTCAAATCCTCAATCGTAAGCGCAAATCGCTCATTACCGTGACTTTGGAAGTACGAAGGGGTCAGCTCTTCATCGCGGAGGGACACGAGAGCGGCGACGCGTTGGCCGAACTCCTCGTCGGCAACACCGACGATCATGACTTCGGCGATGTAGGGGAGAGCGATGATTTCGCGCTCAATATCTAGCGCAGAGATCTTGTAGCCGCCGGACTTGATGATGTCGAGGGAGGCGCGGCCGAGGATGTGGTAGTACTTCCCTGTGCGGCGTGCAACTATTTGAGTGAGCATGTGATCAGTGATGCTCATTTCTAGGAAAAGACGTACTATCGCCTGTCCGAAAAAACCCATCTTCGTCGTGAGCCTTCGCGGTTGCCTCGGGGTCGTGGAGGTATTTTGAGAACATGTGCTAGGCTGATCAACTCGACGTTCAGGGGGAGGTATTCAATACTTCTTTGAAACTCACCGGACTCTTGACCAACACCTCCCCCTCCTCTGCATTCCCCGAGCCCCCGAGTTTGATTTCTACCCCGGGCTCCGTCTCCCCAACACTCCCCTCTGGCACATCCCCATCCTCCAACCCGGCCTTGAAAACCGCCCCAAACTCCGTCGCCCCATACCTCTGCAAAATCCGCTTCCCAAGCAATCCCCTCCAAAACTCTTCTAACGGCCTCGGTAGTGCGCTCGTCCCACATAGACACGCCCGGAACTGCTTCGCGCCGGCTTCATACCGCATTACCTCCTTCCGGGGCCGTTTAGACAAATGGAGCTGGTAGTACCGCCGCATACGCATGTATATCGTCGGCACGCCGCTGAAGAACGTCAAGCGCGGAGCAGAAGAGTCTTGGTCATCGACGCCAGCTCGCCACCGCTCCCACATCCAACGTTCGTCGAAGGAGCCGCTGCGGAACTCGATTGCTGCGCCGGCGATTAGAAAAGGGAAGAAGGAGATCCCGACCCCGGTTGCGTGATGCACGGGTAGGACGTGTAGGATCCGATCATTGGGAGTAAGAGCGTAGTGATCGGCGACGGCGAGAGCGTGATCAGAGACGTATGCGCGGCGCATCACGGCGCCTTTGGGTGGCCCGGTGGTTCCGGAGGTGAAGATAACGATGGCGGGGGCGTTTTCGTCGAGGTAGCGGTTCGAGGACACGAGGATGTCTTCTGGTTTCAAGGCCTTATTCATCAGCACTGGCCCGATAGACAAATGTGTAAAGTCCTGCGGGTTGGGTCGTGCAGATGTTGGGGCAGTTGCTCGGATCCGTGATTCAAGTGCCTCGCCTTTGGAATTCTCGGGCATGCTCGTTAAAATTAGTGCCGCACGCGACTTTTGGATGAAGTATACGGCTTCGTCGACAGGAAGCGCGGGCGTAATTGGTACGGCTGCGGCACAGATGGCGAGGATGGCGAGCACAGCAACCGCATATTCGTAGCCGCCGGCTGCGATGACGGCGATATAGATTTCTTCTTGGCGGTGTAGAGCAGCGATAGCCGAAGGGGGAAGAGCATCGTAGATGACTACCCGGAGCGCGAGGACGTCAGTGAGGAGATCGATATGGGTGCGAGTCTGGGAGGTCCGGACATCGTGGATGCATGGTCTTGGTGGATGCTGGTGGGCGAAGCGGAGGAGGCGTGAGAAGAGTGGCTGATATTAACATCAGAATAGTCTTCGAGCATTAGGAGAAGGGAGAGTACCGTGCATGGGAGGATGCTACATCCAGTGTGCTTCGGGACGAAGTGGGTACGGTCTACCATCTTGTCCTGTAAATTCTTCTATTGTTCATGAGTCCCTAATTCGCGTCTTTCCTCAATGCTCTTTAGACTCTGTCTATTAAATCAATCTTCAACTTCTACATATTGTCGTCTTTCAGGTTCGCCAATCTATAAGATCAAGCCTTCCTGTCCGTTAGCAGTTTCCTATCTCGATGTCAAGATTTCTGATATTGCCGTCTCCGCTATCGCATCTTTCGGCATCCAATAGTACCCCGCTACATTCATCTTGTAGGGATAGTCGTGGGGTTTCGGCAATCTACGGTATTATGTGGCTATCTCCAGGAACCCCGCGGTGACACTACTGAGTCAGCTTGCACGAGGAAGATAATGAAGTTTTAGATCTAACCGAAGAAGGTACCTCGGTAAGGAACGACGTCGTTAAAGATATGAGATGTTGAATTGATCCAATTATACTCGTCCTTCGTCTGCATAATGAAGTCAAAAAGAAGCCAAATGACCAATAAAAACGTTCATATAAGTATCCAGTGCTTCATCAATGAGAAGATCAGTTCATCCAAGAATAATTATTACTGGCGAATCATCGCCTGCTGGATGCCTTGGGCGATAGATTTGGTTGCCGAAGTCGCCCAATAGTCCAACGCTGTCATTCGATACCACTGCGTGTCAACCTGTCGCCTAAGGCATTTAAGAGTATGCCTAGGTAATACGTAGACAGATTTCTCAGATGGTCGAGATTGAGATGAGCTGGAGGCGAAGTGGAGAGATGAAAATGGTGAGAGGTGAGAAGGCGGATAAACGTAATATTTCCCGATTACTCTGTTAGCGTGGTATTTTATGTATCTACCACCATTTCAGGCTAGCCTTGCATCACGTGGCCTATATAGTAGGAAGTAAGGTCTCTAATCATCTGCATACGCTTATTTGCAATATAGTGGGCCGGTCTAGCAAGAAGAAATGACCTGAGCGTTTTGAATACGAGTTGCTCCCGCCACCCCCCTCTTCACCAGGCTCAAGAATGCCAAAAAAAACCCATACCCCGGGAATTATGAAGTCTGCTACCTATGATACGCTATCCACTTAGCCAACCCAAGGACATAATATGTTCTCCTCTCTCTCCTAATCGTCATCGCCCCTCATTTCCCCACCCCCTTCCTTCCACTCTCCCAATTCCTTTTCACAACATCCATCCCCATCATCTTCGCCAACAACCTCCGCAGCCAGGCATCTGTCCAAGCCACAGGGACCCACTGCGTAACCGCCCTCACCACGAGCGCATTCCCACCTCTCCAAATCCGATTCGGCCTGCCAAAAAACCACCCCTTATCCAACAAATCCGCCACCACTCCCTCCGCCCACGTCTTCGCATCCACCGCTTCCTCCATCGGCCCCGTGCCCGACATCGCTTCCTCGACCCTCTCTCTAGCAATCTGGTAGATACTCTCCTCCGGCAACTTTGGGCCCCCACCACCGATCTGGTTATCGTAGAACGGCGTTTTCACGGACCCGGTGCGCAAATCCACGACGCGGATCCCGAATGGCTCGAGCTCGAGCCGTAGCGTATCGGAAATCATCGCGAGCGCTGCTTTACTCGCGTTATACAAGCCCTGTATTGGCACCGACGTCACCGCTGCGATTGACGTCTGGTTCACGACCGCGGCTTCCCCCCTCTCGCTCGCGCTCTTTAGCAATAGCGGTGCGAAGGTCTGTGTAACGGCGAGGACAGACCAAACGTTCAGATCGAAGAACTCGCGGCCTTTCTGCAGGTCTGCGTCGAGGAGGGGGATGCTGTACCCGCCGCCGGCGTTGTTGATGAGCATATCGAGGGTGCCGCCGGTGAGGGCGGAGACCTGGGTTACTGCGGCGGCGATGGAGGTGGAGGAGAGGACGTCGAGGGGGATGTGAGTGATGCCTAGGGCGGTAAGGTGGGTGACTTTGGAGGGGTTGCGGGCGGCGGCGAAGACGCGGTGGCCGCGGGCATGAAAGGCGAGGGCCAGGGAGGAGCCGAGGCCACCGACAGAGGTGCCGGTAATGAGGATTGTGAGAGAGTTGGCGGGATTGGGCATGGTGGTTGGAGAATCTGATCTGGAGCAGGGAGATAGATATTGGAGATTTGGCGGTTGAAAGATTGAAGGGGTTTATTTATGATGAGAGAAGTAGAATGGGAATCGAGAGTCTCAACGTCCAGAGGCTCTCGATATATTATACTGACTGATGATGCTGGTTGAAGCGTGGGATGAAAACCAGCGAGCGAGGCAGATGAGGAGAGTATCGGTAAGGCGCTCCAACTTCTCCAGCATCTCATCCTTATATACCCATTCTACCAAGCATCCTAAGAACTATATTATAGGTATATCGTGATCCCATCCTCAGTCGTCGAAGATCATACGTTTAGTTGACGGGGGAAAAATCGACCGACGCGACGTCAAACGCATCTCGGCCGAAATTCAAGCTTGACGAAACTGAGCATCTCAATACCGAACCAAGCGAAAAAGGAACATACAAATGGCAATTTACCTGATTTATGGCTTTGGAACGACATGTGTAAGCTGGAAGCTAACTGCGCGTGGACGACGCGCAATAGTCAACCCCGTCGGAGAAGAGTTCGCCCGAGTGAGGCTGGAGATGGAGAAGCAGCGAGGAGATTGGTTAGCACTGGAAATAGTCCACATTTCTGACAATCAGAAAGATTTTATATTTTTCTGACTATCAGAACAACAAATAGTCATCATTGCCCCAAGACTTGTCGGAGATGGATATGTCGCAATTGATCGGATTGCTGAAGCCGAGTGTGAGGTAGAACGGTGTTCGCAGTGAACGTCGAGTACTATGCGGAGACAAGTTTCCGGAGACTCCCAGGTATAGCATAGCAGTTTGTACTTATGAGTTTAGTTCTCTGAGTCGAATACGATGATTTCTATGCTGAATTTCGTGGCGTCGGGGCCTTTCCGGTGGTTCAACTACCAGCACCGTTCCATCATGCGCCAGGAGTCAATATGGGATGGGCCGAATGTCAATCATAGTTCGAGAGCTTACCAGATCTCAATGGAAATCAAATGCTCTAGGGCATCAAAGGAGAGGCTGATGTTCTGCCAAAGCTGATGCCTGGTCAAGGGTCACGTGAATTGTTCTTTATCGTCACAACTTGCAGGGGCCACACTTTGCCCAGTACCAAAAGAATGGAGGTCTGTATGATGTTTTTGAAAGAAAGAATGATGGAAGAATTGTTGTTGCAGAGTTTTGGCGACGGAGTGAGAGAAGAGGGTGAGCTGGAATTCGTTAGCGCGCAGGCCCCGCGCTCAGCGCTTCAGCCTTCACAATCCGAACTTTTTCACACATTCATGGACTAACGTCTCTCCTTTGTGTCCTTTTGCAGTACTTGTAGCGTGTGATGCATTGCATAATCTCTTCTTGCTTATATGCTACGAGCGCCCCTATGCTGCCATGGCCCCGACGTCAGATCTCGTGAGGGACTCGAGGCTGAGGACTCGATTCTACGCAGGCCACACCCATCATACCTACTACGTCTCTGGAATCACCGCTCGGCAACGCACTGTGAAGAGAGAGGAGCGATGGCAACGATGTGGCTCTCTTGGCTCCGGCGCTTTCGGAACGGTTTGGCTCGAGAAGTTGGTATCGGATGAGGCTGAAGCGAAGCAACGCGCCGTAAAAGAGATCCGCAAGAATTCGCATCGTTCAAACACTATTGATTACAGCCGAGAGTTGGAAGCTATCGCCAAGTTCTCTCACGAAAATTACGAGCGTTGCTTCGTGCGATCCTTTGGCTGGTACGAAAGTGGAGAAAGCGTGTTCATTGCCATGGAGTATTTTCCCTTCGGCGATCTTGATGGTTACATCTCTAGTCCATTGCCAGAATTGGAAGTCCAGCAAATCACGTTTCAGATCTTGGAAGGAGTTGCGTTCATGCACGAAAATGGCTTCGCTCATCGTGACTTAAAGCCAACGGTAAGGCTTCTGCTCGTCACAATGCCCTTCTTAACTCATCAACGGTGGAATATAGAACATCCTCATTAAATCCAGAGGCCCAGACTGGTGGGTTAAAATTGGCGATTTCGGCATCAGCAAGCGTGCTGAAGAAGGGCTGACTGCTTTGCGAACGTTGAACGGCACTCCTGGTTTTCTGGCCCCTGAAATGCTTGTACAACTCGGGCTTCTGGACATGGACAACCTTGCTGTTAGCGACCGGTACACCGTCGCTGTTGATATCTGGTCATTAGGAGAAATCACATTTCGCGCTTTGACCGGAGAATCACCGTTTCCAATCCGGCGTTTAGGACCCTACGCTAAGGGAAAGACGACTTTTCCTGTCGAAGTCTTGCAGTCACACAATGTCAGCACTGACGGTTGCGATTTCGTCAAGTCTCTCATGGCTCCGCTACCTAGAGATCGGCTAACAGCTAAAGATGCTGTTGCACATGATTGGCTTGAGTCACAAAGGCCATCTTCTGCAAGATCGTCCTTGGAGATTCAAAGGTAGCAATTTCTTCGTCTTTCATTCGCTCTGAGCGTATCCATGCTAACGCTCGTACCTCATTGGTAGTTCGGAGCACTTCTTTCAGGATGATTCCACATCCCCTAGTCAAAACATCACAGAAGCCTCGGCAGCTTGGAGCGATGTAACAAGCTTAGAAGCCCCGGGGGCTTCAGTGTTTAGCGCCGAAAACAATACCCCAATTGAAGACCACGGTAAAACCTCAGTGACGTTCTCAAACCCGGTATCACAAGCTAAAAAAACCATTGATGCCACGGCCTCCACTGCCAAAGCACAAGATGCTCGCGAAAAGATTGTTCAAGCTTCGAGGAACGATGCCACAATGTTCAAGGCCGTCTATGATTACTCTTCCCCGCACGAGGACGATCTGAGCTTCCGTCAGGGTCAGATAATCACCGTCACGGAGCAAGAAGATGAGGACTGGTACAGTGGCGAATACACTGATGGTGCTGGAGCGAAACAAGAGGGCCTGTTTCCTAGAAACTTCGTGGAGAAGTACGACCCAAAGCCTCCTCCACGACCTGATAGAACTTCACCGCACAGGCCGTTACATGAACCTGTAGTTCATACGGAGCCTCCGTCTCTAAAGCTCAGCAAGATTGTGGGAATACCGTGGCGAATATGTGTCAAGAGACTGTGGTGGGATTATATTGACGGCAAGGTTGAAATAACTAACACCGACCTTCCAGCATCGACAGCTTTCATGGATCAAAATGCCTGGACTGAAATTCTGGCATATTGGGTTTGTGAGGAAGCGTTAAAAGAGGGAGGGTACGACTACACGCAGATGGAGAATGAGCGGAGTGAGCGAGGACGCAAGGGGCTCGAGACCACCTTCTCAATCCCTCGTCCACTCACCTTTGTAAGCCATCCCCTATTCAATCAAATCAACGTAAAGCTAACAGATTTTCAAAGGCCGAAATCGAACGTCTCGTCGAGAGAACAGTAGAAATGCACCGCACACCCAAACGTCGCCCGTCCTACTATCCTGCGCCAGTAATTTCCAACGCCCCTACGCCGGATAAAGATCAGACAACTACTGTTCTTCACGCGACTGCGAACGAATTTTTGCCGGAGTCTTCACATCTAGCTTCATTGCTTGGAAAATCTGAATCAGAGAGTAAGGCGCCCGCAGCTCGTGCGGAGTCTCCGCGTCCAGAAATCAACACTATTGTGAGAATACCGTAACCATTGAGTGCCTGCCGACAAACGCTCACATCTTTTAGACCTCGAAAAATCCTATCACAACCTCCGACGAAGGTTATCGTGCGCCGGTGATTTCCAAAGCCCCTACGCCAGAGAAAGATCTGACAATCAGCGCCGAAAAGCTGTATGCTTATATGAGCATGTATAGCCTTTTGCTAATTGATGTCCGAGACCGGGAGCTGTTTGATAAAGGTCATATTTATGGGGACAAGATTATGTGCATGGAACCGACCGCTCTCGAAGAGGGTAAATCTGCCGAACAATTGCAAGACCGCCTAATTCTTTCTCCGGATGAAGAGCAGAATATGTTCGAACAACGCGATAAATATGACTTTGTGGTATACTACGACGAATCAACGGAGAGCACGACATTTCTGTCCAGACATCCTCAAAACTACCAAGAGGTAGCACTGAAGCGGCTTTTTGATACGCTCTTTAAGTTCAGTTCGGATAAGCCATTACAGAGACCTCCGATTCTACTCATGGGCGGAATAAACGCCTGGACTGATCTTTGGGGCAGTACGGCTCTTAAGACGTCGAACACAGCGGCTCGCGTAGCTTCTGGCCACACAAAGCCACCGCGTACTGTCCTTCATGCGGCTGGGAACGATTCTTTGCCCGAGTCTTCGGAACCAGCTCCGTTGCTCAGACAAGCTGAATCGGACATCGCCTCTTCTGATACTCCAAGAAAACCCCTAATACTCCCGTTGTTCCGTCCTATCTCTGCCGTGCTATCGAGCGATAAGGATGAGCACACAAGCAAAGAAGACGAGCCTACGACCAGTCTTGATCCCAAGATAGAGTCCAAGAAACCGAACAAGAAGCAGCGAAAGAATTACTTTGGAGAGTACATACTTGGACAGACCCTGAGCCAAGACGCCGGAGTCAAGGTGAAATTGGCCAATCATTCGCTAACCGGAACGAAATACGCAATTCGGCGATATCAACGGAAAGAAGTTAACAAAGACTTCTATCTAGAAGTTGTTATTCAAAAAGATCTGAGCCACCCGAACATTCAGCGCTTCTATCAATTAGTAGAGACCGAAAGACACATAGGCCTGGTTTTACAGTACGCTTCCGGAGGTGAACTTTTTGACTATGTCTTAAACCACAGATATCTCAAAGACGTCGCGGCTCGCAGGCTGTTTGCACAGCTAGTCTCTGCTGTGGGTTATCTGCATTTGAAAGGAATCGTGCATCGTAATCTGAAACTCGAGACGATACAGCTCGATAGGAACCGGAACCTCATCGTCACTTGCTTCAACTTGGCAAAAACATTCGACCTGACGGATAAGCTGAGTGAAGATATTGAGTACAACCTAGGAAACCGAGAATTTGTAGAGAGATCGAGATTGACGCAACCAAACAAAGATGGGATCTTCCGGGGTGACCTTATGCAGACATCTTGTGGATCCCCATGTTACGCCGCACCAGAGCTAGTTGTATCAGACGCTATGTATACTGGCCGTAAAGCTGATATATGGAGTTGCGGCATTATCCTGGTGAGTCCACGATGCAGGGTCTCTTGTTTCCTTTGGTCATATGGCTGATATCAACGCAGTACGCGATGTTAGCCGGGTATCTTCCCTTTGACGACGACCCAGCAAACCCCGATGGCGACAACATGAACCTCTTGTATAAGTACATTGTATCTACGCCTTTAACTTTCCCTGAGTATTTGACCCCTCACGCCAGGGATCTTCTTAAACGAATACTAGTACCGGACCCTCGGAAACGCTCCGATATGGTCGAAATAGCTCGTCACAGCTGGTTAAGCGAGTATGTTCATGTGGTCTCTTTCGTTATCTCTGAGACCGCAAACGTCTCTGGAGACACTCTGGTCCGGTCCAGTGAATATCGGGAACATTCGGGGTCCAGCGAATATCGGGAACATTCGGGTATGTAGGGTCTAGGGCCCTTATCAGGTATTGGTGCTAAACAGTATACACAGCAGGAACAAAAGAGAGAGAGAATGTAACACCGAGGGACCCAAAAAGACGAACGGTCCAAGTCGAGTATGTTTCACCGTCGAGCGAGACAAAAAGGCGATCGGTTCAAGTCGAATATGTTGGACCAAGTCCACGAGCCGAGCGCAGGCGCTACCCGCCATCATCTATGCAGACACCAAATCGAACGTCGTCTGACAGGCTTCCCAATGTCCTAAACAAACGCTGGTCAGCTGAAGACATGAAAGAATTACGGCAAAAGTCATCTCTACCTACTTACTCGAAGATGAATGAGATGCCGTCTCCGCGCGTCTCCTCGCCTAACCCTAAGCTATCGGCATCGCCAGGGGACTCCAAAGATACCCAACAACTCGGTAGATTAGGTGGCGGATTAAGACCCAAAGACTCCTTAGAAAAACTCTCACGACGATCATCCTACGCAAGCGATGGCCATGACGATGTCCGACGGGACACTTCGAAGGATAGATTGACACGAAGGATAGCGCAATATCAAAAGGCACATAAGCCACAAGGTTCTATTGAAGAGGTCTCAGTACGGCGTCCGTACGGAAGCCCGGCCCAGCCAGCGTCAACCACGAGCATTACTCCACCAACACCGCACATCTATGAACCGCACATCTACGAAGGGAGACATATGAACAACGCAATTGACCCTTCGCTGAGAACTATCCAAGATTATAACCTTCCTACATCCTCGTCAAAGCATGGCACGATGCTAGATGATGGATCTAAGAGTGCCTCCGGCAAAATCTTAGATTTCTTCCGTCGCCGAGGCAAACAGAGATCCGAGCCCTATGATCCAGACCTCAGGTACTAGGTCAAAAACTGTTTCATATCTAACAAAACAGTCACTCCCTCAGTGGTCTGGTTGGTGGGAGTAGATCGCCCTACTAGCAGGGTACCAACTCCTGCGAATCTCCAACGGATTTCCTGAAGACCACATCAGCCACAGCTGCAGTCTGATCAGACGGACCTTATTCACACACCAAGGTACTGGGCTTTCAGACATCCGAATCAAGATAATACTCAAAAGCAGACCGAATGCCTCTTTTCGTGGTATCAAGAGCAGAACAGTGATCAAATCACGTGACTTTTCTCAAGTGAGCTACTAGATTTTGAAAGAATATCTTGAAGCAAACGCTTACATCTATTCAGCAGGCTGCAACGAATCCAACAATCCCGAGTGTCTCGAGAAACCATTCCCTGCTCACCGCGCCTCAAACAACTATTGTAGGCACCAGCCAATCCCGCCCTTGCACCGCCATCGCCGATCTACGGCACAGCCCTGCGGACACAAAAGACCCAAACCCACCGCATTCCCTTCCTTTCTTTCTTTCTTTCTCAACTCTCAGCATTCATGAAAACCCTCCTCTACTTCCAACTCTTCCTCGCATCCCTAACCCTCAGCGCCATAGCCTCCAAACCCCAAAACCCCCAACTCCCCCTCTCCGCCCCCGACGATCCCGACCACGACCCCAACCCGGACCCCACAGACCCCTACGCCGGCCTGCCCCCGCTCCCGGCCAACATGGTCTGGAACAGCTTCCCCCTCAACCCCCTCTACCTCTCCGACTCAGCCTGGTACGACACGCTCGGCAACTCCCAAATCGCGATCCGCCGCCTCTTCGCCTCCCCCTCCAAATCCACCCAAATCGCCTCTTCCCTCGCCCTCCTCGACGAGTTCCCAGCGCGCGGGCCCGACATCCTCTTCGCCGCTGCCGTCAAAGGCAAAGCCCACGTGATCTCTGCGCTGCTGCAGGCGGGCGTGGCGCCGCAACCCACGCCGGGCTCGGCGGACGACATGGCGCAGGTGCCGCTGCAGGCGGCGGCGTTTAATGGGCAGCTGGCGGCGGTAAGAGTGTTGGTGGAGGAGGGGGGGGTCGGGGTGGACGCGGAGGATGACGTGGGGAGCACGGCGCTGATGCAGGCGTGTGGTGGGGCGCATCCGGACATTGTGGCGTGGTTGCTTGAGCGGGGGGCGGATCCAAGGAGGAGGCAGGAGGGGGGGACGGGGACGGGGGCAGCGGAGTTTACGGCGGGGGGGGGGTGTGTGGAGTGTGTTAGGCTGCTGTTGGAGCGGGTAGCGAAGGAGGGAGAGGCGGGGGACGGAGGGGTTGAGATTACGCCGCTTGCGTTGCAGGCGGGGGCGCATTCGAGGAGTATTGAGATGGTGAGGTTTTTGTTGGAGAAGGGGGGGTATCCTGTGGATGATGTTGATGAAGAGGGAATTTGGAAAGGCGAGAGGTTGAGCGCGGAGCAGCGATACAACATTTAGCAGATGCTGCCACGGGTGACAACGGACGTTCATATTCTCAAATTGCTCTCGAGCTACCTGGCCCAACCGGATGCAAACGGAGACTATGGATACCTCGACTTGCCACAGGACATCAAAGAGAAGATCATAGAGCTTTTGCCGCGCATAACCAAGAACACGGACGTTCTCAAGCTGTTTTGGGCTATCGCATTTAGCTCGCCAGAGCTGACGACGCTTCAGTTCGATGGAAGCGAGTTCCTGAAAAGCGAGTACATCAACAATCTAATCCACGAATCCGCTAGGACCGACACTGTCGAAACTGCCAAGTTCCTCCTTGCAATGCCGGGCGCGGATGTCAATGCTCCGGGATTCAAGAAGGTCGGCCATTTGTATCGAGCAGCTATCGATCAGAAGCTCGAGATGACACGCTACCTTCTCGAAAACCACAGCCCAGACCTCCACCAAGGGAACGGACTCTATGCCAACGGAGGAACAGCGCTCTTCGGCGCCGTGATTGGGGGCAACGTGGAGATCGTGAAGCTGACCCTTCAGCATGGAGGCCCGCTGGAGTCCCCAATCGACGAAGGCATCAAATCTAAGGAGCCGAAGAAGGTCGTAGTTAAGTGTGTCCAAACGTTTCGGGCACCGGTGACGATGGAGCTTCACCCCGGGGATGATCTTTTGGAAGAAGAGCAAGGGACGAAGTTTGTTGTTTTGGAGTTGGATGAGAAAGACGCTGCTTGGTTGGATAAAGTAGAGATTCGGAAGTCGGATGAGGAATTGAAGGCAAATGACAGAGGGGAAAGAGAGTTGAAGCTACGGGGATAATTACGCCATATAACGACGAAGTAAGCAAAATATCACTTCTTACGTTTCTTTTGATATCACCGGAAGGGCTTGAGCGCTAAGAACACGTTCATTCTAGCCCGCGAGCTAGTTCTCTAGGTAAAGCCATGAAACTCAAATATCCTCGGCCCATCTGAAATTGCCCACTGGAGCGCTTCAGACAGCGGTGAATGGATGTCAATAGGTTCAATTACAAATGATGTTCAGGATTTCAGGGTGATAGCTTAGACATCGCGTCCTGATTGCCTTGAAAAGGTTACAGTCTTTTCGGCCAAAATAAAGATTGATTGACTAAATAAAGGAGACTTTTCGCTAGGCTATGTTTGAGATTGATGAGTCTTGAAGATAGATGTAGGCAGTATGGGCGCGATATTGTTTACGAGGAGTCTAATGGGCTTGAAAGAACGGTAAAGCGCGACGACAGTGGAAGAAACGAAACGAAATACATGGGTATGATAAGCTTGTAAAGCACGAAAGTCATAGATCATGCAATACTAAAATGTGGAAGATATCGTTAGACCAAGTCAGAATGTGTGCGTGCCCTCAAGGTCTTGGACCTCTTCCGAGAAGTAAGTGCTGACTTCAGCATCACTAGTGGTCGACCGTCCCAGAATTTTAAAATCTAACCCAGTGGCACGAAATACTGTCACACGGTGTTGACAGTTCCCGAAGAAACCACACGGATAATAGTAGTGAAGATGGGTACGTTCAGTGCTCAGGACTTTAGTCGTGTGAGCAGCCAAACCAGCGCCTAGGGCTTCCAAGTCATATTCCCGCAAATCGGAAAGCCGCGACACGGCGAGAATGGATCCTAGTATGTTCCCGAGTTGGATTGCTTGCTCCAAGAAGCCTGTTTCTGCGGTGTATGTGGGCCAAGAATGGTGTTCATGCTCCCTCAGATTAGCGAGCCAAAACTCGCGGATATGTATCGAAGAAAGCTTCTCCTTAAGCGCTACCCATATTGGGGAGCTCTGAGTCCAGGCGCCAGCATGATGATACGCGTCTGAGACCTGTTCCAGGTACCGTAGCTCGGCAACAACACGCTGTTCCTCGTCCCAAATGTTGTTTGCGACTTCAACGGTGATCCCTTGGCCGAGCGTAGCATGGCACTCAAGCGTAAATCGAGGGAAGCCGCACAAGTGGGTGCGGTATGGACGAAGAAGTGACTCATACAGCCCGATCGACGGCGAGTCTTCCTCTGGGAATGGAATCAGGTTGAGAACTTGGTCAGCCTCGCAGAGGTCGGAAAAGCAGGGGCTCTCCACAAAATGCGATCTGGTAAGCCCTCGCAGAAAGATATCCAGGTCGGACGCGAGGAGGATGAAATCAAAAAAAGGTGGCTGAGGGAATCCTCTGTCACACGTACGCTGAATGACATGGTGCATCATGTAGCCATTGAACCGCAGCTCGTTTCCGCGACCCGTCCAGATGAGAAGCTGTCTGTCGAGGACAATCCGGGTTAGTAGAACTCCACGAGATGTCACCCTCACAAAGCGATTCGTTCGGAGCATGACGGCTTTCGCCTCTTTGTGTACCGTTTTGCTGACGCGGAGGATCTGGGTCTCGATCTTATGGCTGACCGCGGCTTGCCCCAGGGGAATTATAGTCGTTGAGCCGGGCGGGCTTAGAGATCCATGCAGGAATGTGCCAAACGTTTCCTTTCGAGGTAATCTGGGACAAAGAATGGCTGCGTATATGATGTCTCGAAGCTCCAGCGGCAGGTCCATGAGCCGGAAAGGGGCCGAAGTACTATGCGATGATTTGGGCTCAGATTTTGAAGCCATAGTGATGATGGGCGAATAGAATATTCTAGCTTGACCTCGTGGACAGCGGGTGGACAGTGGATTTTAAGCCGATGGAGACGAGTCACTGCAGCTATGGCTGGTGCTTTAAGTCCACTCAAATCGTTACTTTCGCTGATGGTAGCTGTACAGTGGAGAGAATAATGAGGTTGTCGCGGTGGACTCCAGGCCCAAGCGGGGTCGAGTCATGCTCACGGGGACATCACGTGACTCACGCATCAGCACCAAATGCAGAGCCGCCAAGTGCATCAATCTGCCATTGCCTGTGATACTTCGCTTTTCCTTCGGAAATCGAAGCGTAAGACTATCGTAGTGTTCTTCATTCCGTGTGGTGTGACCTCACCTAGCCTCGGAACTTCTGGTTTCACGCTCCGGCCCCAACCACCCGTATCTTTATCCAACCTCGCCACTTGATCACCGCCACGGAAAAACATCCGATCCAGAATTAGGCATTCGAGAACTGTCGAGCTCATCGATTATTCAAAATGCAATCCATCATTGAACACAGACGTCTCCTTACCAAACTCGCCATCGGCTTTGGCAGTCTCCCTATCCTCTCGTATGCTTTTACTTCGTATCGTGGATGGCTCAGACTCGGACCAGGCGGCTTACCGTACAACCTCTACGGATGGCTTCTTAATGTATCGGCGCACCTCATCGCCCGCTCAGACACCCAAGAGCCAGCTCCGTACAACCCGGAGCACCTAGCATCGCTGTACGGATCCTCCGGGAACAAGTCCTTCTTCCATGGCAAAGCCCTTCTTTCGAGATCGGGCTCTCGACCAGATGTACCAAGCTTCGTTGCGCCGCAACGCCAAATGACGGAGCAAGCGACACCAGAGATGCTGCAGAAGATGAAAGCATTTCTCGCCACACTAGCCAACCAAAACCCGGAGATCATCCAACTCAAATTGTCCTCATTGGAGGGCCCTTACCAAGACGCTTTGTGGCTTGCTGACGGCTTTACCATCCCCGAGCACCTGAAAGTCACCAAGGGCGAGTTTGTGCATCCTCATGGCGAAGGCAGCTCGCACGTGACGCTGAGTCTGGCCGATTCGGCGAAGGCCATTGCGCTCGGCTGGGCGGAACGGCACAAGCTCAGCGGTACGAAGATTGCTCCGTGGGGATATGTCCTCATCTATGCACCGAGAAACGAGAACGAGTTTTCAATTTGGAAGCGTATCGTTGTAGCGTCGGTGAGGTTCGTTGCTACTGCCGGTCCGGCTGTGCGGGTGCCGGAGTAATTTCGCACGAAAAGAGACGCAAACTACTGGATCTTTTGGCTTGCCTCTGCTTGTCTTTTTTCTTGTATCACAATCAATGCCTTGCGAATCGCATTTTGGTGTAAAAATACAGATAGGAATGTCTAGATCTTGATCCTAAATACTCTCAGCACGCCGTTGCTACCATTGTGGAATCGCCGTGCGTCTTCCTCATGTCACCATACAAAAGACGGATCTAGAAAGCATCGCTGCCTTCGATTTATTTCCCGTAAGTCTACCCGATGGAAATCGCGAGTCAGGTACGCTTTGATAGTGTCATACCAGTTAGCCCCGTGGTACTGCAGTGTGGAGAGTGTAAGACCACTGAAGACAAGTGTATCGACTATAGGTTCTATTACATGGTGTCTAATGCGTCTGCATGCCGGCTAACGGAGGTTCTAGTCGACAAATTTCTGACGATGATTTTCGACTCGCCAGCTCTAAGCAAACACAAGCTAGAGTAAATAAGAATAGCGAACACATATTATACACCACCGCCGCCTCAGTGATTGAATCTAATTTCGTCGGTACACTCAATCAACATGCCAGGTAAACGACCGGCAACATCGCCGGCGCCCGGAGAGACAGGTGCGAAGAGGCATTCTAGAGCGGACAGTATCGGCATTCTCAAAGGACAGATTAAAGCTTTGATGGCTGAACTCGCTACGGCGTTGAGGGAGAAAGAGTAAGCCCAACAAGGCAATGATCGCAAAGATCAAGAAGGCCATCTAGTCAACGATATACAACGCATGTCTGTCAGCTCGAACGCAGAGTCAGATGATCCAGTCCGTCCATGCCCCTTCAAAGACCTTCCTAGAGTACTACGCAACGAAGTCTATCGCCACATCATCCACGGACCACAAAGCACTTTGTATGTAAAGCGGCCAATCGATTCTCAAACGCCAAAGCCCGGAGCAATCGGAGGTCACCCCCACCATCAAGCTATCCTTTTAGTTGACCGCCAGCTAAACAGAGAGGTATCGGACTTTATGACGAAGCAGGGCCAGCTAACCTTCCAGTTCGGATGTCGGAAGAACGAAGCCAGATGCACGAACTGCCAGAACTGCCAGACCAACCACGTGCTCGATCAACACTGGTGGGTAAAGTATACCGATGCCAAAGACGTGCAAACAATGATACGAAAGCTTTGCAACCGTTACCACCACGTTTACATCGAGCTCGTCGTAGACCGAGGCTTGCCACCGCAGGAAACAAAGCGTCTGCACTCTCTACCACGATGGTTTCTGGGACAATACGGGAAGGCGACCCGCTACTCGACCGACTTCACCACCGGTGGGCAGTGTCGGACCATCATTGAAATGGGATCGCTTTTCCGCACTCATGACTATCCCATGTGCTTCTTGTTGCCAGATTACCTGTCGCTGTTCTTATACTCCGGCGGCCGCTCAGGACGTCCGGAGTTTCCACCTCCTCCTGTGTATGCATGTGGCCCTCAACAACTCAGACAAAACGTTGCAGCTTTTTCTAACGAGGTCCAAGAGTTAAGTTTGCGACCTGGATATTTTCGATTATCTGCGATGTTTCGGAGGATGAGGCCAATGAAGAGTCTGAAGTCTCGCGGAGATTTGACGTCCTCAGAGCGGAATGCTAAAAGAATGGGATTGACCTGAAAGTGCGAAGCGAGGAAGAAGTGGCTCTCAATAATCTCTGGGGGACGGCCGGCTTTTCGTCCTCCGGCGCGGGAGAGAGTGTTTGTGATAAGGACTTGGACTAACACTGGCGATTTCCGCTACCTTCGTGTGGGAAAGGATAGAGTTTTGTGAGTAACTGGAAGTAGGTAGTACCCCACTGAATGCACACCTGAGACATGTTCTACGACGGTCCCTACCTAAATGTTGGAGTAACTTGGAAGGACTAGTCGGACATGGTTAGAAACGAGGCGTTCAAACCTCTCACTGACCATAATTCATGATTGTAATGGAGAGGAGCATGATATTATGACAATGAGAAGACTACAGGAGCGAGTATCACTTGAAAAGATAGAAATGGCATAGGAGAGCATGTGAAGGTACTAAATATGATAGCAAGGTAGCAATAGAAGGCTGTGATATAACCACCTCTAGATGAGCTCGATGGATGACAGACTCCCTGCGAACAAGAAGAGTACCGGAAACATCGGCAGTGTGTCCGACGGTTCAGTATAGCCCTATCTAACCAGCACCTGGAAAGACCATAACACAATATAGACACCAAACGCTCCGAGTGAGATTTCTGTGGTGAAAGCTATCGGGATTAATCCCAGAGAGAGTAGAAAGAATAGCAAGCAGTACATGAAGATTTTGCTAAACATCTTTCTTCGGGCTTGATTTAAATAGCGGCCTTGACCAGCTTGAAATCTTCAATCAACAACGAGAAGAGTATAAACTGTACCCATGTTAGGAGCGTAGCAAATGGTATCCACTCATAGAAGTCAAGCGTGGGAATGAGTATTCGAGGACTTTCTGACTTCCGGAAGAAGAGAATACGATAATTGAGATACTGGATCCAAGGACATCTGATACGACGAAATAGATGAACCATCTGATCCAACTTGACTGCTTGTAGTAGTCTCGGTTTAGATAATCCCTCAGATCATCGGGAGGGTCTAAGGGAATTGATGTATTTATTTGATGCGCTTGATACGTTTGCAGGGCGATTTGCGGCTGTGAGTTAGCTGGAGTGTCGACTATACTAGTAAGTGTATTGAGTATAGTGCGAAGGTATGAGTATACTTACCAGGATATAAGTACTCGAATATAGACAACAGAGGTGCAGCTAGAAGTACAACGGGAACAACTTGGCCAAATGTCCAGTCGCTTTGTTCACCACCGCTTAGAGCCAGTGTATTGACGAGTTTGATGACCCCCAAAGCAAAACTAGCAATAAGCCACCATATCTTCTCTTATCAATCAGCCTCTATCACTCCGGTAGTCCGCTGCCAAAGGCTAACCAATCAACAACTACAGAGATCGAGTCTTACCTCAACTAACATAGAGTTCCATGCGTCAACTGCGACTCTGGCAGTAAGGAACAGGGCTAAAAAAGGCCGGTAAAACAGCATCCGCTTTAGAGACTGCGGAGAGTCTTCAACGTTGCATTTCCTGTACATTCTCAGCAGGCCTCGTCGTAACCAGGCACTGACTGCACTTCTTGCCCGTCCGACAAGGTCAATGGAAAGTGATTTGTGGAGACGGATAGCCCGAGACGTAAATCCAAGACCATGGAGTAGGACCGAAACAATCATTGAAGCATATGTCATCTGGTCAATATCTTTCGTTGGCTTCAACTCAGGTTGCAGCACTACAACCTAGGATCAACAACTCATATGCCAGAAAGCTACTCTCCGAACATCAGCTGTAGAGAACCCAGCTGAAATCTCAGCTGTAGAGAACCGAGCTGAAGCCTCAGCTGTGCAGGGCTCATCTGAACTTACTAGCGCGCCACCCTGGGGGTGGCCCCCTTCCTTCCCCTAGTATATATACAACTAGCTAGACGTCTATAGAAATCAGAGTTCACATCAATTTCAACCTGAGTCTTCAAGTAGCAGATTGCGTAATCGCTCGGAGTCGGCTTGAACAGATCGACATCGGACAGATCGCTATCGGACGGCCAGTAGTAATTCCTAGTTGGAACCATGTCAACAAGAAGCATTATGAGGAAAATCGTCATCGCAATCAGCCTCCATGCTCGTTCACCTGGTCGGTTGTACAGATAGTTTCGCAGAAAGGTGAGGCAGGACAGGTGCGTTAAGCTGGAAAACCAAGCAAGGGAAACCAATATTTACTAGTGATAGGAGGAGAGTCCGCAACACAGTTGGATGTATCCGCTAATCAGAATAGAAATACCAGATAAAATCTGCAGGTCGGTCATGGCTTGAATGCACTAATCGCCTTCGTTAGAGGAATTGAAACTCTGGGGACGAATCATCGTGTTGCACACCTTAACACATAATTGTCGCAAACGGGAATTGGGATGTCTGTGTGCCTGATTGGTGTGGGATATTGAATTCGTCTTCCTAAACCGCCTCTTAATTCCCAGCCTCAGATCGAGGAATATAACATCGACAGGATTTGGATGAAAGGAAGACATCTGGGTGGGGCTGCTACTGCTGGGGTCTTTTCGAAAAGGGTTTTCGTTTGGGTCGTATGCTGTGCAGTAATAGAACATGATGATAATTATTACAATGCCAGCGGTCGCAACATAGCCACATACCACCTAAGTTTCGGTGAGTGAAGCAGCTCAGTAAGGCTGTAAGGCTTACCACAGTCCCCGAAATATCGGGATAAGGCGACACAGCCTCAGGACGTTTGGAACAGTTATATTGGCATAAATCATCCGACATCTTACAACCCAGGCCCCGGAGATGACACGGCTCGATCTTAGCGGGGCCTTGAGGATGCGGCTATTCACTGAAGACCGCAAATTTTGGTAGTGCTGGCCAGTATGAGCATTTATGAAGTGGTATGACGACGAACTGATTGAGAACGAACGGATTGAGGATAGACTGGAGGGCAAGGGCAGGATTATATACTTGCCACGAGGCTGTAGTCTTGCCTTGCTGCCGTGCAACGCCATCTGCGCTGAGAAAGAATAGTGGAAGGCTCAAGCGCCAAGAATGAGTGTTGAAGATTGAAGCGCTGAAAGTGAAAGTTGAAGGCTAAAACATGGCCACACCCACAACATTTGCCATTGACCGTATGACCAGAGCCGGGTCGAATCGCCCACTTCCCTGCTAGCGCAAGCAGAGCACTGACAGTTTTCACCCTATCTGCTGGCTGAAAGTATAAAGCTCGTTTTCACGTTTATGCTACCGGTATCTACCGTTCTTAGGTGGTATACCGGTTAACTTTCTTAGATACTAAGGTTATTTACTACCTATGAAGTTTGTATTACCATATACTTCTACGTTTAAAACCCTAGGGATAGTATGCCGAATGACGTTAGGCGAATCCTAGTCTTGAGATCTCCGGTTCTGGGGATCCGGGCGAGGTCCTTCGCCTACTGTTTTCGTTTAAACCTGCGCCAACACCTTCCACACTACCTTTGTATCTTCCCTCTTGTTTACAGCCACTTCAAAGCATTAAACGCCATGAGATTCCTACTGACATGTATTGTGCAGCGGCCTCTTGCTGAGCATCACGCGATCACGTGATATAGCGTTCAGGACGCGGATGACGTTCCTACCCCTGGCTGCCTAGGTGGGCTGAACGGTAGTTATAGCAAGCTTTTACTGTATTCTACTGCGAAATATACAGCTTCCGGGTACTCTACCTCGAATGCGGATGTCGGCAGCACGTAGTCCCGTACTCCGAGCGCTTAACGCAACCGCTTGCACTTGAAGCTGCATGTCTACCTTGTAAAAGCCAATGACCAGAGAACATCACAGCAAGGTACGGTACCCTCCTGACATGCCTCGGCATAATACAAATCTGGATAATGTACTGCTAGTGCCGGCAGTTTAACTGGTACTGTAAACTTCACTCCAGTCCCTGACCGCTGTGAAATCAAAGCTCGCGCGTTAGATGTTGCATGTGTATCTGTAGGTATAGGTACACTGCTTTGGCGCTGTCTGACCTGCTTCAGCCCATTGTAAGACGTTCGAACGAAACGTTTCGAACTGTGTGGAAGACTCGCGAGACCGCCTCAGACAGTCTCATCCTGCAGCAGCTACGCCGCATTTCTCAGCCCCATCGAGCTGGGATGGACCAGCGCTTAGGCAACACAAAACCATCATGGACCCTTTACGTTGCCGCTGTCGTTCCTCTCTTCGAACTTCATGATTCTGCCATACCCACTACTATCTAGATAATTCTGTCCCACCCATGCCGGACCACGAGCTCCGCCTCCTGTCCCTCGACGGAGGCGGCGTACGAGGCCTTTCGATGCTTCAGATCCTGAAGAAGCTCATGGAAGTCGTCGATCCGGAATCGCCGCCAAAGCCATGTGACTATTTCGATATGATCGGTGGCACTAGCACTGGCGGGTTGTTCACAGCTTCATTACACCTGTCGGGCATTTAGCTAACCACTATGTGTAGTCTTCTCGCGATTATGCTTGGCCGGCTTCGGATGACGGTCGACGAGTGCTTAGACGAATATGTTTCGCTATCCGACCGCGTATTTCAGAAACAGCGACACCGGGTGACACTCAAAGGCAACGTCCAGGGACGGTTCGATTCGGCCGAGCTAGAACGCGGGATCAAAGAGATCATTGTAAGGCAAGGCCTAGCAGAGGACGCGCTATTGAAGGACGATGCGGACGCTAAGTGCAAAGTGTAAGCGTAGGCCCACGTGTGTAATAGGTTGTGACAACACTAACTATTTGGACATAGGTTCGTGTGTGCAACGAGTGCGGAAACGAGCGACACAGTACAGCTTACCAGCTACCGCTCGCCAGGCGGCAGCGAACAATTACTCCGTTCAACCAAGATATGGGAGGCAGGTCGAGCAACGTCGGCAGCGTCGTCCTTTTTCGATCCCATCACGATCGGCGACTTCAACGAGGGTTTTGTCGACGGCGCTACAGGAGCGAACAATCCGGTATACGAGGTGTGGAACGAGGCTCAAGACATATGGCCATCTGGCTCGCTTGAAGAAAAGATTAGCTGTTTTGTGTCGATAGGGACTGGCGTGCCATCCCTAAAACCGTTCAGCAAGAAACTAGTCGGAATTCCCAAGAATCTTGTGGCGATCGCTACAGAAACTGAGAAGACTGCAGAGAGATTCTGTCGCGATAAGTCGGCCCTCGACAACAAGGGACGGTACTACCGATTCAACGTACTAAGAGGGCTGGAAGACATCGGGCTTGAAGACTCGAAGCAGAAGAATGCGATCATTGCGGCCACAAACCGATACATCAAGTCTCAGGCTGTTACCAAGCAGATGAGGGCTTTTGCGGATGGCGCATCCGGAATTCCATGTTAGTGCTTCATTTGGCATTCGACGTATTCAGTCTCAGGCTGTAAGTTTGTGTACACGCGCTCGCTACTGCTTGGGGTACCCTGATAGGCTCTTGGAAATCTAGACTCGATGTCAAGTTTCATGCGACAGAAATTGAACTGCCTCTTGACCGACTAGCTTGCTGACAGCGGGGATACTCCTAACAGTGATGTCTAGCTTCCAGAGTGGCGCTTAAGCAGTGGTACAGTACTAGGTCATAAGTTTGGGCACACGGATACCTCACTGCTTCGCCTCTGCTCTTGCTCGCTCGACACCACTGTAAGGAGTACCCCAGCCAGCACGTATCAACCTCGTCAAAAGATAGTCCGATTTCCACTATGTTGGTCTTTACATCGTACTTCGAGTTTCAAAGCCTATCGGGTTGCCCCAAACAGTTGCGGGGAGTAACCAAACTTATGTCTCCGTACTATAGGCTGAAGTATGTAGCTGACTAGAATCGTGCAAAGATGTAGGAAACTACCGAACACCGTTTAGTCTGCGAGGCGTGCCTGTGGTGACTAATTTTGTGGACCGACCCTCCGATATGGCCAAACTCGAGCAAGCCCTCCTGCCGCAGAAACAACATCCCCGCAAGAAAGTGTTCGTGCTACATGGTCTTGGTGGTATGGGCAAGACGCAGCTTGCCGTCGAGTTCTCAAGGAAGCACCGCCAGAAATTCAGCTCAGCATTCTGGCTCGATGGCCGAACGGAAGACAGTCTCAAACAGAGCATTGCGACTTGCGCAAGCAGGATTCCACAAGGACAGATTGCAGAGAGCAGCAGTATGCATCAAGCTACGGGTGCTGGCGATATTGATGCCGTAGTTAAGGATGTGCAGAGCTGGCTGAGCCTGCCAGACAATACTGACTGGCTGATGGTCTTCGATAATGTCGACCAAGACTTCCGGGAACCCCAGGCTGCATCTGGTGCGTACGATGTCAGACGCTACTTTCCCGGAGCCGACCATGGATCGATTCTCATCACGACTCGGTTGGTGAATCTCGCACAGCTCGGCACTGGGCTTCAAGTCGACAGGGTCGACAATAAGCAGGCCCTCGCGATCTTCCAAAGCGGGTATGGGAGAGTCTTTGAAGGTATGTTGTCCCACCTTTGCCTTGAAGCCTTGAGGAAGCATAGTTACTTACGGGTAGCCGCAGAGTCCGAAGCTAGCAAGGAGCTACTGCGCCTCCTCAATTGCCTACCCCTAGCACTAAGCCAGGCGTCCGCTTTCATGCGAGAAACCGCGACTACTTTCGCCGACTACGTCGAGTTCTATAACGGACAGTGGAGAGAATTAATGGGCTCTCAGAATGACTCACAGACGCCACTCCAGGAATACCAAAATGGTAGCGTCTGGACAACATGGACGATATCATACCGAGCTGTTCGGCGGCGGGACGAGACTGCAGCAAAGCTCCTGCTACTATGGGCATGCTTGGACAACAAAGACTTCTGGTTCGAACTGCTCGCTCCCACACCCCAGTACTGGGAAAAGCGCTGGGAAGAGCACTGGGAAAAGCAATGCGAAGATCATTGCGAAGAGTACTGCGAAGAGCACTGCAAAGAGCACAGGGAAAAGCACTGGGCAGAATCGAAGAAGCTACCGGAGTGGTTTCGGACGGTTGCTGGCAGCAAAGTCGCCTTTACTCAAGCTATGAAGCTCCTCATCAACTATTCTCTTATCGAGGGAACACAAGGCCTGCCGAGCTATGCCGCACACCCTGTTGTACACCAGTGGGCGTGGCAGATGCAGGAAGAAGATGCGCGAGCCGAGTACTGTTGGCTAGCAGCAATTATCATTGGGACAGCACTTATTCAACCATCATCCGAGAAAGAGTCCTGGGTATTGCAAAGACGTCTCCTACCTCATGCGGACCGCTGGGTCTCGCGTGGTTTCCAGATCATAAAACCTGATATTGGTACGCAAGGACACTTGGGCGCGGACATTGCAGATGCCCTTTTCAATATGGGTTCCCTCTACGCGGAACAGGGCAAGCTGGACAAAGCAGTGAAGATGTACAAGCAAGCGCTGCAAACAGCAGAGAAGGCAGTTGGGGCAGAGCACACATCAACACTTGCGGCCGTCAACAACTTAGGCATTCTCTACACAAAACAGGGCAAACTAAGCGAGGCAGAGAAGATGTTTAAGCAAGCACTGCAAGGATACAAGAATGTACTTGGGTTAGAAGATGAATTCACCCTTAACACGGCTAACAACTTGGGCGCCTTCTATGCGAATCAGGGCAAGCTAGGCGAGGCAGAGGCGATGTACGAGCAAACCCTACAAGGAAAGCAGGAAGCACTCGGGGTAGAGCACACATCGACATTTGCGACCCTCAAAAACTTAGCCCGCCTCTATGTACACCAAGGCAAGCCAGGCAAGGCAGAGAAGATGTACGAGCAAGCGCTGCAAGGGACGGAAAAGGCTCTTGGCGCAGAGCACCCGTCAACACTTCGGATGGTCGCCGGCTTAGGCAACATCTATAAAATAATCAACAAACCAAATAAGGCAGAGAAGATGCACAAGCGAGCGCTGCAAGGGATGGAAAAGACACTCGGTGCAGAGCACCTATCAACACTCGATGAGGTCTACAACTTAGGCTGCTTATACTTGAAGCAGGGCAGGCTAGGCGAGGCGGACAACATGTTTCAGCGGGCGCTGCAAGGATACAACAAGGCAATTGGCCTAGAAAACATCTCAACCTTCATACCGGCGCTCCAAACGATGCGGGCCCTCGCTTCCCTCCTCGTTCGTCAAAATCGGGTAGAGGAAGCTAAAATCTTGTATTCGAAAGCTCTCTCAGGCCACCGAAAGGTATTAGGGGATGACCACCCTAATTGTCGGGAACTGCACCACAAACTTGCACTCTTAGGCGACAAAGAGGAGCTAGCTCGCGCAGCGACCGAGAGAGATGCGGTACAGGCCGATGCTCGATTACAGAACGCTGTCGAATCTAGTGCATGGCGGGAAAACCCAGCCTCCAGGAGGCAAAAAGTACTGCGAATGTTTGGCTTGGAACGGACCATCCATATCTCCTCATCGTTTCCCATGGCTCCAATGCAGACATCGACGCCGCTTCCATCGATATCACCACAGCCCGTACAAACGTCATGGTATATAACCTAAATGCTCGCCCAAGTACCGGCTACAACTTCGTCTCAAACGGCCCGGCAGCAGGGTATAAATTGCGCAACAAAATCGGGCTCGTCTTTGACCGGAACGGCGTGTAAATCTCCCTCCAATCCTCCTTTACCCCCTTTGCCCCTCTTAACACACCCCACAGGCTCTGGGGCGTCGAAAAGAGCACCAACGACCTCACCCGCAGCACCCGCCCCGACTCTCCCACCCCCGAACAGCACGTTCAACGACTCCACCTGTATTGCAGAGTCAATCTCCCCGGAGCTGAGCTTTCTGGGGTATTCGACGCCACTGGACGTGAAGTTCGATGTTGAGTACTAGATTCTTTATGTTAGTTTCCACATAAGCCGGAACAGGCAGCAGCCCACAGGTTTCAAACTTTGTGGCAGTTCCGTTTCGGAAGAGGAAGGGTGAGTTCTATGAGCCGGTTGCGGCGTGGAATCGTGTAGGGGGGTTCGGACGTCTTGAGGGAATGTGAATGTTAGGAAGTGTAGTCCTAGCAATGGCATTCGGCCGGTGGAAATCTCGGTAGGGATCTCGGCTGGTAATTCTAAGTGACGCGTGATGCGAGTGGAGAGGGGGAGGTGTTTGTGCTTTGGAAGGATGGATAACGTGGTGGTGATGGGTTGAGGTGATTTGAACGGCGGTGGTCTTTTTCTTCTGAGTGGTAGCATTTTCTCTTGGGACAATGGGTAAAACCGTTGAATATTATCGTATGCATTCATCACCATCATCACTCTACCCCCTAACTACTTCCCATACCCCCCAAATAACGGCAACGGCTGGAAGTCCTTCGGCTTGAATTCCTCGCTCCCAATTTTCCCAGTTAAGGGAATCCGATCCTCCTCCTCCTCCGCTTCCCTCCCAACCCGAATCTCCCCCCGCCAGAGCTCAATACTACTCACCACCGGCAGCAGCAGCAGCAACAACGGCAGCAGCTGCCCAAAGCTCCACACCTTCTCCCCCTCATCGCTCAGCCTCAGATTCGGCGTCCCAAACGCCTGGCTCAGCAGCACCACGCGCACCGCCGCGCCCACCCCCATCACGGCCAGCAGTATCAAGCCAACCACCTGGATGCTCTTGAGCCACTTCTGGTTGTTGCGGTTGTGCAGGTACCATGTTGATATGATGAAGAGGATCGCCGAAGCTGCCATGACGGCGATCGTCCCCGCGATGCTGAGCCCCGCGTTGCTGGTCGACCCTTTTGACGCGGGGACGTCCCACACACAGGCGATTGGCAGCGTGGGGGGGAGGTTGTGAAGGACGCTTTTCAGCACGAACACACCCATCACGACGCTGAGGCTCATGCTTACGAGCATGAGCAGCTGCCTCAACCACCTCAACACCCAGTCGCGCTTGAAGTCTTGAACCAGCGCGAGGAGTGTCGCGAGGTGGGTGGCTGTTGCGAGCAGCGACAGCATCCAGATTATGAAGAAATGGTAGGGAACCATGGTATTCATTTTCGCGAGGCCGACGGACTGGATGCCGAGGCCTGTGAGGAGCTGTTGGTCGGAAAAGGAGAGGAGGAGTTTGCGCGGGATGGGGGAGAGAAGGGGGGAGCGGAGGTTGCGCAGGATGAGGTAGGCGCTTAGGGAGAGGGCGAGGAAGTTTGTTATTATGAAGGAAAGGAGGACCTGGAGTGTGTTAGTGGGTTGAATGGGGTGTATGGGGAGCGAGGGGAGGAGATACTTACACCTGCTCCTGCGACGCCCGCGTCGGAGGGGACGGAGGGAGGGACGGTGCTGCAGTTTGCAGAGTGCACCATCTTGGTGATTGTGGTCTGAAGGTCTAGTAGTGTAGGGTGAGATTGAAGCTGAAGGTGTGCTCCGTATTCTAAAGCTCTCAGAATGCTCAACGATGTCTTTTCCACCGTATATGGTCGCGAAACGGTTCCTGATCAAACAGGTCCTGGGTATCTCAACGCAGCAAACACGAAGTAACGAAAACAACAACGAAAGGAGAGAGTGTAAACGGCGCAAGAGAGAGAGTGAGCGTTGAAGTAAAGAAGTGGAGTAAGCGGAATTGGACGCTGTGCCCAAACGCGGGTCGTAGATCATGACATAGCAATCTAAAAATACCCCTGGGCGCGTATGGGCCGGCCGGGTGTGGCTGAGCGCTTAAAGTCAGGGTCTCGCTGAAACGCGTTTGTTAGCGTTTGAGGGGTCCTGGGGTGGATGCGCTTTCTTGAGTTGTTGAGATTGAGGGGACTTGTCATGGTTGTTGCAGGCGGTTAGGTTGGGAGAAAGGTGTCTATGGGCCTGATTGGTTGAAAAACTGAGGCTCCCAAATTATAGTCACGTGACCCTTGCATCTTACAACGAGGAAGTTTGAACTGCCTACGTATCTGATGTTTGCATGCGGTGGGTGACTATTTACAGCAAATAATCACCCCCAAGACATCTTAGAATCCGGGGGCCGAAGTCAACGAGTTGGACTATGTAGGCGGCAATCAACTACGCCTAGAGCTTCCGCCATCGTATTGGAGAGTCGAGTGTTTTACAGGTGGGGATTCTGGGGAATTTCAGCCTTCAGGGGCCATGACATCTTGGCTGTGGGCAACCCTTCCCTGCAGGTGGGCAACCTGGCAACGTTGGGCGTATTGCGAGGCTGAACTACTGCCTGCCAGCCTTCTTGCGATGCCGTTGTTTTGCCTTTCTTCGCTACCTAGTTATCAATCGGCACAAAACAACTTCACACTTCTAGAGATCCCATATCCTCCTACTCAAAAGTCTCGCCAAACTCCTTATCCCAGGCCAGACCCGCGCTTAAATCGACGATGGATCTACTATGGGCCTTGCTAAGCTTCTGCATCTTCCTCGCCTTGACAGCGGTGCTCCGCAGACAAACATCGAAGAAGCTCCAATATCGCTATTCTCCACTCCCGCCAGGGCCTGGCAATATCCGCTTGCTCCGCCTACTGCCACACGCCGACGAGACGGCCGCCATCCAATGCGAGCTCTTCAACTATTCGCTGCAGAGCTCGAGCCAACGAACGCATCAGTACGAGGCGCTCTCCTATGTATGGGGCAGTCCAGAGGTGAAACTGCCAATTTTTATACACGGATATGTGTTCAATGTGACGGTCAATCTTCACGCTGCGCTTTTGCGGCTGAGGAATCACTCTATGGAGCGGGTGCTGTGGGTCGATGCTGTTTGCATAGATCAAGACAATCTGAAAGAGAAGGAGCTTCAGATACAGTCTATGGCGGAGATTTATGGGCAAGCAAAACAGGTGGTTGTTTGGCTTGGAGAGGCGGCAAAGGATAGCGACTTGGCGCTCGAAAAGATACGCGTTGCTAGGGGCAAGAAATCTACAAATTCTTCAGATAACGGAACAGTCCAGAAAGCACTGCTTGCACTGCTTGGACGACCGTGGTTTCGGCGCATCTGGGTAAGGATGGAGATACTCAGGGTTATTCGCATAAATGACTAAGAAGTTGATCTAGATACTTCAGGAAGTTGCCGCAGCTCGACACATCCTGATCATGTGCGGTGCCACGGAGCTTGATGGATACGCCTTCTGCTTAGGTGTGGACTCACTGCTAGACTTCTACAAAGCTCGCGCAGACTTGCAGAGCTGGATCCGTTCAGTGACCTACTTGATAAGGGGAGCGATCTTCAGGCCTGTAAGGAGTAGGCTGGGCAGTGTTTCGCGAGGCATATGCTCATTAGGCGAGCTGATGGAGATGTATCATACCCATGAAGCCACCAAGCGCCATGATAAGGTATATGCCTTACTTGGCATGAGCTCTGATGATCTCAGCAAAGCTAACCTGTCGCCAAACTATGGAGTTCCGTGGGAGGTGCTCTTGCAACGACTACTTAGGTTTCTTCTCCACGAAAATATATCTGTGGAAGTTTGGGGCAATCAGGAGATCGCATTAATGAAGAGCAAGGGCTGTATTCTCGGGATGGTGTCCTCGACACCGAGCAATATTACTTCGGATGACAGAAAGAGCGTGGAGGTGATTTGCAAATTTGGAGAATCGGGACAAATGAAAGAGTGGGAGACTAAGTGGACTCTCCAAGTCTCGGCAAAACCCGTCCAAAAAGGAGACCTCATCTGTCTTCTTCAAGGAGCTTCAAGATTGAGGTTGGTTCGAAAACTGAATCGTTGCCGCCACGTGCCCTACGATGGAGTGATCCTTATCGTCAATCGGCGATATCTCGACCGATGGTGGCGTTGGAAGATGGCAGAGAAGAAGGGTTGGAATACATACATGTGGATGTCGTTGCCAGGTGGTTCGGTCTGCTCGCTATTCGAGCCAAACGCGGACTCGGCTCCCCTCCCAAGCACATCTTCGCAAGGCTCACCAATTCCAAAGAGCGGGGGTGCGGGGAAGACTCCGGAGGCATACCCTACCGTGCCAGGTTCCCTTGAACCACAAGTGGCAGTCTACGAATCTGTGTGTTTGAAGGTTGGGTGCAAAACTCTCTATCCTCGAGGTAAACACTCTTTCTATGCTTGTGCCCGCTTATCTAGCACTGCTCGCGGTCCTCTAGTGTGATTTCTGAAACTGTAAAGCAATAGTTCTGGCAAGCCTGATAGACTTCGGCGCCATCTCAGAGGGTGGCAGAATAGACTGCCACTTGATGTTCAACGTAGCCCTGTCACATAGCTAACAGGCCGAGGCATGACGCTCTAGGTCTGCTACTTAACAAGTCGAATGCACTTCGGCTACTTTTCTCCCATTGAGACCTCCCGTGCCCTCTAACCCTCTCTCGACCCGCTCCTCCCACCTACTCTTTACTCGATCGCCGCCATGACCACCGACCAAACCACCTACGACGTCCTCATCATCGGCGCGGGCATCTCAGGCATCAACACCGCATACCGCCTCCAACAGAGCCTCCCAGACGCAACCTACGCAATCGTCGACGGCCGCAACAACTGGGGCGGCACCTGGGACCTATTCAAGTTCCCCGGCATCCGCTCCGACTCGGATCTCTTCACATTCGGCTTCTCCTGGGAGCCGTGGACCGCGCGGAGTCCCATTGCCACCGGCGAATCTATCCAAACATACCTTCGACATTGCATATCCAAGCACGGCATTGACAAGCATGCCATATTCCAGCACCACGTCATCGCCGCGGACTGGTCGTCGGAAACACAGCTGTGGAGGCTCGAGACGGAACACAATGGGCAGAAAAAGTACCTCTATGCCAGACATGTGGTGCTAGGAACAGGCTACTACGACTACGAAGACCCCCTAGCCGCGAAGATACCCGGTCTGGAGAATTTCAAGGGAGATGTGCTACACCCGCAGTTCTGGCCAGAGGGCTTCGACTACTCGGGGAAGAAAGTCGTCATTATCGGAAGCGGCGCCACAGCTATAACCATCGTGCCAGCCATGGCGGAGAAAGCGTCAAAGGTCACCATGCTGCAGCGCAGCCCGTCTTATGTGCTCCCCGTACCAATTCCCAAGGAAGCCAGCTTCGTCGAAAAATGGGCCCCGACTTCAATTGCCCGGATGATCGTGCGATTCCAGCACATCTTCGGCCTCTACCTCGTCTTCTTCATCCCGCGGTGGTTCCCAAACTGGTCGCGGAAATTCATCAACGACGTCAACAAATCCGAGCTCAAGGGCAGCAGCGTATCCGTCGACCCACACTTCATACCCAAATACAAACCCTGGGACCAGCGCGTGTGCTACAGCCCGGACGGAGACTTCTGGGCCGCCTTCCGCAGCGGCAAGGCGGACGTAGCCACCGGTGTCATCAAAACCATCACTGGTTCCAGTATCCTCCTCGAATCCGGCCAGGAGCTCGATGCTGATATCATCGTCACGGCCACCGGTCTGCGGATGCGAATAGGCGGCGGCATCAAGATCTCCGTCGACGGCGCACCGATCATCAACCGCGAGAAATTCCTGTGGAGGTACATGATGGTGCAAGACGTGCCGAACATGTACGCGATCGTCGGGTACACCGCGTTCTCGTGGACGCTGGGCGCGGACGCTACGGGCATCTTGATGATGCGGTTGCTGAAGTACCTCAAGAAGAACGGGTACTCGAGCGCCACGCCGAGATGCTCGAACCCGAACCAGAAGCAGTCGCCGATCATGAGCACGCTGAACTCGACGTACGTGACTGCAGCCGCGTCGAGTGGGGTGCTGTTCAAGACTGGCACCGAGGGGCCGTGGCATAATCGGGTGCATTACCTCCAGGATCTGTGGCGGGCGTATTTCTCGAGTATCACGGCTGATATGGAGTTCACAAAGGTGTCAACTTGAGGGTTGTCATATTAGAGGCGCGAGTATAGTCCCGTTGCGGGCAAGCGAGGCTTGATGATACATAAATACAACTTAATGACATACCCACCATTTCCGGGGTCGGAGTTTCCAATCGAACTCCACATCCACATTACCTTCCATCGCGTACCCGCAAACATCATACTCATATTCAACAACACACTAATTTCTTTTTTCCGAGACCTCCCGCGTGCCAACTCTTCGCCATGAATCGTATACTAACTCCAACTATCCCCTTCCCCCAATCGAATAACTCCCGCAAACCTCCTATCCCTGCTTCTCACCCAACCTCACCCCCATCCCCAACTCACCTCATCTCCCCTCCTTCCCTCCCCTCCCCTCCCCTCCGGTCCGGTCTCTTGCTCCCTCCCCCCGACCGTCTCATACGCCCAACCACGGCCGCCGCCGTGCAAGAAATCCGCCACTCCATCGAACGCCAAAACGCAGCCGCCGCACTCTCTCGGGTAACTTGAATGAGGCCCGCGGGGGGTTACGGTTGGGCTGCATGGCCAGCCTGTACATACGTTTTCCCGCTTACAGGCATTTAACGATGAGTTTTTTGGGGTGCTGTCAGCAGAGCTCGCGCGGTGCTGGGCACGTGTACACACACGCACACACACACACACACACACACACACGCACGCAAGCTTCGAGCGAATGGATGTGGGTACCGTTACCGCAGATGAAGGGTTGGGTTGGGGGATAGCGTCACCGACTCGCAGATTGTGCTTCTCTTGATTCGAAATAAAGCCTAGTCAGCCATGTTGATAAACGTATGTAGAATTTCCATGCTGCGTTCAGAGTCGTATCGTATGTACATGACTGTGCGAGGAGTCGCTGCCGCTAAATGCCCAGATGCCAGATGTTGGATATCATAAAACCCCCCCCCCCCCCCCCGGCCCTGAAACGCCTCAACCACAATCGCCTCATTCCTCTTAACGGGGCGCACGTTCACCTTACATACACCTCCCCGCCTCCATCCAACCCCACCCCCATTCCACTCAGGGTTGAGAGTCAAGGCTCACATCAACCCCCCCAACACCACCTTCCCCACGCCCGCCATCTCCCCCCTCTGGCCCACGCGACTGGCATCCTCAAACTCCCGCACCACGCCCGCCAGAATAATCTTGCGCACCCGCGCATCTGCCTTGGCGAACAGATCCCCGACCACGGGCGTCGCGCTCTCGGGACTGCCCACCAGACTCATTGTCTTGGTGTAGCAGTCGATCAGCACGTCGCACAGCGTCGCGAACGTCTCGAAGAAGTCTGGGTCGAACGGCAGCGAGGGGGTCAGGAGGTGCGTGTACGTCTCGGTGGGGAGGTGCTCGTCGCCGGTCGTGATGGGCAGAGAAGAGGACGCGGCGGCAGCGTCGGGCGGGGTCGCAGAGGCGTTGGAGGTGCTGTGGTCGAGGGCGGGGAAGCCCAGGTCGGTGGCGGCGGAGCTGCGGCGGCCTTTGGAGGAGCCGCCGACGTGGGTTGCTTTGCGGAACATGTTGGGGATGCGGCCGCGCGAGAGGGAGGACGGGGTGGTCCCTTCCGGGGGGTGGATGGATTGGTAGGACTCGAATTCGATGAGGAGGGCGTTGAGGGCGCGCAGATAGTCGGTGGGGGAGTGCGGGTGCAGGTCGAGGATGGTGGGGAGCGAGAAGCCGAGCAGGAGGTAGTTTGTGGCGCGGCGGGCGAGCTTGGGCGGGGAGAAGTAGGAAAGGCGGGCCAGGTCGGGCTTGGAGAAGAGGAGGGTGTTGAACCAGTATATGCGGCCTTCGTGGCTGTGGATACGAATTAGTGTGTGCGATTGGAATTGGAGGAGGACTGAGAAATGAGATGAATTGAGTAGGGATCAAGAGATTAAGGAAGCTTGAGCGGCGAGGGAAATTTTGTCTAAGGATAATTGAGGAGAGCAAGGAACCGGGTATGGGGAGAATAAGTAGTGGGGAATAGGATCAATTGGTGAAGATTCAAAACTTACGCTTTCCGCAGGTAGTCCAGCGTAGATATCCTCTTCGACGCCATCTCATGTATATGCTGGAAGACCACACTTGGATTGTTCGACCCGCTCACCGTAGGCCCAATCTGTATAGGAGCGGGGGGTCCAAGACTGCCATAACTCTGCGCAAAGTTCTGCTGCTGCTGTAGCTGCTTCTGCGAGGCGGGGTATCGCAAGGGAACCGCCATGCCGAAGGGTGTCTTTGGCTGGTCCACAGCAGACAGCGGCGACTTCGAGTATGGTTGTCCCCCCCCTAGACCCACCGCTAGCGAGTCTAACGCCTTCACGTTTTCGGCGCTCTTCTGCTTCCTCGAAAAGGTCGATATAGAGAGGGCCGGGCGCGAGGCATTGGACGCAGGAGCCTTTTCCGGCGAGAAGGAGAGGGTGGTGGCCAGAGTGGCGGTCGAGGGCGTCTTCCGGTGGGAAGACGTGGAGCCCGAGGAGCGCGACGAGGTGGTGGTAGTGCGCAGAGAAGCAGACCGCCGCAGCGTCGAGCCGAGCTCCGTCACGGAGCTCGAGATGCTGTGGCGCGACGACGACTTGCGATGGCGGCGGGGTGGCGGCGAGGCAATTGGGAACGGCGGGACCGGTGGTGGGCTCTCTGCGGTCTGCGGGAGCGAGGTGGTGTATTTGGCCGTGGGCGTGGCATTCCCCTTGCTGCGAAAAGCCCTGAACAGGCCGCTGGGCTGGGAGGTGGACATGCTGGCTGGCCCCGCAGATGCCCCTGAATGCCGTGGTTTCAGGTCAGGCACGGCGGAAACTAGCAGCGCAGCGGAACGAGGATGTCGGGGGCTTGCCGGCGTCTTGCAGCTGTCGGGATGCGGGCGGTGAGGAGCCCTAGAGGAGAGTTCGGGACGGAGGTGTCGTCTGGCGGGGAGACGGCTCGCACCGCGGCGACGCGATGCCTTGCTTTCTGGGTCGGGCGGCCTGATAAACAGTGAAGGGCGGCGCGCTGCGGTGCTCTGCTCCAGCCAACCACCCGTCGCTGTTTGGCGGCCCTGAGCAGATCGGACCGCAGGGTCTGGTGGCGACAACTCGATGCAGGGCCCACGCGCGCCTCGCCGTTGACCCGCAGCATCGTCAACCCTGCGTGCCTGCGTGCCTGCGTGCCTGCGTGCCTGCGTGCCTGCGTGCCTGCGTGCCTGCGTGCCTGCGTGCCTGCGTGCCTGCGTGCCTGCGTGCCTGCGTGCCTGCGTGCCTGCACCCGCGGGAGACGTTATCTCGTGGATTGCCTCAGAACCGTGGTGACGGCGGTGGCTAAGGTCCAATTCCCAATTCCAGCCACTCTTGGCACACCGAACTCTGGGACCCCTTGGACCGACTATGCGGCAGGAGCGCTGGCTGTCCGCGCCCTCCAGTCTGATGCGTTGTTAAAACAGAGGCTCGCACTCGAACGGAAAGAACCGCCCTGATGTAGACCTCGCCAAACTACCAACTACAGTATTCCCCCCTGTACGGACTGGACACGACCGTGCGCAAAACAAGGGTTTTTGTATGTAAAATCCCTTGTTCTACGCACGATCGTGTCTAGTCTGTACAGGGGGGGATACTGTACTGCCACACACCGTCCGAACTACCTCGATCCATCCATTCTTCGGCATACTACTCCAATAAACCAGGCGGCCAAGCATGTGATTGGGCCTGCCAAGGATCAATCAAATAACTGCACCCGTGTGCCTGCACGAACCCCCGCGTTCTGCCAGCATCGTCATCACCACTCCACACCACACCGCCAATATGCAGCGCCGACAGAGCGCAAAGGTACCACCACCCCAGCTTCACCAGCCCATTTTAACAATCCCAGGGCGAATGGATCCCTCCGCCCGGCCAATGGCCTGTGGATCCCCAGAACGACGTCCCCGTCTCCCAAGACCGCATCTGGATTGACGGCTGCTTCGACTTTAGCCATCACGGTAGCCACCCTCCGCTCTATGCCCGTACTCCCGACACTGACCCGGATAACACAGGCCATGCCGGCGCAATGCTTCAAGCCCGCCAACTCGGCACCGAGCTCCTCGTCGGCGTCCACTCCGACGAAGCAATCATGGAAAACAAAGGCCCAACCGTCATGACGCTGAAGGAGCGGTATATACAGCCCTCGCTTCCTTTCAAACCTCAAACCGCACTAATAAGCGTGCGCTCATACAGCATCGCAGCAGTCGAAGCCTGCCGCTGGGCCACCCTCGCCATCCCCTCGGCCCCCTACGTAACCTCGCTCCCCTGGATCACCCACTACGGCTGCCACTACGTCGTGCACGGCGACGACATCACCTCCGACGCCGCGGGCGAGGACTGCTACCGCTTCGTCAAGCAGGCCGGCCGCTTCAAAGTCGTCAAGCGCACCCCGGGCATCTCCACCACCGACCTCGTCGGGCGCATGCTGCTGTGCACGAAAACCCACTTCATACAGTCCCTGCAAAGTATGCTGGCCGGGGACGAGGGACCGGGGAGCGAGGACGAGCGGAAGAGCACGGGTGAGGCCATGCGCCAGCGGATAAAGGACTACGCGACCGACGAGAGCGGGCTGCGGCCGGGGAGCGACGTGTGGTACTGGCACGCGAGCCGGCCGGTGAAGGAGAGGCGGACGACGCAGACGAGTACGTCGAACTCGTCGGATAGCACTGGGCGGAGATCCTCGACAGATGGGTCCGGAAAGCGGCCGAGCCATAGCCATCACCATTCGCATTCGTCGTCGCATCACGCCGTCAAGGAAGAGAAGGGCACGTTCACGCAGCTCGTCACAGGCAAGGGCGCGCGGAAGGGCCAGGCGGTTGTGTATGTCGACGGCGGCTTCGACCTCTTCTCTTCCGGCCACATCGAGTTCCTGCGCCTCGTCACGCAAGCTGAAGAGGAAGCGGGGCGGGCGCGGGGATGGTATACCGACGAAGCTAAAGCGGCGCGGGTCGCAGAGGCGGGCGAGGACTACGGCCCCGTATTCATAGTCGCCGGGATCCACGACGACGAGGTCATCAACCACTGGAAGGGCATCAACTACCCCATCATGAACATCTTCGAGCGGGGGCTCTGCGTGCTGCAATGCAAGGTACATCCCCTTCCCCTCACGCATCCCCAAAAACTGGTTTGAATCTCAGCTAATTTGCATTGAACGAGCAGTACATCCACGCCCTCATCTTCGGCGCCCCCTTCTCCCTGTCCCGCGCCTTCCTCTCCTCCCTCCCCTACACCACGCCGCGCACCATCTCGCCCTCCCTCCCCGAAGACGCCGCCTCGACCCCCGGGGCGGGTGGGCCGCCCAACCTCACCGTCTACCACGGCCACACGACCTTCATGCCGCTGACGTACGACCCCTACGCCGTCGCCAAGGCGCTCGGCGTGTACAGGGAGCTGCCGAACCACGAGTACAACAACGTGAATGCGGGCGAGATTGTGGAGCGGATTCTCAGGGGGAGAGAGATGTATGAGGCGAGGCAGCGGATGAAGGGGGAGAAGAATGTGGGCGAGGAGGCGGTGCGGCTGAGGGAGGAGATGGAGAGGGAGGCGGCGGAGCGGGAGAGGGAGAGGGTGAGGCGGGATGTCGAGGGGCAGTGGGGGTTGTAGCGGGATGCCCAGGGGGGACGGGGGAGTGAGGGACGGGATTGGTATGGTGGGTGGGGCGTGAGATGCGCTACCGCATCCTTAGAATACGAGAATAGATTCCCTTTGCATGTGGGTGCCGCGCTGTGTGGTGCTGACTGCGGCGCTATAGTGAGGTTCCAGATCGAGGAGAGTTATGGCCAGCTTTGCAGCGGTGGTGGACGTCAATCAAGAGCATATCTGGGCATGAGTGGAGGCTGAAACCCGCTGAGCTGTTGGAGCTGATAGGGTAGGCAGGAGCAGCGTGAGGTTGATCGAGGTGAGTGGAGACGGTCTTTTTGTTTCTCAGGCCGTATCCAGAGGGAGTGAAACTGGTGGATTGGAGCAGTGGGAAGGGCTTTGTGGAGTGCTTGAAAAGAGGTTTGAGTTTGAATGAAATCGCGTGAGTCCATTGGAGGGGTGTGAGGCAAGGGGCTAGAAGGCAGGTAAGCACGGAATTCGCGGAGCCCTGAGTGTCTATTATGCTAACTGCTATGGTACAGGAGGGCTAGTGCGAGGCATGAAATTGCGAACGGGTATGCGCTGACTGGGGGGGAAGTGAAAGGAGCAAGGTGAGACAGAAGACAAGCTGATCCCGGAACCGTAGATGAGAGAAAGCAAAGGAAGAGATATGGAGGAAGTAGTCTTGGCCCTAATGAGGTATGGGTTCTCGGAAATAAGGAATGAAGTAGGTTGGTAATAACTCTGAAGGTCGTCTCCGTCTTGCGGGTAACGAACGAGGATGATGAGGAAGTCCCTGGGTCAGGTCGACAATCGGGCGTGTCGTAACGAGCTTGGGAAGTGAAATAGGGGTAACAATGACATCGGGTATGAGGATGATGCCGTCGCCATCATCACCAGGTAGGGTAACATTCATCCAGGCATCCCTATACTCAACTCGAAGAGAAACGGGCTTTGCCATGAACAGCCCGCACCACTTGCCATGATCACTCGCACTCAAATACCCGTCTCCAAAACGAACGATTTGTGTGGCTTCAGTAATCTTCTCGGCCTCCTCTATCAGACACTCCTGGGCTCGGATCCAAAACTCGCAGCGGTGCGTCGCCCCATACGCCCCACGTTTCAAGTCTTTAGGGTCGACGCATTCTCGGTCCGTGGGGATTGTCGGCCCATTGATCCCCAGGCGCGCTGTTGCGTCTTCGGGGAAGCTCACAGTTATCGAGTCGTCCACGAAGATCTGGAATACAACCCGCCCGGACTCGTCTGCGAACGCTAAATGAGACTTTTGATGGATCTGGACGGTTCGAATTTGGCTTTTCCCCAAGATGCCAAACTCTGCAGTACCGCGGTAGGGGTTGTCCTCGGATTCTTTAGACGATGACGAGCATTTCGGTGGGGGAGTGAGATCCGTTTTGGATACCATGGCGGCTAGGTTGGTATAGGGCATAAGAAATGAGCACTCGCTGATGAAGGAGTTTCGATGGACTTCGAGATCTCTCCCTAGCTAGGCTGCTCTTTCGCGCGGGGGTGTTCTTTACTTCTGAGGCCTGCTTCGATCCGAGTGTTGGAACCTCGTAGCTTGTAGGTTGGCGAGCTGTTGAGTACTCGGTTGTATGGAGGGAAGAGGAGGATCGAGGTCTGTGTTAGGGCGACTTGACACAGAGAATGAAGATTTCAAAGCGAGAAGACGCCTGCCTCTATAAGATACTCCCTCTGACTCGGGATGCTTACTCCACTTTGTTCTCGTGCGGTTTGTAAGGTGAGACCCCATGCAGAAAGAGAAGCTAGGGCAATCTTTGTACTAGACTGTTTCAGACTGTGATGCAACATTGTCTTAATGCATACAGCTGCAAACAGCTCTTTAAAGCGAGAAACAAGCATTGGGTCTGATTCAAGTAGCTGCACGCCAGGATGCACCAAGACTTCAGACAAACAGATTCAAACGAGGCATAAGATGTGGAAACTGAGACAGAGACGGATAGGTTAAAGGATTCCTAAGTTTTCTTGGCAGGCTTATAAGAGGAATTTGGCGCGCGATTCCGCGTTTCAGTAGAGTACTTTTGGCCAGCATTAGAGAAGGGGTCTAACGCTGATTGTATTCTACATCATCAATCATATTTTCAACTTAGTCCCGGCACAAACTAAGCTGATACTATGAAAGAGATACACCGGAATTGCCTAGTATAGGATACAATGATCCCATGCAGTGGTATATTTGTGTGCCTAAAACAAAGGCCTAGAATCGTACGTGTGGTAGATGAGAGAGCGAAATGTAAGTACAGGAGGTACTCAAAGCTTGGCAATATCATCCACCCGTTCGGTTTCTGACGAAGTTCCGCCATGACTAGCTCTAGGCACACAAAACCCTCTCCCCATGCACTTCTTTTCTTAATCTTTACAACTTCCTTCCCACAACCACAGCCATTACCAACCACCCGCCCTACCACAACACCGGCCGACTACCTGTCTCGGATATACACTACCAAGCATGGAGGGACATGGCAGAGAGGCGTCCGCCAGTATTGGGGATAATGTCGAGCAGGTCTCACCCGCTGTATCGGAAAACACTGCTCACATCATCGTAACCGACGTTCACGGCACCGCGACTATCCACCTCCCTCGTGACAAAACCCAGAAAGTCAACTTTCACCATCATGGGGTCATCAAAAGCACCATCGCCATCGAGAGAGACACCGCACGCCCTGAATTAGTACTAGTTTACATCCAGGAGGGCGTAGCCCCCAGGATCTGGTTCGGTGAGCCAGTACTAACGCCAACAATGAAGGTTTTATTCCCTTTGTGCCAGACCTACATCATGAACCGGTTCGATAAGATGAAGGCGACCGCAGAAGACTTCACCCAGTATATGCGATCAAAATTCGAAAGCTCTTGGGTGGGGTCCCATGAAATTTTCCATCATACGGGGTACCAACTTGTCCACACAAAAGGAAAACCAACTATCGTGCTACAGCACGGCGGAAGGACTGTGATCGTCATTGCAGGTCTGGGAGATGCCTTGGCAGTCACCAAGGTACCCAATGGGCACCAGGAGCCTACCCGTAGGACTCAGGATATGGAGATGTTTGAGGAGGTTAGCGAATGCTCGATTTGCTTGGATCCCTACGACACAGACCACCTTGCGGTTCGTCTGCCCTGCGGCCACTACTTCGGAAAAGACTGCATTTTAGGAGTAATCCAGCACTCCTCAAATACGCAGGCACCGCGGTGCCCCAACTACAGGGCTACGATTCAGGGCGCATGATCGGCACATATCTATCACTTCGACTACAATAAGTCGAACTCATGGCACAGTCAGATCAACGCCCATATCACAGATAAACGAACCCCGAGCTGTACGACTACTTTTCTGGGCTTTTACTGCTACGACTTCGAAACCACGCCATCAGTTCAACCAAGATGGACTTCTACGATGAACACCCGATATGAAATCTTACTAGACATTAGTTCTTGGGTTGGATGGTACTTAGTGGCCACGGCTTGGCACTCTTAAGTAACAAAGCATTATCCTATTTTACGTCATCTTCGATCCATGTGACATGTTGTAGTAGTGAAATGTACCCTCGTCTCCTCTTATCCCCTTTCTTCGTCTTGACTTCGCGGCCTTTCGTTGAGCTTGATGACTGATGACTGTTTTCTAGCTGGCCGAATATGAAATTCTGTTCAACTTTGGAGCTATTAACGTTTCCTATCCTCAAGGTCTTTGAGATGCCTCCTGACTTCAGTCACCTATAGCTTCGATTCGGCTCTTGCGCTGGCGCCTCGCGATACTATTGGGTTGTGATCTGCGTTTTGAAGTCTCCCTCATTTAGACGATGACTATCAGTCGTCCTGGTCTCCGGGGCTCCCAATGACCCCAAACTGGTCTTTTGGTGCTTTCCTACATCATCCGTAGCGAGCCAACTATCTATTTACGAGGTGCTATATTACTCAGAGGCTTTTCTGGCCGCTTTTACCGACCCAAAGATGTCTTCAAGTTGGGCAGTCGCTCCGGATTCCGATGTCTCTTTAAGTCTTACGAGTTGCTCCAGTGTTAGCACGGTGCTCTGGCTTGCGCCCATCTTGAATATCTCAGGAGTCAGGGCGACAGGAGGTGGCTATGCTAAGCAGATGGAAGAGGCATTAGCGCATGGGCAGGCTCAAGTATTCAAGCTTTCGGGGCTAACGAGCCGAATAAAAAAAGAAGCAGGGCAAAATGGTTTCTTATATCGCCTTTGTTCAAGAGGTCTCATGTGGACTAGAAAGAAGATATAAAAGAAGTTGATCATATGATTCCTTCGGCTTTGGTTGATATAGGCAATGTAGATTAACCTGAAGTGACTCGAGAGTATAATTGACTAGAGACGATTGACCTGGAACATCTGACGCTTATGTATTGCAAGCTCAGCCATTCTGGCAAACCGCCTCGAGGCTCGGGCGCATCACATCACCGCTAGCCGGGTCAGAACTGGAAGCTGCTGTCCTTCATTCCACCACTATAATATCGTTTAACCACTAAATTTGAGCAATTCAGGTCGTCTACTTTGTATTACCGAGGGATAATATAAGCCGCACCGAACACACCACGGTACGGCCACCAAGTCCAGACCGAATAACCTGTTCTCGTCCAGTTTAGTAATAATACCTCATTCAGCCCTAATCCGTAGCCGTCTAGGCCATCTCATTCCTGCTCCTCTGGAATATTCGGCAGTCTCGCAATCGTCGACCTCGGGAGCTTGGTGGTCGGCTTGAGACTAATGATCGTGTCGTAAAGCGCGTCAGAATACTCGGAACGTAGCTCGCGAGAAACCGTCATCCAACAGTTACCCCACTCGACTCGCACGGAGCACGTTGGTGTTTGTGGCATCTTCTTATGACCATATCCCGGGTGAATATGCCTCGAAGCCCTGCCGAAGACGACAAAGACCCCAAGGTCCTCGCCTTCGATATCTTTCTTATACCAAGTCGCCGTCAATCCGTTCTCGTCATTGCATCCCAGACCGGGCATAGGACAATAGTCGTGACTCGAGGGAGACCGCGGAAACCCTAGTCGTTGGTCGATGGTCCAGAATCGACGCTGCAAGTCCGAGATCCGACGTTCCAAAGAAATGGAATCGCCGCCTGCGGTACGTGCTGTGGCGCCCTTGGGAAAGCGGACGTCGATTTGATCGTCTTCCTCGTGTTCGACTATGAAAAGAAGAAACTTAGACTCCCCATCTGCGAGTTTGGTAGAAGATCCTTCGAAGAGATGCCGCGTGTACTTTGCCGGTCGACCCAGATATCCGAATTCGATAGTGCATGGTTTGGATGCGGATTGTGAGCTGGAGGGACTGTCGTGGTCGTCTTGATTCTGGGTGGGCATGGTTTTGGACGAGCTGATGAGACGTTGGAATGAGCCTGCAGTTGCGGATGGGGTAATCGGTACGTTGAGCCTTCAGAGGAGCTAAATACGAGGTAAAGAGAAAATGGAGGCTCTCTGCGAAGCCCGGGAATGCTCCGTGACGCTAGACTCGGCAATCTCGCTTGAGGGCCAAGGGTCTCGGTGAATACAGTACTATGACATAAGTTTGGGCACTCTCGGCATCTGCTTGGGGGTCTCCCGGTAGGTTTTCAGGCTCCAAATACTATGTGAAACTCCACGTAGTGGAAATAGGGCTACCGTTTGACTGACCGAGGGCATACTAGCTAGGGTACTCCTCACAGTAGTGTCGAGAGAGCAAGAGTGGTAACCAAGCAGTGAAATATACGTGTGCCCAAACTAACGGCCTAGTAACTATAGTGATGTGGTTTCGCTGAGAACGAACTGGAAATCGAGCACGTCGTGCAACTTAGAACTATGTCTTTGCCATTTGGTAGCAAGTCTCAATCTAGCTTGTGCAAATCAAGCCCCGTGAATCCATGCCCTACAATTAGGACACCGAGGTTGAGTGTCTGACAGGCGCTCGATTACACGCAGAATGCACGCCTCGCCGAAGTAGTGCCCACAGTGAAGACGAACGGCAAGATGCTCCTCGTCGTATTGCTCTAAGCAAATAGAGCAATCATCAACATGTTTGAAGAGTTCCTCATCTTGCGCCAGGTTGTTTTCTCCTTTAACGCAGGAGAGCACCAAATGATCTTCTACATCCGCAACGACAATCATGCTGGCCCCCTTATGCTCCACCACGAGGGTAGGATTCCATTTCGCATAGACAACATCCAGATAGCCGTTGTCGGTGGTCGCATCAGGCGTGATGTGGAACACCTCAGTCGAACCCACCCAAGTGCTCTCGAGTACCGACCGCATGTCCTCGGTATTAGACTCAATGAAGCCAACTTCCTCTGTTTTGCGGATTAACTTGACTTTTGTGGTTAAGAGGTCTACCCCCTTCAGAGGCGTTAATGGTGGTTCACCGAACCAGACCCGCGCGGTGACGCCCTCTTGGATGAGGACCCATACTTGTTCGGGTCTGGTAGGAGCTCTTTGGACTGTCATGGTTTCATCCAAGACCCCCTTCGTCTCGAAACCAACCACGCCATCACTAACGTCGGGCAGGTTCAAAGTTGTGGTACCACGAGAATCCGTCAAGATAATGTGACCGGGGCTTTCGCTCATATTCGACGGTTCGTTCATCTTCGGCGACCTGATTTGCAGGATGTATGGACAAAGAAAGTGAAAGTTGTTTAGACAGTAAATGGTGGTGGTTGTGGTGATGAAGATATGAGTATCAGATAGCGATGTCTGCAAGAGAGGTTTTTATGCCTGTGAGGTTAATATAGAAATTCACTCCACGGAGCAGCGGGAGTCTCCTTCAATAGCAACAATAGCTACTTGTGTAGCCTTCACCCTGGACGGTGAATCATTATCTAGACAAGATCTTGATATGGGGATGACAATAGAGGAGAGTTGGCTTAGCTTTTGAAGAGCAGCGAGGGTATATAGAAACTTTGAGAGTACGACTCGTCGACTTTGGAATGCATCTTGTGTAAAATGAGGTTTCGGAGCTTAGCGCATGACCTTCACTCTGGCTGAATGAAGATTAGAACCTCACTTCATTGCGCGATTAAGTTGACAGCCGTAGGGGCTGCTCAATGCGGCAAGGTAGGGCTAGCTGCTTAGAATCGTCGCTTACATGAGTCGGAGTGCAGCAAGGCAATTCAGAAAGACTATATTGTGCTTCTGAGACTTTGAACAATGTCCGCATTCCAAGAGATCAGGCACATGGCCCACACTCCAGTCATCCTAGCAGAACCTGCAGGTTCCGATTCCCTCGGAGAGGGTACCCTCTCTCCTTGCTTGCACTTCAGATATGGAACCTCGTGAACAGCTACCCTTCCACATCGTAAAGCGTGTATACACGAGACGCGGAGTACGAATTGTCTACACAGCTCTCGACACTTCTGTTTTGAGTAGGTTTAGTATTTCTTAATGAGTGAAGCTAGTTGCGGATGAGTATTATGTATAGAAAGAGGTATTAAAAAGGTATTAAAAAGGGATTAAAAAGGGGTAAAAAAAACCTAGAGTACGGAACCTATGAGAAGGAAGCTCGCGTTAGTTGGTACACAATGTTTTCACGCTGATGAAACGAAGATATATGCACAAAAAGCATGGAAAAGTAAGTGTATTGTCAAAAGCCACTATCGAAAGTCCTATAACGCAATGTGGCGATATCAAGAAGAAGAGAACAGTCTATGCTATTCTGCTATCTGGCACCCGGATGCATAAAAGCAGCCGTTGACATTAAAATCCCTTGCATCTCCGTGGGATCTATACCTGTCACCTCAAACCATGGTGATTCTCCCAAACCTATGTCGTAGGAAGTCCTGATTGCTGGCGAAAAGCCATAAAGTAGAGAACTCTTCAGTATTATCTATGTAGGAAGAGGGGTATATATAGGGTTTCCAGAGAGGTACGCTAGTGGCGTATAGTGACGTATTACGCTAGCAGACAAGTGCTACATACTTCCTACGTCCGCGAAGTCTTCGGTTGCCAGCGCCCGGAAACATCGGAGCTCGACAGATAGGACCTGAAGGTGGTAATACACATGTTAGCGGGGTTTCATGAAGAAAGGGGGAGTGAACTAGGACAGATACTGAATCCTCTGGTATTATTTGTCCTTGAGTGCCACTTGTATTGTGTTTAAGATCCCATTTAGCTCGCGTTGGTGCTGAAAGCGAATAAACTGGGAGTTTAATAACGCGACTAAAATGGGTGTTCAAACACGACTTGTGTCGTGTCTCAACACGGTTCCCGGGACAATGACACCAAGAGGACTCTGGTATGTGTATTAGGATCATACGTACAAAGATTTGAAGTCGCAGACTCTACAAACTCCTCCAAGCAGTTTTCTTTAAAGATGTGTACGCATAGAACACGATATGGCCGATGGTCCTTTTCCCAGTCTGATAGCAGATAGCGCATTTGTCAATCTCAGTAGCGAAATCATCCACCTTTATCTCTCGAGTCCACTCCAGCGGCACATCAGTTTGATAAAGCGGGACTGCAATAGCCCTCGCTTCGTTCAGCTGGATACGCTGTTCTCGGCCAACTACGACCATGGTAGCCGTGTCTCTGTGCTGAAAGACGACGGTCGGATTACCAGTGATCAGAATGACCCTCATTTGGCCCCACTTGTAGACTGGACAAGCACCTAGTTGGGCCTCTGGATCCAATTCCCAACCATTGAAGATCAGAGATTCCACTGCATGGGGGTTATGATGTGCAATGATGACTGGTTCAGAGAATAAGCTTCCAGGTGAGCGCGCCATACGGACCTTTGGTCCGCCGGGTCCTGTACTGACGACTCTGTCCTCAGTGAATGCAACCTTCAAGTCTCTGGAGTCCTTTTTGAAGATGAGCCGGGCACCACCCATGTAGTGAATGAGCATCTGACGGCCTATCTCACGTGGGAGCTCACGGTCTCTAATACAGAGAGCCCCAAAGGTGGACCGCATGACTATGAAGGCGTGGCCGGGGACACGGGGCTGCTGACGTAGAATTTCCAGAGCTGAGCTAGAGCCTGCCCGGCCGTCCATGTCTGAGCGTGTTATGCTACGTAGAATATGTGATGTGCTGCAAGATACAGATGTTGTTTGGCAAAGGATGCCGCCGAAGACAGTTATTGTAGTGGTGTAGGTGTTGTGGTGGTGTTGGGGTCTAGAACGTCTTTGTAGTCTGGACCGTGTATGCATGCTGGGGACTCTGAGAGTTCAACGATGTTGTCTTTAACATGTACCATTGAATCCTAACCCGTCTTAGTGATGTAGAAAAGACGGTAATTCATAAACTTAACGCTTAAGAGACTATCAAGTATCCGTTGGCCATTCGAATCTTGCACCCTTCTTGTGTATTCAGCGACTGTAGCGATTAAAGCTGTTCGCGAAGCTTATGGATGGGCAGGAGCACAGGCTCACACGAATATCGCTATCACTAGGCAGAAAACATCACAGTGCAACTATAAAAATTACTTTGGGGTATTTATTGTATTGTGGTATCTAAACGCCTCATTCTACCATTTAGGGTAGGAACGCAATCTAAGCTTCAACGGCTGCCGTCGCTCTCATTTGCCCAACTCTCCCCTTGCGAGAAGTCAAAGTTATCAAGTTAGTTCTTTGAGAAACAAGTACTCATATGTGCGCAACGATGAAGTGAGAGAACGCCACGGGAATGTCCTCAGCGGCGTTCTAGGGGGATGCTTAGCGGATCCTAAGTGTGGACGGCACGACGCTCTTTCTTGGTGGCGAGTTCGATCCTGCAGTTGGGGCAGGCATTTGATGCCGCGAAGCGGTGGTTGAACATTACTTCCAAGCACTCTGCCCCAAAAATGTGACCGCACGCATTAAGCTTGACCGCGTGGTGGCCATCTCCATATTGGTCATCTTGGCAGATGGAGCATTCGGGGAGGTCTTTCTCAGTGGTTGGCTTGGAAAGTTCGTCGACATTGGTTCGAGGACCGACAAACTCGAGGGGAACATCTTCTTCGGCTCCGGTGGGCATTTCCCAGACCTCCTCAGAGGAATCATGGAACACTTCCGAGATCTGGGTAGGCCCGGCCTGGCGGCGTCCATCTCGGCGTCGGCGGAAGATGCTGGAGAGGCCGCCACGCCAATGGTGGTCATCTTGGCTGACAGCTTGAGCTTGCTGGATTTCAGTCTCATCCTCGGGCTCAAGGCACTCGAGGGCAATCTCGCCATGTGCGCGGACTCGGACAGACTGTTCCCCAAACTCGAAAACGGCGGTCGCAGCTTTCTTCGTCACGATCCGCTTCTCGTGATCGCTAACACGCTCGACCCGCGACGTTCGAAGTCCGGCATACGGATTTCGGCCATGGGGGAACGGTAGCTGCTCCCGGGCTCGAATAGCGGGAATGATGGTATGAACATCTCGAGTGATGTTTGGTTCGCCGTACCACAGCTTGACGGTAGCAGTGCCGGGGTAGAGAATATGTAAATTCCCTTGTTGCGCCGGCTCGCCATCTGCGCGGATCACTAGGTCCTCATACGTGCAGACGCCGTCCGCGTGGATGTTCTTCATGACTCCGCCTGTCAGTGCTTGAGTTGGGCGGAGAATGATGTTGGCGGCGGCGGGGCGGGTGCTGTCTGTGACCACGTTGAGAGTAGTGGTGGAGCTGGACATGCTGGGAGTGGAGGTGCTAATTGGCGTTTGAAAATTGGTAATGCTTGGTGTGGTGGATGTCTGAGAATTGATATGTGTGTGTGGTGTGAGACGGGGCACTGATGATGAGGAGGGACAAGAGTAGAGAGACTTGCTTTTAAGCGCTCCATGAGGAGTGGAACTGCGGAAACTAAGTGAATTGAGACATCACAATGCCTTTGTTGAAGCAATGGGCACATTAAGAGCATTTATAGCTGAACATGATGGTGAATCGGTCCGAATGTATGTACAATGTAGGTTGGGACATTGTGAGAGGCCAGGATGAGATGAGGTCAACTCCACACTACACGCAGTGCGAACTTGTCGATGACATTGACGATGGCGCCACGGGTGACATGGATTTACAGGCCCGTAATCGCCATGTTGCACTGCGCGATGAAAGGTAGTATGGCCGTTTATATCTAGAGGATCAATTGGCAACCCAACGTTGGCAAGAATACGGGGGGGAAACCAAAAGCCAAGAGCGTTGACGTCTAGGCGGTATGAAGCTAGAAGGATACTATCTTGGAGAGGGAGAAAGCATTGAAAGACAAGGCCTGATAGCCATTTAGATTACGTAGTGAATGAAGTAAAAGGTGTTTTGATCGATAACGGCGAGGAGTATAATTTTTCTTAAGATTGAAATTGGTTGAGATGAAAGAAGAAGAAGAAGAAGTGAAGATCGAGATCAAGGCACAACAATCGTCCTTCTCTTCCTTGCGGGAAACAGAGTAGCTCTACAATCCGAAAACTCTCTGGGAGGAACACTTACCATTCACTATGCCATCAAGGCACTCCTCACAGAATTATAAAGACAAATAATCACAAAGGGATGTGGAATGGACTGGAAGTGCAAGAAGATTCAATTTCGTAAAGGCTATAGTTGCATACTGTCCAGATGAGCCTTGAAACAATTCAGAGCTCAAGTTATGGAAGATGAGAGGACGGAGAAAGCCACTCTACGCTCGAAGAGCTCTATCCTGCAATTAGAACGTTTATTCTGCGAGGATTGGCCATTCACCATCTCAAGCAAGCATTCACGGCCGAAAAATTTCTTGCATTTTTTGAGGACTACTGGAGTATGGCCATCGCCGTAGTCTTCCGGACAGATGCTGCAGACTTCGACACCATTAGACACCTCTTCGAGAATCGGCAATGGTATCGATATCGATAGGCGTGCCGATATACTCACGCTATACGTCGGCCATCTCCCCAGGATCCTCAAACTCCTGCGCTCCGTCATCTGTACTAGTTGAGGAAGGACGCCTGGTAATTTCTCGATCCCTCTCCTCGACCAAAATAGTTCTGCAGTGGGACAAAAGATTTCGTCTCCATTAGCTTGAGAACCGTTAACAAGCTCGTGCAAGCATTCATGGCCAAAAACGCGCTTGCATTCTTTCAGGACAACCGGAGTATGGCCATCGCCGTAATCCTCCGGACAAATGCTGCAAGCGTCAAGCCCGCTTTCGACCTGCTCCGGCGTGGGAGAATCAGCAATGGGGTCGATGTTTACCTCTCCACCCATATACTGATGCTGGATATTCAACCCAAACACGACTTCATCATCCAGATCCGGAGGATGACCGGTCGAATGTTCTAGGCGAGCGAGCTCGTGGCCGCCTGTCGAGCGGTAAGGCATGATCATTTTACCCCGGATCTCAATCTTGTATCCGCCCCATTCAATGGCCATCCTAAGTGGTGCGTGGGTGATGAGATCACAAACATTATGCATGTCCTCCTCGACCCGGAAGCCGGGATTTGATTCTGCGCCGCTTGCACGCATGTACCCTTCGGGTTGGTAGATGTGCGTGATCCTTGGTTCGACGATTGCTTCTGACGGCTCCAAATATGCGTGGCCGTCTTGGGGAAAGAAGACTGTAATTGTGCCTAAACCCCCTCAAACAAGAATTCGTCATTGGGGCCGAAGTGCATGCCTGTTGATTCTTGGGCGATCTCATATGTATCTGAGATATCTAAATGGGGAGCCGAGATGGAGACGATCCCTACGATTGGGGGTGGGTGCTCTGTCATGATTGCGTTTTGGTGTGGAGGAACGAAATTGAAAAATGGAAGGGGAGAGTAACGAGATATAAATACACAGTAGGGCATTGTGTAGGACACAAAGGCGTTGTAATCTACAGCAAAACACATGCCACAAATACGTTGTAAGAACTCGCCACAAGAGTGAACATGATATGACGACATTGGGTATTTGGTGGTTGTACAATGCAAAGCACAGCAAATGCGGCAGGTAAGGAGGATTGAGCAGTGCGTGGATATAATGAGCTGCAGTTGTGGATAGTATAAAGAACTCGCATAAAGAATAATCGAGCTGATCTAGTTCGACAGTGCACAACAATCACTGGAGGTTCGCATATTACAACAGAGAAGATGAGATTATAGACGTGGAGGCGATGTATTTTAAGTTACTTAAGGAAAATATGAGCCGGGGACAATTTAGAAGCTCAAAGGAGAGACCTTGATGAGATTGGTCAAAAGCAAAAACGCTAAAGGTGAAGCTAACTGTTCTCAGCACATTAGATCTTTTGGTTTATAGCAGCGAGTGAAAATGCACGTACCGACCTACGAGCCGCTGCTCATGCGCAGCGAGGAGGCCCGTCATCGGCAACTTCAGCAATCGGCGAGCTTCCAGTTCGAGAACTGTGAGGCCGAGTTTTGGCATATTTGCTGGGCGTTCTCCGTTCTGACGCACCGCATCCTCGGTAGGCTCATAATCGTCCCAATTGATTGGCGCATCGTGGAGCTCTACCTTGTAGAATGTCGGTGCCGGACCGAGTAGTATCAGTGAGGGGTCTTCGACTTTTCGTCGAACCCGAACTCGATTCACTAGCTTTCTAAATCGGTTTCGTCCTGCGGTTTCTGGTGGTTGCGGCCGTGGGATTAAGCCTGCGCTATTGAGTATCTTGGAGCTATCTATGACGTCCTGCTGTTCGATTTCATCATCGCCCTGGAATAATAGAGCTATGGCTCGGTGAAAATCTTCTTTGCGTTCTTGCGGGATGCTCACCCTGCGCGCCAAGATCATCCATGGCGCACGAAGATTGACTCTGACGCCATCGAAGCTCATCAGAAGATCAGGTTTCGCCATCGGTATCATATACCGACGCCCCTGAGAAGTCTCCTCTATGGTCCAAGAGGGATTTTCGTCATCAGAACTACCCTCAGCATCCGGGTCATGGATGATGGCGTAGAGGTCATTGTTAATTTGCACGTCGCCCGGCACCATGCGGGCATCGGCATCGTGAGGGAAGAGGATTTGGACCTCTTTTTCCGACCATTTTGGGCCCTCGGGCGCTCTGATAGCTAGAGCTGGGCCGAGTAAGCTGTCTCCGGGTCGGAACTGGTAAACGATGGTCTGACCCGCAGACGTGATAGAGACTGTTCCAACGACGGGAACACTTCGGTCGGGAATGAGTTGCTTCGGATGATAATTGTAAACCTTTAGAAGATTTTGAAAACCTTTGGTTGAAGCTGTCATTGTTAAAGTTGAAGAAGTTTGGCAAGATTGTTGGAGCATGTACGAAACTTCAAGAGTGTATGAATTGGAAATATGTGGAGAATCTTAAAGCTACGAGCTGCTTAAGTATACGAGCGTCGCAGGAAATGTTTACTCACATGGGAGCAAAACGATGATATAGCGAATTGAATGAGAATATTGGAAGAGTATACATGAGAAAACAACGAGCGAGCATACGTGTGCGTACAATAATTAGGGAAGATCTAGAATGAGATAGTAACTTCGCCGGGGTTTGGCGTAGGTCATACAAGATGGCGGATTGGAAGTGGAAGTGATGTATTTGGAATTACTTACGGAGAATACTAGACCTATGAGCTAGCATCAATTTAGTGGCTCAAAGGAAAAAGGTTGAGAGACCTTGCCATCAATAGACTCAGGGACTGAGCGCGAAAATATGAAGACTTGAAATTTGAACGTTCGCAAGCGAATCAACTCTATTTAATCAACCGGTGAAGGTAATCATACCGATCCACAAACTTCTGCTCGTGGGCAGCAAGCTCTCCAGTCATTGGCAATTCTACAAACTTACGAGCCTCCAGTTCAAGGACAGTGGAAGCCAATCCCGGTATCTTGGCTGGGCGCTCCTCGGGTTGGGTCACCGGATTTTCGTCAGGCTCTTTCCAGTCGTCCCAATCGATGGGCGCGTCATAAAGCTCCACCCTGTGTACTGTTCACGCTTGGCCGGGTGGGTTGGGTAGAGTTTCGACATTTGGACGAACCATGACACGCTTCACCAGCTGCTTGAAAAGTTTACGCCCGTGTGTATCTGGGGGACGAGGCCGGGGAAGCGAATCCGCCGTGACTTGTGCGTCAGGATTCTCCTCGATGATATGTGGCATGACCTGACTGTCGCGATGGAACACAAGAGCCATACCTCGAAGAAAATCAGCTTCGCGCTCGATCGGGATAAGCATCCTGCGAAGGAGTATCATCCACGGCGGGCGGATGAGAACCGTCACGCAGTGCAAGTCGATGCGAAGGGTTGGTGTCGCCATTGGTATCATATAGCGACGGAACGGGGGCCTGCGTTTTGCATCAGGGACGTCTTCCAGAGTCCAAGCAGTGTTGGAATTATCCAAGTGCCCTTTCGCATCTGGATCCCGGATAATGGCATAGATAGTTTCTGGCACATCTGCCATGGCCGGTTCCATGCGAGCTAACGCATTGCTTAGGAAGAGGACTTTGACCTCCATTCCCGACCATCGTGGACCCTCCGGTGCTTTGATCTGCAACGAGGGTCCAACGAGGCTATCGCCCGGGCGGAACTCATAGCTTACAGCTTGCCCCCCCCCCCCAGGAGATAGTAACTGTCGCGACGACGGAGAGCTTGTTGCTGGGGTAAACGGTGGGCGATTTGAAGTTGAAGAGTGCAAGACTCATGGTGGAAGTAGAAGTGGGGAGTGTTGGTTTTATCAGCTTTCTCGAGCATGTACAGAACTTCAAGAGTTTCGGTTTGCGAAAATATGAGGAAAATACCAACGCAAAAGCGGTGGAGATGTATAAATATGCGAATGAGGTGCGAAATGTTAATTCACATTAAGCGAGGTGATATATAATTGTGTGAATAGATTGGAAGAGAGTATATGAGGAACAATTTGTGGGTATACGTGCGTGTACAATAATAAGGCAAGATCCGGAATGAGATAGTAACTTCGCCTGGGCTGAGGATAGGCCACACAAAGAGCTACGTACGAAAAGACTCTTTGCCATAGCTGGGAATGTCTGTGGAGGGCAGCTATCTTTGACCACCGACAAGCGGAGAAGAGCTGCTTAGTTTTCAGAATGAAATAAGACGGAGAACGACGATGAACGCGACTTCAATTTGAGGAAAGAAGATGGATTGATGTAATTTAATTAGAAAGGATGCAAACCTTACTCATCAACTGTGAGTCTAGGGTGCGAGAATCGGCCTCTTCATCCGCTGCTTTACGAGGAGAAAGCGACAGTTAGGGCACGTGTTGATGCAGGAATACCTGCTATTCAGCATGCCATCGAGACATTCACTACAGAAAATGTGCCCACACGCTTTCAGGACCACGTGAGTATGGCCGTTGGCAGGATCATGATCTTCGAGACACAGTGTACATGTCTCCGGTCGATGCTCTTGAAGGGAAAACACATCGGCGATATTATCAATTACGATAGGATCACCGATGAACTCGAACTCGACATCCTCTTGGACCTCGTACTCTTCCCATTCTTCATCCGAAGACTGTGGTTCATAGTCTAAGGAGAAGTCTGATTCACCGTCTTCGAACCCTTCTATCAATTCTACAGAGCGGCGGCTGAATAATTGGGAAGGACGCCGTGGTTCGTATCCGAGGGGAACGCTCGATTCGTCCTCTTCCATGGCCTCTACCAATTCTGGAGGCTGCGCAAATAGCTGCCGAGGCAGCCGTGTCTGAAGGAATGGGAACGGAGAAGGTGGTCGCCACCCACTCGGCCTTCGGCGGTCGTCATCGTCACTAGCCAGCCCGTGCTTAATCCGCGATGATACTGTTTGGGGAGGATGCCGGATGACCGTATCGTCAGAGTCATACTCATCTTCCTCAGAGCTAACATCGCAATAGATATTGTAGGAGCGATTGATTGCGGTCCAGTTGTGGGGAGGATTTGGCGATGCTGGTCGCCTGCTTTCCTCAGTTTCAGCGTCGCGATCGCGGTGCGCTGGCTCCTCGAATCGATGCTCGAATTGAGTTTGTGGTGGAGGTTGCCACGTGGATTGTGGATTAGGTGCGGTATAGTCAGTGCTAGCCTGAGGCGCAGAGACTTTTTGGGTCCCAGGTTGACTTCCTCCATCATTTATGCAATCGGGTGCTTGTGTTGCACTACCTCCGGCCATTGAGTCTAACCAGTCAAAGATACTTGGCATCTCGAAGTTTCGTTGGTTTCCGTGAGAGTGCTCGAAAGGTATTTTTTTCAGCTCTGTGGGAAGCAGCTTTGCGTGGGAGATTGTGTCGACAAATGAAGGTAGCAACCACCTTTTTATACACAAGTATCGTGGAGGTGCGGTACAGTACTGAACATCTCGTCAAAGAAGATTGTTTAGATATGGCCGTGTGGTATCGTGCACTGTTCCCGCATTGTGGGAGAACTTCGCCGATACTGGTTGGGGCGCGCCTGAGGTGGCATTGAGGGCGTTCTTCTCGAGCAACCGGGCCAGCTTCGTCGGTAATACTTTTTCTCATGTTTCTTCCCTAGAAACAAGCCCCTTCATCTCACTCCGCTCCGCGTTCTCCGACTTCGGAAAAATTGTCCACCGCCTTAACCAAACTTCCCCTTCCGTCTCAATCTCAACTATGGCATCATTCCACTCGATCCGTACGGATGGAAACGCGCTTGAAAATATGCGGTACTGCTCTTCTGGCAGCGCTTGCAGGACACATCCGGTGTCCTCATCCGTCTCCGTCGCAGCTTTTGATGTCGCAAGGTGGTGTTCCCTGTCCCCATCGTGCATGACTGACACGATGTCCTCGGATAATTCGATGCCCGAGGGCTCCAGGTAAGCAGTTGCGTCGCGCGGGAAATCAACTTCGAGAACAGTCTCAGTCAGAGGCTGGAGAGGCGGAGATTGGAAAAGGAATGAAGCGTACGGGCCCGAAAAGCGAAGGGAGCCGGGGTAGATGTTAAAGCTCTCCGTTCGGCCGCCGACTGAGGCGGTTATGGTCGCTACACTAGCCAGTTGAGGTTGTAATTCTGGACGTTGAAAGGCTGGCATTCTAATAAACGATTGCGTTCGAAAATGTGAATGATGAGATAGGCAGGAAAGATAGATAAGGATAATGTGGTGTGGCGAAGTGGGGTTGAGATCTATATGCTCGGTATCAGGATCACGAGATCTGGGGTGATGTCTTGGCAGCAATGTACGAAATCTATTCGCATGTGACATTGACATGGAGTGAGTATTGGAAAGACATAGAAAATGACGAGGCTACGTCAAATATAATTTGTCGTGGCCACGAGTAGATAAGAGTAGTGGGACAAAGACGTAGCTATGCGGCAACCTGTCTTACTTCTGCTTTGTGGTGTGTAGCGAGGAGAAACTCGTTACCGTCAGCTTCGCGACTCAACTAAGCAGAAGCTCCAGGTCTCATCTCACTAGGGATGCATCAGCCCAAGCCCTCTTCCTCAAGACTTGGAAATTGACTTTCGCATAGCTCCTCCTGACCATGAAAACGGCGCTTCGGATACGCCCCGGCGGGGTCAAACTCCCTCCACTTGCCGTTCCTATCGTGCTGTGGCTCTGTGCAATATGAACCATAATGGATGATGCGGATCTGCGCGAGTCAGCGAGGTGTGTAGTCTCCAGTGAGACCATCGAATCGCTGGAATGAAAGAGATCTGGGACACTGTGCCGGCGTCGAGGGACGTTCTCGAGATGGGCAGCGAGTTGGCTGTAGTCTGGCTTCGCAAGTGTATTGTAGAAGGAGCCTTCACGCGGTGACGGAGGAAGCGCACGCGTGGAAGCGTCCGAGAAGTACGAGTCGAGTGATGCAGATGAGATGTCTGAGTGGACGAAGGTCAGGCTGGGTTGCGAGCTCATGGGAGTCGACTTGCGATGTGGCTTGCGGAGATGGTGAATCTTACTGCGGTCAATAATTTGGGTGTCAGGAAGTTGGGTCTGGGGTTTCTAGCTTTCAAGTAATGAGCGAAGGAATCTTCGGGAGAAGTGGCGAGAGGAAAGCCTGGAGAAGGTTGACTATTTCAATGAGCCTTTGAGCAATGTAAGATGCACAACGCTGGCGACATTGTTAAGATCATGTGGAGTAAGATTGCACATGGCGAACGTTGTGAGAGTAGGTCTCCAAGGGAACATGTTAGTGGTATACTGCGATGGCGGAGATATATGGAGACGTACTGATAGATCGAAGCTGTTCCAGCAGGTTCACATAATTGGCGATTTTTAAATATTGGTTATTCAAGTAACAAAATTTTAGACTCCCAGCAACAAATGAAGTACGAATTTTAGCTAAGTAGCAAAGAATAAAATAGACATAGAATCAATTTATAGACATTACTCGGGCTTTTGGCCATAACAGACCCAACTGTAACCACGTTAGCCAGAGCTTCCCTCGTAATAGAAAAAGGTACTCACAAATCCAACAGCGCGTGCAAACCCTTGCTTTTTAACTCCGTCCGGACCTTCCCGCATAAGACCTCAACCTCCTCAGGCGACCATTTCAAGATTTGGGTCATGAGTCTGAATGAAAAGCCCTCTAATCCGTCGATGATCTGACAGAGGTTGAAAAGGCCGATTTCTTTTTGTTTTGGGTCCTTCGCCCAAGGCCCAATAGGAAGCTTATGTCTCTTCGCAACGACATTAATGAAACCGGCATCTTTCATCCACCCTTCGAGCAGTGGCCCTGGATTTGGTTCGCGGCCGTTCTGAGATGATAGGTCGATGATGATCTGGTCCCAGCGGGCAACTTCGTGCTGCTCGGTCAGCGAGCCGTCTTCGGAGTGGTATTTGAGGTTCCAGTCTTGGAATTCGATGAAGCCACCAGGAGTGGTGTTGCTGTAATGGTGTCAGCGTCGATGTTATGTTCAGGACCTGACAAATGCGGAGCCACCTACTTGAATGCGTTTTTGATGAGCTTTGGCCAATCCTGGATCGCGCAACATAAATATCTGCCGAAAATGAAGTCGAAAGGGGCGGTGTAAGTCCATGCACTTTCGAGGTCGTCTACTTCAAATTTCACGTTTGGGGGGACCCTAGAAGATTAGCTAAAGTACATCCATGGTTGAATGATCGTACCATGTCGGTTGCGTTGGGCTAAAATCATTTCCGAGCACCTGTACACCCGTTAGATAGATGCTATAAAATAGTCAAATTGATTGTCTTACTTCAGCAGCTGGGTGTGCCTCGCCTGCGGTCAAGTCATCACGAATTCGTTGGCAGACATGAAAGTTACATACCCATTTCAATCGCCCATATGCCAGTACCAGTTCCACAATCAAGCACTCTCTTAATCGTATCCGGTAGAGGTGCAAGATGAAGTTTGTCACCTATCACCTTTTTGAGCATGAAATGCGTCATATCGAGCCGGTCCAATTCGGCCTGGGCTTGAATAAGTCACGTGGGTTGAGGTTATCGGAAAGCAGATTTACCTCGTCATTTGGCAAGACATAGACTGGGAGACGGGTCAGTATAACTTACGAGGTTAGAACTGCGAAACATAGACCCACCTCCTGGCCTGAAAGCGTGATATCGGCGTCCATTCTCGAGCGGGTAATTTGTCACGCTGGGGGACAGCGAAGTCGTGAACGAATTTCTATCTTCAATCAAGATGGGGCTCCAATAGAATGAGCATCCGATCAAACCTGAACATACAGCTCGTCACTGAAGTCTCCTAGTGATGAATCATTGTCGCCGGGTACGAGCTGAGAGAAATTAGGGGCTGCTTAGACGGTCCACCTTCAAGAGAACTAGTCGTAGATATTTCCATGATGGATCTATGAGGTCAAAACATACTTCAGGATCGATCTCAATGATCGTTGGATCGGCAGCCGTAGTCGTTCCTGCAACAGGCGGCTCAATAGCGGGCGACGCCATCATTCAAGGGCTGGCCGCTAGCTGTTGCGGGCCGCGTTCTAGAAGACGGGAACGAGGCGGGAACGATTGGTCGGGAACTTAACCCAGAATCTTTCGTTCCTTGAGATGCAGAGACGTTGGTTCCGACAGTGGAAGAAAGAGATGAGAAAGTGGGAGGATTCCTGAGGGTTGCTGTCCAGACTCGTAGCGACCTCGGGAGCTTCTCACACCATAGCGGTCGGCGTGTGGCACAGCCCTGGAACCGCGTTCACGCAAGCAACCTTCGACAGCGGGATAGCTGCTGCCGCGGGTTTAGATGTCCGCCCTGGGGTCCTCTCGTGGGCCTCCTGCGGGGTGCTCTCCCGGCGCTCCCCGCCCCTTGTGCTCCTCGGCTGGCTGTCGCGGCGCCTAAATCTCAGCCCTTGTTGGTCGACGTGCACGAAGTCGTATGCTGGCCCGCTTCCAGAAAAGTAGTGGAACACCCGATAGTGGAGGCCCTACTGTGTACATCTTCGTCTTTAAAGCCGGCATCTCCCTTGCTGTCTCGTCTCTTGCGCGCGGATGCCATGCCCAGGTGCTCGATCCCCACGACCCGATCCTGAGCCTGAGACGGCACTGAAGTAGTTCTATCCCCTCCAAGCCCCTCTCCCAACGAACCAGTTCACGACCCGGTCCTCCCTCTTTGAGGTCTTGGACGCAGTGCTCTATGCAGGCGCCGTGCAGAAGGACCGGTCATCACCAAGCGAACCAGGCGATCGGGTTTCTTATCAGCTGAGGTCTGCACAGAATCGGTCGGCTTAGCATACCCTCCACGCAGAGAAATATGACCTGCTGGATGTAACCCCTCCGTGCATATGAGTGGTTCTGGAAGTACAACTTTTTTGGAGCGCGGATACACTCAAGCGCAAATCCCGGTCCTATCCCGTCTCCTCGATCGACAACACACCACGGTGCTGACAAGCACATTTTGTTGCTGTTACTTTGCTGTGCCGCATCGCATTTCTAGCCCTATCGGTAAGTGTTTGCATGGCATTCCGAGCTTCGCTGTTGTGCCGTTTCCGCCATTTGATTGTGCCGAGTTTGCGTCCGCTTCAAGGGACGAATTAGCAGCGGCTTGTAGGAGACTCTTCGGAGCACAATGTAAGGACCGCTTGCTTCACTGATGGAGCTCTGTCCTAGGATATAAAGCGATTGGTTGATCGGCGCCACGTCACCCTGGACTGACAAGCTCCGCGCGCTTGCTTCCGGATCTGACCTTGAAGACCAAAAGAAAGAAGTGTGGCGTGAAGAAGTCGAGCCACTTGGAACGCGGTATTTGCATCTGCTTTTGATCTGATTGCCGTAGTGGGGTTTTAGGACTCCTTGGGGAACTTGCCCTGATTGGAAGGAGAAAGGTGGATTTTACCGCTTGCTCAAGACATCTGATATCTTTTTCTTATCGTCATCGGCATTTGTCAAAGGCCTTTCTTGAAAAGAGATTAGGATGCTAGTCAAAGAAAGCGTATTGTGGCCTTCGCGTCGAAGCCTCATTCTCATTTGTCGATGACCCGGACAAAATAAGGGCTGAGGGCATAACACGTGACCATTACCAACACGGGTTCTGCGGCCTGCAAACTACACCTGCTATGCAAAATAAGGGTAATTAGTTTTCTTTTGTAAGTTTTTCTTCCCTTTTTAGACTCGGGTTTCAAACAGTCAAGGGTGGAGTACAACTATATTTATCCCCCAATGTACTACACCTCCCTAAATTCAGGCCCCGCTGTCGGCTCTAAACCATTCGATTTTTTAGTCCTAGGCCAGTGGCTCTGTATCACTTAATCTCACAGCTATATACAGCTGGTGTCTTTGCTCAGCTCTCATATCTAGCGTCTTTCTACCAGTAGCCCTGATCACATCCGAGGCTCGATTGCTCCTCCATTGGGGAGACATGAAAAGAAGTGCCTCATAAAGCCATCAGATACTGAGAGTGGCAGATAAACAGAAATGAGAAATATGTTATGGGAGTGTTGTTACTTACTTTGTTCGGCGTCCTGAAGCTTGACAATCCAATGTCGTGCTGGACGTTTGATTAGGATACAAGAAATCAGTACTTTTTGATGAGCAAGACAGAGACTAGTAATGCAGATAGAGATCCCGTAGTAGATACTGATTATAACGTTGAATGAGAGGACTAGAGTTTGTTCATAGAACGAACGAGGCTTCAGCGATTCATCGAGACTTCTCTGGATCGCATTGCTTCCATCGCACGCATCACTGCATCGAATTCCCGACACCGCAATCCAAACATCACCATAGGCTGATGAACATTGTCGAATAATTCGGCATCGTGGTGTCCTACTCCGCAAAATACTTGGATCGGGCCTCCGGTAGTACAAGGGTAGCGAGCAGATAAGCATGATTCGGCCGACTCTTGTTATACAGCGATAGTCCCGTGGAACATCGGAGGTGGCCGACCACTACATATACTGATATATGAAATATTGGCCAATATCTGACGAGGTTGTGAAGGATACTTTACGAAACGTCCAGAGATTGACTCAAGCCACCAGTCTCTGTCATCTCAATTTCGGGAAAGCGCGTCCTCCACCATGTCCCCCACTAAAACCCCAGCCTTCACCATCCCCACCGTCGACATTTCATCCTATGTCGCCGATCCGTCTTCGCCCGCTGCTGAACGTGTAATCGAGGATGTGAGGAGTGCCTGTATAACCTCCGGGTTCTTCCAGCTCATCGGACATGGTGTTCCGCGAGAGCTCCAGGAAGCCGTACTGAACGGCGCGAAGGCCTTCTTCAAGCTACCACAGGAAGAGAAATTGAAGTACGAGAAGAGCGCTGTAGGGAGAGGAAACCGCGGCTATGAGGTCATGGGCAAGCAGGTGCTCCAGAAAGGCGCATTGCCAGATCTGAAAGAAGTATGCACCCTTCAACTCTCAACTCCCAACTCCAAACTATTTAACCTTCAAGGCCTCTATGCTAACACAACCCAGGGCTACTACGTCGGCCATGACTTCGAGCCCTTCTCCGATCCGAATCACACATACAACTGGTTCAACCCTCCCAACGTCTGGCCCACCTCCCTCCCGTCCTTCGAAACCACCTTCCGCCAGCCCATCAACGAATACTACGCCCACATGTTCCCCCTCAGCACCACAATCCTTGACATCATGGCGGCGGGAATGCCTTATGGCCCTGCCGTCTTCGATGAGTTTAAGACCGACCCTGTCGCTGTGATGCGCTTACTGCACTATCCGCCTCAACCCGCCTCCTCAGATGCGCTGCAGTTCGGCGTCGGCGCGCACACAGACTTCGGGTCTATCACACTGCTACTCCAAGACATGGCAGGCGGGCTGGAAGTGCTGAATCATGATACGGATGAGTGGGTGAGCGTGACGCCGAACCCGGACGCGTACGTGGTCAATCTGGGAGATATGATGCAACGGTGGACGAGGGGGGAGTACAGGAGTAATCTGCATAGGGTGAGGAATATGGGAGGTGGAGATCGATATAGTGTGCCGTTTTTCTTTGACGGGAATATGAAGACGAAGCTTGCGCCGTTTGATGGGGGAGAACTGGACGGCGAGATTTTAACCGTGGAGGAGCATATGCACGAGAGGTTCCGGACGACGGCGGGCTATTAGGGCTTGTTGAGGTGCCTCGGATAGTGGCCAGTCACTATGCAGGTGTGTAGAAAATCAATGGTCTGATTTACACTCGTGGGAAGGCTACATTCATGCCCTAGCTTTGTGGTACGTTCTGAAGTTCTCTTCGAGTACTACTACCCTAGCAGATCTTGGGAAGTGATGGCCCAATCTAGTTGCTAGCTTCTCTCCGGTTCCAGAGTCCAAATTTGAGAGTTTAGAACTTTACGTTCGCACCCCATTCTGTTCAGTGTCTCCTGAGGTTTTTCAACACTGCTACTACCCCCGAGGAAACATAGCCAACTTTGTTTCCTGATTATCTCGCGTGCTTAAATCCTGAACCAGACCCTCCAAGTCTTTATTTACATCCACGTCTCTTCCTGAGCAGTATGTCTTGAAGCCTTCAAGACTTTTAACAGCCCGCGCCACCTCATGCCGCCGTCCCCGTCCCTCACCCCTAGGAACCAAGTCTTTTTTCATAGAGACAAGTGTAACCTTCCCGGATGCGGATTAGCGTTTTGCCAGCGCGGAAATAGTCCAAGTGAAAGAAAATTGGAGGCGGTATCTTGGGCAACTAATGAACGAGCTGCGGCACTGTGATAACATGATTAGGATGTATCGACACTGTCGTCGTTCCTCGTATTGAACTAATTCCATCGAGTACTTTGCGTCTGCACTAGTTCAACGGATTGCAGAATAGACAGTCTGCAGCTAGCCTCGTGATCCTTCAGTCCTTTTCCTAGATATACCTGAAGTCACCACGGCGGTGCTCGAATCAGTAGCCTAGAAGAAGTATAATATAGGGATGATAGATGTGATGAGTACGGTATCGTGGTGATATCTTGGACTCGGCCGGCAGAACTCGAATCCGCCCCGTCTTGATTGGCCAGTGCCACCGCCTCCAAAATTGTTCCACGCTGGACCTACCTAAACATCTACCAAGCTCTCCACCACAATCAAGCCAACACCAACTCCAACACCGGTTACTTTACCCCGCCAAACTTCACCAGACGGTTCGAAGGAGCTTCCGAGCTCATCACCTCAAGATGGACATCCGCGTGCTCAAACCATCGGATATCCCGCATGTCCAGCTCGCCAACATCACGAATCTGCCTGAGAACTACTTCTGCAAATACTACCTCTACCATGCGATGAGCTGGCCTCAGTTGTCATACGTGGCTGTCGATGTAAGTGTCAATTTTACTTGGTTTCTTCAATATTTCACTTCTCATACTGCGAATTTTCTTTGTAATTGTGGATGCCATCTTTCACCGTTATTTCGTTACTAAATCTGCTTCTTTCATCCCATAAGACATCTGCGGCATCAATGCTGTTCTCCTTTTATTTCATCTTTCAGATGCAATTGCAGTTCTCCATGTCACGAATCTGAACACCCCATCACAAATCCCAATCCTGCCCCTACACGTTAAACCATGCTGACCGCCCCCAGGTCTCCCGCCCCAAGAAAAACCCCTACGACCCCCCCAAGATCGTTGGCTACGTCCTCGCCAAAATGGAAGAAGAGCCCTCCGACGGCGTGCAGCACGGCCACATCACGAGCCTAAGCGTGATGCGAACGCACCGCCGACTTGGGTTAGCGGAGAAGCTTATGAGACAGAGTCGTGAGTACCCTTTCCCTCCCAAACCCTTCCCCGCCCAAACCCATCCCCAATCCACCATCTTTTCAAATGAATGGATTGGTGCGAGACTGTTTGGGTCGCTAACACCACCCAGAACGCGCCATGGCCGAAACCTTCTCGGCGCACTACGTCTCCCTCCACGTCCGCGTCTCCAACACGGCGGCGCTGCACCTCTACCGCGACACGCTGGGCTTCACCGTCGACAAGACGGAGGCGAAGTACTACGCTGACGGCGAAGATGCCTTCAGTATGCGCATGGAGCTGTCTGACCTGCGCCATGTGCCTGAAGAGAGCGATGACGAGGACGAGGGGAAGAGCGAGGGGGTGGATGAGGGCGAGGCTGTTGGGAGCGCGGGGAAGAAGGGGGATGGGGAGGAGGCAGAGGATGCGAAGAAGAGCGCGGCGGGGAAGAAGAGGAAGGTCAAGGTTAAGGTGGGGAGGGGTTTAGGGGTGGGGGAGTTGGTGGAGAGGAATGAGGCGAAGGGGGCTTGAGGAGGAGGTTTGAAGGTGCAGGAAGGATTTCCCACGGTTCATGGGAGATGGGTATGTATGTAGTATGCATTAGAATTCATTGGCTTGGAATCATAGTTTGCAGTGGTTGCATGAAGCCTTGGGGCAAACCAGGCTCTTTTGAACATAAAGTGGCAGTCTACCATCGTCTGTGGTGGCCGGCAAGCTATCACGATTTTCAAGCGGTGTTTTACAGTTATTTCTGACGTACCAGAGAATACCTCAAGCAGTTTTAATCTAGTATACATAGCCTAGAGCGACTGTATTTTCAAAGCACAGGAAGTTTTGAGAATCGCATCACCGATTCATAGACCCAGACAACACCCCGACTTGATCCCAGGGTCCCATATCCGTAAACACCATAACCGTGAAAGTGGGTATATCGCAGGTCAGTACAAAACACCGTCGCTATGCCCAAAGCCCCACCCATACCACGCAAAGTAGAGAATCGTTCCGTCATCGAGGCCTCGACGATCCTACTCATCCTCCTCCTCCAGCCCATCCTGAATCCGATACCGCCCCTCCAAATCCCTAATCACACACGTCGCCAACCACACCGTCAGCACCGGCACCGCCCTAACCTTCCGTCCCTCCCCATTCCCCTGCCTCAGAACCTCAAAAGCCTCCTCCTCCCCATCCTCTCCTTGCTCCTCCTTCCCCCCCTCCACACTCTGCCAACCCCTCTTCCTCCCCCCCTCCCTAGCCTCAACCCGACCCCCTAACCCAACATACTTCCAGACCCTCACCCCCATCCCTCCCAGCCTGCCCACCGCAATATCCGCAATGCTGAGCTCCTTATTCGCCGCGCCCGCGCCCGCCGTCAGCGCCACGAGCACGGGCTTGCGCAGACCTGCTCCCACACTCTTCCGCTCCGGGTGGAAGCAGTCCACGATCGCGCGCACCTTCGGGCCCAGCTTCGTGTTCGCCGCGACGTGGAGGTGTTGGATCGCGAAGCGCTCTTCGAGGGCTTGGCGGACTTTGGCGGGGAGGAGGGCGGTGGGGGTGAGCTGGGCGGACGGGTCGGGGGGTGGGAGGGAGGGTTTTGGGCGCTTGGTTGGCGGGCCGAGGTGGGTTGGGGGGTTGCTGGTGGTGGTTTTGACGTTGGTATTGGCATTGACGTTGGTATTGGCATTGACGTTGGTATTGGCATTGGTGTTGGCGTTGGCATTGGTGTTGGTTTGGCTTTGGCTGCTGCGCTTGCGTTTCTTGTTGCCGTTGTTATCGCCTGAGGGGGCAGGCTGATGGGGCTGCTGATCGCCCTTTCGGGCTTTCTTGTTCTTCTTGCCCATTGTTGCGATGAGGGGAGTAGGTGGTAGGGTGGAGTTGACATGAAGAGACGCGTGAAAGTTTTGTCTTGGCGGGGTCGTGAGGTCAGGTGAGCTGTGATTGGTTGCAGCTTGTGCATACTTTAGATGTCCGAATGGCGATGTCCAAGGTGGCCTCAGGACTTTTTAGACTGTGTAAAACGGTCCATTATGTCATTTGCACACTTCTTTCAAGTGTGTTGAGGCTAGGAAGACGGCAGTAGGCCGCTATATACAGCTTCAAAACACCTAGGGATAGCTACACGACGCTTGATACTTGAAGCCTCAGGCTCCAAAAAACGAAGCTCTCAGCCTTCCCAGTCCTTTAATCCAACTCCGAAATCACCATAACCGCCTTGCCAAAGTTTTTCCCTTCCAACATCCCAATAAACCCATCAATCGCATTATCAATGCCCACCGTATCACTGAACTTCGCCTTGAAGGTCCCATCCTTGATCCACTGCTGCAGCTTCTCCTGATGCTCCTTGGCGTACTTCGGCCCCATATTCTCATCCCCGACAATGAACCCCTGGAACTTAATCCGCTTCGCCACCACCAGCATGATATTCTTGATCCCATACCACTCCGTCGGCGGCAGGTTGTACTGGCTAATCATACCGCATGCGATGATGCGGCCAAACGGCTTCAAAGCGTTAAGCGCGGCCTCTAGTTGCACGCCGCCCACGTTCTCGTAGTAGATGTCAATCCCGTCGGGCGCCAGCCTCGTCAGCGCATCGCCGGGTGCTTCTTTCTTGTAGTTGAAGCCGCCGTCGAACCCGAGCTCTTCTAGGATGTACTTCAGCTTCTCATCATTACCGACGCTGCCGTAGACCTTGAGGCCCTCGTGTTTGGCGAGTTGGCCGACGAGCTGGCCCACTGCGCCGCTGGCTGCGCTTACGAAGATGGTTTCTCCCTTCTTCGGCTCGCCGATCGCGTAGAAGGAGGACCAGGCGGTAAGACCGGGCATACCGAGGGCACCGAGAAAGATCTTGGGGTCAAGGCCGAGCGGGTTGTCGAGCTTCTTCACTAGTTTGGTGTGTTCGGCGCTGAGTACGGTGTATTCTTCCGTCGGGATGATCGCTTGTCCGACGACAACGTCGCCTTTCTTGAAGTCGCGCGTAGAGCTTGCGATAACGGTGGAGATGCCGCGGTTTGTAATGGGCTGGCCCAGCGTGAAGGGCGGCGAGTAAGACTTTACTCCCGGGGCGCGCATGCGGCCGCGTTGATAGGGGTCGAAGGAGAGATAGTCTTGACGGCGAGAGTAAGCTGATATTCGATAAGGTAAAGAGCGGATATAAGAAACGGTTCTAAATCTCTGTTGCTAGGTTTCGGAAAGTGGGAGGAGGGTTGTAGTTAACATATCACGTCAATAGGTTAAACGCCCGCACTGGAACGAAGATGGTGTTTGGAGGTGAATTGAGCGGCGCAGAAGAAAGTTCAGGACTGAAGATGTGAGATGTCTAGCCGCGCTTCACTTACTGTTCTTCAAGACAAGTCCTCCCTCTGGAGGGGACTGGTCGAGGTCGAACTCGCGGGCTTCAACCGTGAGGTCATGGCCCGGCTTCGGCCAGCCATTGGGGACGTTCTTAAAGATGAGGCCTTTATTCTGAACCATTTTAGCGGTGAGCTAGAGAAATAGATCAGGCTGATGCGATTTATAGAAGTGGGTTGATGAAGGAGCAACTGCGGTGGTATGATGTATAGGAAGAGAAGGTATGAAGAGGGGCGAGACTTGATTTAAAGCGGAACACGGAGGAACAGACGACTATATCCTATATCCTCTTTACCTCCGAGGCACGGCTTACTCTATTTCTTCTACTACACTGCTCTCTGACGCTTTCTGACGTTCTATATGTAATACATCATACCGCCCGCGTACGGTAGATTACCAAGCAAGCAGGGTCCATTTCCCTTCGCAGAAGATGCCGAGGTCGAGAGCGAACGGCAACAGTGACTTTTCTGTTGTTTCGTACAGACGGGGAAATAGAAGCTCCGGTGGGTGGATTCAGATAGCAATTGTATGAAGGAAGAATCCCAGGGTCGTGCAGGGTAATAGATGCTAGGTACAAAAAGGTAATAAGAGTGCACGGGGAGCCGGGCTTGGCGCGGATGACGCGCTAGGGAAGCTTCTACCATAGGTATAATTAGCATCTTATCATCAACAATCAACGTGTAGATTCCAAATAGAAGCTTCGAACTCTTCTCACGAGGTACGATTGATACTTGGTTAGTGACGGAAGCTCCACCAGCACAGCAATGGTATCGACTACCCAACCTTTGGATCCCTCGCGCTGCATTCTAACCTCGTAGACCTTACCTACGATTAGAGTAACGCATGTCCCATGTCCTAGTCCGTATGTTCTTATGCTTTTTGGAATCGAGGCTAACACTGCTCTAGGATACCCGCAGCACCACCGCAACGTCTCCCCCCTCCCCCTCCTTTGCAGATTACCTCCCCAGCCTCAAAGCCTCGAGCTTCCACGTTCCCATCGATCATGTCCCGGAAGTCACAAGGAACCCAAATCGAAGACACCAAAACACACACAACGACGACATGAGACATGTGTCGAGTAGTCTGGCGTCTATGTCGTCTGCCTTACAGCGAAAATGTGGCTTGGAGCAATGAGTTGCTGCTCCATGAATACAATGTTTTGCCAAAAAGTCTAAGGTGCATCCCTGTGTAGCGAGAAACCCCCCGTGCCGAGAAATATTTTTTGTTCAGACATCTCAAGTCTTTCCTCGTAAGCCTATAAAGTCATAGCCAATATAATAATGTTCGTTAGGCATTTCTCCTTAGGAAACCAGTTTGCAATGAGAAAAATACAACGATCTTGGTCATGCTGTTAATCGTTCCGTTCACGGCGTCCAGGACCAAACTAGCTTTATACCCCTGCTCCACCACAACTATTAATATATTTTCAAAATTCGGAGGCTTAGGACGATAATCCTATTAAAAGAAAATATATATGCAGGCATTAGAGATGCGTAACACTTAAAAAAGCATGCACTTTAAAGTTTCTGCGTGCAAGGGAACGTTCGGTGTCTTGGCGTATAGGTTTAGCGCGCTTATATAGTTGAATATTATTTATTTAGCTAGTTGTATGTCGCACTTAGGTGTGCACGGGATGAAGCGGGATTGGAAATGATATCAAGCAGCAGAGTATGATTGATTGTGTGTGTGTGGT